TATAGACATGTAACATGTGCATAATGATGTGCAATGGAAATTCATATGAATTAATCCTATGCTTAAAGTTACCTGTCTTTCCTGTATCTCTGTGATCAGCTCCCTTCAGAAATTTAGGAATCTTGTGTTATATTTTCTGTAGCAGGAGGTTATTCTCTCACTCCTGAAACCACAGAACACTTTTTTACTTAACATTTAGTTTAAGATACCATGAAATATCAAAACACGACTGAACTTTTGATTCACGGTCCTTTACAGTAACGTTACAATGCGTATTTTAGACTACATATGGAGTGCATTCAATAAAACATTGACAAAACCTCTCATCTACACATAAAGAATAAATAAAAGCCAAAACTTTAACAAACAAGTTTAACAAGAGCTAACATTAAGTAAGTTAACGTAATATTACCCCGACGCTAACGTTACCAGTGCTAATATGCTAACGGACTTTTACGAAGACTTACCACTCTTTTATAACATAATATTCAACTGAATATTCATCAATTGCCAATAATAAATGTGTGAGGAACAGTTTTATGTAGTATTTGCTTTGTTTTAGGGACTAAACTTACCTGAAAACAGTCAAAACGGCAGCTTGAGAGAAGTCGTGTTGTGTCTTTTAGGTGGTGTCGTGTCGTGTTGTAGCTTCGTTTCCCATAGCAACATCCTCTCCGCTCCAGTGTTGGAAGCAAGACGCGCGCGCGCACATTAAAGTCTTGCAGTATTACATTTATAAACATGATCACTTCATAGACAATTTAAATAATAACCTTGTATTTTATATCTTGAATTTAAAATGTATTTAGCAGTTTTATATACGCTATTATCTTTAAGACGAGCTTTATAGCCTACTAAACTGTTACAAAACAAACACTTTATTTGTGCATTCACTGTCAAAAATAAATAACCAATAAATATAAATGCAAGTATATAAAAAAAAATGTCACTCTGTAAAAAGGCGTTTATTTTAATTAAACAGCCGAAATGCAGAACATACTTGATTTTTACACTGGGAAAAATGTATTAGAAAAAGCCACAATAAAAATAGCAAACAGCAGTTAACACCAGAAAAAAATAACGTTTTCATTATTAAAGCATAACAATAAAACTTTTTATATTTTAATGAATTGAAATCATGTATTGTAGGCATTTTGGTCAGTTTTACTGCATTAATGTAGGCTATTTAAAGCTGGACCGACCGACGCAGTAGACATGATGCATGTCGCGTTTGTCTAATTTATTATGCACGCAGAAACTTACTTGTAAACCAAATATGTTGCCGGATTCTTTCATGGGCATGAGAGATCAAGTGCTTATGAAGTGCTTCGTCGGCCTCTGGTCGTTAACCGACGCAGAGCCGACGTTTGTTGAGCTGGAACAATAGAACACACGACCGAACGATCATGCGTATGTTTGGCCGACCATATACCGATGTTAGAATTAAAGGGGCCGACGTGTTGACCTTCGGCCGACGTCGGCCCAACGTATGTGTGCTGTCTGGGTATGAGCTACTTTAAAAGCTAGCATTCACTTAGTCAACAATAACACCAGTTTCTGGCAGCGCAGAGTCTGTTGTCATGTTTCATTTAGAGAGTTTGCTGATTTTATTTAACGAATCTAGCATAAGCAGAGTGTGTGTTGCGAGTTGCTGCTGCTTTCCCTCATGGTCAGTCCAGTAAGAGGCTGTATCGGTTACTCGTTTAGCACAAAAGTTCATAACATACAAAATGCTAAAAATGAAATCTCACCTATGAAGTGTTCTGTCAGTGTTTGCTCGTTTCTACACAGCGCAGTCCAGCATCTTCACTCTGGCTTCAGTCTTGACTAGTGCGGCTGAATGACTGTTGTCCTGGGAGCCCTGTACAAATATGGCGGTAGTACTGACGCGCGCTTAGGGTTTGTTTGCTATCTATTGTATATATCTATGATAAAGACTACAACCCCCTTTTCTGGAGCGTAAAATTTCAAATATGTGCTGTTCACACAGACGAGGGCATTCTGGAGTTTTTCCAGAGAGCACCATTCACACATCCGTTGCAAAACAGCGGTAAATTCTGACATCATAACCTAGAAATGAGCTCTAAGGCCGCGCTTGTATTCAACATGAGGGAGGTCCGTCTTTTTCCTGTTATGGGTCACTTTTATTTGAAACTGAAGCATTCATGCCGATGTTCTGCAGCTCCCGGGTTGTGGGCGGCTTAAATCAGAAACACAGGCGCGCTCCTTTACGCGCGTCACACGCAGAGGCGGCAGGTAAACCCACATCGGTTTATCAGAAGCATTTTGTCATCATTTTGTCCGCAGTGTGCTCTAACATGAAACAGAAAAGATCCCTGGCAGCTGCTAGATGTGTCTGGAGAAGCATTTAAAGCCGTTTATTTTCATAAACAGTGCGGATGTGAATGCGTCTGATTGGTCGGAGTACACGTCCATGTCAGCACGCTCTGAACGTGAACGCGCTTTTCAGAGGTAGCAGCATTATAATTTTTTTATGTACATTTTATAAAAAACTAAATTTTTTATATATAATATTTTATTTATTAAGTTAGGTTAAATAGTCGTGCGCGTAGGCGCAGGTGGTTTGAAAGACCAAAAGTTGGATTATTATTATGTTTGAATTTATCTTATTAAATGGCCAAATTCTTACCGAGGAAGGTTGAATGCGCTGGCCAATTTGTTCTTTGCCTAAAGGCTTCGGTTTTTACAGATTTCCCAAAGAAAATTATGGTTAAAAAATTGTATTTTAAAAGTAAGTATATTTACATATTTAAACAGTTTACATGCAAAAACCTCTGAATGCCAATTGATATTTTATTCTAAGAGTATCACTTTACTCCAACTCCTGTGTGTGGACTCGGTGTTTTTACTTTTATGGTGATGAATACATTCTTTTCATTGCCTTTAAAGAGAAATAACTCAACATAAATATACAAGGCTGAAAAAAACGCTCATTATACATGGAATTTAGAGGTTTTGGCATCTAAACTCTTCATTTCTTTATTCTAAGAATTTAAAGTTCTAATTTCTAATTTAAAGTATTTCTATTATTTATAAAACTGTAATAAAAATTTGACAAAATGGTAGGAAATAGTTTTGGTACAGTACATCAAAAAGTGTAGTTAGAATAACTATCCAACAAGATTACCCAGCAAAAATTAGTTCAGAATATGTCACTAAAATGTCATATTTATACCTCAGGTGAAAAACTGCAAAAAGGTTCTGTTTTTCAGAAAACAAATAACCCCTCCTTTCAATAAGCTGGCCACAGGCCTGAAAGTGTATGTTAAAATAATGTTTATTAACTGATAAAGAGAGAGTTTATTAAAGACTTTTGTTCATTTTTCGTACAAATTAAACATGTATCATAGTATTATTAAAAGATGAGCACAGGCTGTAGTTTTTCTGAAAATTGTTTCAACCAAAATTGGAGATGTTACTTTGAGAGATTAAAAGAACTGGCATGTTCATATATGTTCACAGACAATATTGTTCACAGACTATATCAGTCTGCTTTCACATTAGACTGACCGTAAAAGCGGTGAAAACACCAGCAATAGTGGCATTATCATGATGGACTCATTCAGTAGTAAACTTATCTTCATGTGACTTACACTTTTCGTTGAAAAAAGCTCTTTATGTTCACCTTTTTTTGCTACTGCCATCCTCACTTGTGCGTGTCACACACCTCACACACATCGGGAAATTCATTATAGAGCTCAGCGTTGTGCTGGAGTGCAGTGAGGGATCTATTCTGTGCTTCAGTGTTTACAGTTCTGTCCTGTTTCGTCTGCTGGAAACTGCTCATCACTGTGTATATCATCATGTAGTGTGATGTTAGGACACGGGGTTACAATATAAACCTGCCCACCTAATGTTTACACTCCTAATATTTATATTAATGCTCATTAATAACCTCTGAATCTGAGTGTGATTTCGGAGTTATTGTCCACTGAAGGTCGCATTCTGGTTACGGATTCTTGCTTTAAGAGTCTTCCTGACTGAATGAAAGAAATCCTGTTTTCCACCATCTGGCAACCCGGTGCTGAAATATTACTCGCTAAACTGGCATTGGGCGGGTTAAAGAACCCAAAACAAAGACAGCTGTTCCATGTTGACAGCAGAATATCTGCCTCCAGCTTTGTGTTTTTTAGGTAAATATGAATGTTCACGGAGCACGATTCTGAATATCTGCACACAGATGAGGGCGTCTGATGATGCAGGGGAGACACACACACACACACACACACACACACACACACACACACACACACACACACACACACACCACCTTTAATAATTCTCTGCTTAATAATAGTTAAAGTAATAGGTTTGGGTGTTGTGCAGGATACTTTAATATTAATTAACAGTTAAAAGCTTAATAATAGGCAGGTCAGAAGTGAGAAATATGTACAGCTAAAGTCAGAATTATTCACCCTCTTTAATTATTTTTATTCTTTTTAAATATTTCCCAAATGATGTTGAACAGATTGAGGAAATGTTCACAGTGTGTCTGATAATATCTGTTCTTCTGGAGAAAGCCTGATGTGTTTTATTTGAGCTAGAATAACAGCAGTGTTTAATAGTGTTAAAGTCATGTTAAGCTCAATATTATTCACCCCTTCAGCAATATTAGTGTTGGATAGTCTCCAGAACAAACCACTGTTATACAATGACTTGCCTAATTACCCTAACTTTACCCTAATTACCCTAGTGAAGCCTTTACATGTCACTGTAAGCTGAACACTAGTGTCTTGAAGAATATCTAGTCTAATATGATGTGCTGTCATCATGGAGAAGAGGAAACACATCAGCTATTAGAGATGAGTTATTAACACTGTTATGTGCAGAGATGTGCTGGAGAAATCTGCTCTCGGTTAAACAGAGATTGGGGGATAAATAAACAGGGGGTGAATAATTCTGACCTCAACTGTACATTTATGCATTGGAAATGTAAAGTTTTACCCAGAGGAGAAGCAAACAATAACAGAAGCACAGCGTAGTTTGAGCATTTCATGTTTAATTTTGCATGTTTAATTCTTCATTCCAGCTGCACTCCAAATCTACAATATTCTGAAAACGTGCACAAAAAGGTTTTTTAGGTTTGTATTTTTTTAAATCCTTCCTCCTGCAAGAAAAATAAAATAGAAAAACAAATAAAAATAAAATAGAAAACATAACTATTACTCAAGCAGAGTCGAGAGGAAACTAGTGTTAATTCTAGAAAGTTCCTTCTAGTCATGTCATTGATCAGTAACTCAGTCGCATCATCATCATCATCATATAAACGTGGTCGATTGGGAATCCTCCAGCTCGGGCTCTACAGATTAAAAAAAATACTCTCTCTCTCTCTCTCTCTCTAAAAGAAATATTTTCAACTCATCATCATCATCATTATTATTATTATTATTATTATAGCAGTAACATCAGAAACTGCAGCATCTCCCGACCCTCCCTCCAACAAAATCTCCAACTTCAGGATAGAGAAAAACGAAACGAGACAAATCTTGAGGAATGACAAATCTTCAAAAATGTCGAGGAGCAGACGCGGCCTGAAGCGCCTCCGTCCGCAGCAGAAAACAGAGCTTGATCAGACCGAAGCTCCGATGTCTAGGACTTTAAAAGCTCAAACCTCCTAGAGTTAAATTAAAATAATAAATAAATATCAGACAGAGGGAACGCGCTTGCTCTAGCGTCTGCAGTTGCTCTCTTTTTGAGTTTTTCTGGTTTTTATAAGAAAAATCTGAGATAACAAAAACGCTGCATTTTTCAGATTTTTCCACCTTCGCTTCCGCACGGTGATGTGGACTGACCAAACAATACGCAAAGAAAGACGTTAAAAACTGTACGCAAAAGGGAGTTTAAAAACATCTGCATGAAATAAATAAATAAAACAGTCGTGTATATCCATGAAGCGTAGCTGGGGTGAAAGGAACAGACAGGTGGAAAATACTTGGTTTCCTTTTGCACTTTAGAGAGCGTAAATGTGATGGAGGAGGAGAAGAGACGGACGCGGCTTCAGTTAGCCGCCATTCCTGTCGCCTCGGACGAGAGTCTGCAACACACACACACACACACACACACACACACACACACACACACACACACACACACACACACACACACACACACACACACACACACACACACACACACACACACACACACACACACACACACACACACACACACACACACACACACACACACACACACACACACACACACACACACACACACACACACACACACACCTGTCAGATCAAACAACAGCTCACACAACATCATGAAGCTAAACATCAGTAAAGCAGCGGGACACTGGCAACACTGACATGATGATGATGTTTTGTATAAATACTGATATCAATATCTCTATTCGAAGATTACTAGTGCTGGGCAAAGGTTAATTAACAATAAATCCAAAATAAGATATCCAAAATATATCTAAAGAATAAAAGAAAATATCAAGCACATTCAAGGAACGCTGTTTTTTTTAAGCACTTATTCATTAAGTATGTGTGTGTGTGGGTGTGTATAAATATATATATATATATATATAGCAACGATAACTGCAACGACTGCATATCATGATCTTTTGAGTTTTGTTAATCTGATTAATGCACCAAACTCATCTAATGGAGTGCGGAGCACACTTCACTGAGTATTTTCCAGATCTTGAATGTGTATGTCTGAAATTAAAGTACTGTCAGGAGGCGTGGGAGCCCTGTATTGCACATGAGTGTGCTGTTTTCAGAAGGCGCTGGTTATGAAGACCCGGTTAGGATAGTGTGGTGCTGGCTGGCGTGTGTTTACCGTGCATTGATCAGGTATTCGGCCAGGCTGATGCTGGCGGGTGAGCCGGTGATGGTGACCTGCCGGTCGCTCGATCCCTCCACTGGGTTAGCAATCTTGATCTGAGCGCCCGACATCTGACGGATCTCGTTAATCTTGGCACCTTGACGGCCGATGATGCAGCCAATCAACTGCAAGAGTACAAGAACACACACACACACCATTAACAAACAAACAAACAAACAAACACACACACACACACACACACACATTTCTCAAACACTCAAACCTTCATTCATTTCTCTCTTACATTCATGCACTTTAACCCTCACCAACACTCTCAAGGCCATTTTAAAAATTGCTTCTGATATTTTAGGCTTATACGTTTACTTTTAACTTGGTTTATTGTTAAAATGTGTGGGATGTTAGAAAAGAAAAAGAAAATAGGAAACTGTTTCCCGTAAAGCACTTTGCTCAACCCAGTTGTATTTCTACAGAGCTATATAAAGAAATAAACATAATAAATAAATAAGATGCATGTAAAACCACAGGGTCGACAGGTTAGAGAAATATAGAAATGATCTCTAAATTCTGAGTGTGTCTGATTTAACAGTGAAAGTAAACAACATGGAGCATTAGTAAAGCGCCGGCTGGTCAAATGAATTAGTTTATAGTGTTTTTAGATGGTGTTACTGTGATTTTATTGCTTATGATCAACATTAAAGACTGAAGAGTAGTGCTGCTTCATAGTGTTGTGGAAACTCTGATTCCCTTAAGCACAGAATCAGGGAATAACACATCTACACTCAATAACACACACACACATAAACAAATCAAACTGTGTTTCCTTCAGCACGAGAGCGAAATCTAGAAAGCTGAAGATGAAGAGTAGAATATAATATTAATATTCCTCCAGATACTCACATCATTAGGAATGGTCAGTTCATGAGAGCCTGTCTGTGCAGAGGCGTCCATCCCAGCTGTACACAGAGAACAGCACAGTCAGACAACACACACACACACACACACACACACACACACACACACACACGCTTCCCTCTAACATATAGGATTACCTTAAGAATTCAAATATAATTGCACAATCTTTCTTATTAAAAAACAAACAAACAACAACAAAATAATAATAATAATAAGGGTTCAGACATATTGACAGCCCTACATCACACACTCGTCTCACACACACACACCTGTGAACCCTTGGCTACTGGGGGCCAGAGGAAACGGGCTCTGCTGCATCGCCAACTGGTGGAGCTTCGTAAGCTGTGGAGACACAACACAACCGTCACACACACACACGCACGCACGCACGCACACGCAAAAACTGCTTTAAGTCTGCTTCTTACATCAGGCTGAGGAATGGCATGTTGTCCCTGCACCGCGTATGCCTGCAAAACACACACACACACACACACACACACACTTTAGGATTACACACATATCAAATACACAACACACACACACGACTGCATACAGACAGGCAAATATATGGATGTGCATGCACACACACCCACACGAACAAACACACACCCACCTGTCCTCCTGCAAAAATGACAGGCGATCCTGAGGGTTTGGGTCGGTAAGGGATGGTCACACCTTTAGGAGGAGACTGAAAGCAGAAGCACACAGTAAACACACACCGTCTCTCCGCACATCTAGCAGAGTACTGATGTTTAAACGCACACCTGAACACAGATTCAACAAAACACTTAACTCTGGCCTTACAATGAATCAAAAGTTAATTGATCAAGTGCATGATTAACCCTTGAGTGCTGTCCAGTGCTGAAGTCCCCACTGACTTCCATTATAATCACATTTATTGATTGGCAGTGTATAATCATGCATTCGTGGTCATGGCAGTATCAAACAATGTGATTATAATGGAAGTCAATGGAGCAAACACAGCACCAACCTCACCAAAGGAGAGTCAGTGTGAACAGAGTGTGTTCTCTCTTTCAGCAAAAATCATCATCACATTTGCTGAAACAGAGAAACTTGAGGCCATATCAAGACTCCAGATCAGCACAGAGGGGATGAAATGAACCCAACAGCACACACGGGTAACGGTTTAAGTGTGTGTTGTACCTCCAGCATGACCACACAGATCTGTTTGACACACTCGATGATGGACAGCGGGGTCCCGGCGATAGTGATGGCTCTCTCGGTGGAGTTGGGCAGCATGTCTCCTGCCACCTGTACCTGAGCTCCAGTCGACTGCACAACACACACAAAAATAACACTATTTTCAGGCCACATTTCTTTATTCGACACGAGATTCTGCTGCTCTCAGAGATTTAAAAGAACAGACTCACACACCACTTTAATAGAGCCAGCTGTGCATTTTAAAAGCTATTGTTAAGCATTTATATGACCTAAGCACACTTTTAAAAACACATATCTGCAAGAATATTTGGTATTTTAATGATCCAGTCAAAAACTGTCCTTCAACAGTCTACAGTCAGAGGATTAAAAATGCACAACACTTTAGACATGCTTGTGTCATTATATTTATTAAACACATTGAATAGTTCTCAATAGTTCAATATAGTAGTATAGATGTTGTGTTCAGGAGTTCATGAAATAAAAAATAAACTACTTTTAAGCAGGAGTGCACAAATAGAAGCTGCGTCCCAAATCACATACTTGTGCACTATTCTACGCCATTTTGTAGTATAAATAGTGAAAGCAGTGCGTTCACACTGTAAAATCTAACAATAATAAGTTCACTTTAATTACCCGGATGATGCACTCATTCAGCCGCTAAAGTGAAGTGTGTAATGATGGACACGTCACACACTCAACCACCGCAGGTTTGCTCACATAGCGGAAAGGGTGGAGCTATCGGGCGCACATGTTGGATAACTTTATTAATTGTGGATTGTGAAAGCAAAATTCTCCTATGAGAGTGATTATAGCGCCTCCTGATGGTGAATGCGGTTATACTCACGGCGGGTATTATTTGATAATTTGGTCATTTATTTCACTGATTTGGCAACCGTCAAACGTCATCAGTGAAACGGTTTGAATTTCCGCTTAGTAAAAAAACATTAGTGCTCCATTTGTGATGACAATATACACATGTACTATCCTGCTGAGTGTGTAAGTGCATAAGTACATAGTGCATAGTGTGCCATTTGGGACGCAGCTTATGTCAAAATGAAAAAAAATCTTTAAAATGAACAAATCCTCTGCCAATGGGGCGAGTGAAATAACCTAGCTTTTGTTTGTTTTGGAATAAGTTTACTCTGGCTCCCCCAGTGGCAGATCATTTTGCTTTTAAGGAAAAGCTCACTTCATTTTGACTCATTTCTGAACACGAGGCCATTTTGCTGGTCTAGAAAATTCTCCGTTTTAGAAATGTGGACTAGAAACAAGGGAAACACTCTCAGTAATAAAGCAGTGTTTGCTGTGTGTGTATTGTGGCTCTGTGTCCCGCACCTCCCTGATCTCCTTGATCTTGCATCCTCCTTTGCCGATGAGTGAGCCGCACTGGCTGGCCGGAACCACGATCCGCAGCGTCACCGGCGGCTTGGAGGTGGCCGTGCTGTTGGACATGGAGCTGCTGATGTCCTGATAAACACACACACACACAGTTCAGACCTGCGGTCTGTTCTGTATTCATTACTCTATTAGCTGGATTTGGTTATTGGTTTTGATTTTAAAAACTCATCTGAGAGTTGCTGTCATAACAGCAGCTCTGGAGCTCATTTCACATGAACAGCATTAGATCGGCTCATTTCAAGCACAGCTGATACTGAAAGAGTTTACTGAAGACTTTCTTACACTATAGGTTACATGTACACTATTAATCAGCAAAATAGCTGAATAGTAAAAATATACTAAAAATGAAAAATAAGAAGCTTTATACATGTATATATGTGCGTTTAATGTAATCTACACTGAAATAAAAGTGCAAACACTGTCTTACGGGGCTTTTCCCACACAAGCGGCTCAAAGAGAGCATTAATTAGTGACTAGGATCATTTTCAGATACCAACAGGTCCTTTTAAAGGCCGACCCGGCAGCTTCAGCACAGTTTCTGCGTATTAGACATGGCCAATCTTGTTTATGTTTAATATTAAAATGTTTATTTGATGCTAAATTAATTTATACAGCAGTTCTGCCTTATAAAGGATTAAGAAACTTGAATACTAATACTAAAGAAAATCTGCTCTCAATGTAAAACTAAAACCATCTACGATGAATTTCATGTCATTTTGCTGATGTGGAGGATCGAATATGAATTCAGATTGAACAGTCGCTGCACTGCTGATCATGATTAGGAGGACGGAGAGATCTGTCCTTGACAGACACAGATCTCAGAACAGCTCATCCACACATTTTATCAATGTTATTTCCAATTTGACTTTGATTTTAATTAATATTTTAATTACAGTTCACCTGCAAATTAGAGCAGAAACTGTATAACAGCAGACAAACGCACTGACTGCTATAGTAGCATAGGCAGTTATGGCTCAATCATGCTAACATTCAGCACAAATCTAATAATTTCTCCTTTCTGGCTGATCTTTCTGAGGGAATTCAGCAGAACACAGCTCAGACGCGTGTCTTGCTAGTAACAATAAAACCTCTGTGCACAATTATCTGTTGTTTTGGCTAAAAAATAATAATAATAAAAGATATCACTCAGCCCGCGAGCTGGCAGTCAGTGGGAGAAGGTAATGCTTTGCCCAGCAGGGGGCGTCAATAATAATTCATAATGCTGCGATGTCACGCCAAAACCATCATCTGAATGGCTGAATACGTGTATGCATGTCTAATGTGCGTATAAAGATCTAGAGAGCACCTCCTCCAGCTTCTCAATGATCATGGAGAAGGCCTTGAAGATGGCGGTGGTGGGGCCTGCGAGCGTGATGATGCGTTCAGGGCAGTTCCCTTCCGAGATGTTGATCCGCGCACCGCTCTGCACAAACACACACACACACACACTCGCAATCACTCAAACACAACCATCAACACGTCTGAAGAACAGCCTCTCACCTCCTCCCGCATCTTCTTCACAGATTCACCTTTCTGAAACACACACAGATTATTTTTAGCATCTCAGACTGAGAAGACACGCTGAACAGTAAATGCTTTCGACTGCGCTGACTTGCTGTACAATATTAAAAGATCACAAACAGGATATAGTATGACGAACAGTACCTATAGATATAACAACAAAACAACTAAACAGCACCATCCTCAGTTCCCTACGAACAAATGAGTACACAAGCAATAAATCAGTATTATCAGAGTTAGTTTTGACTGGATTGTTTTGATTGTTCTCTTGATGTGGAAAACCCTGTGTACCATATATCAGTATGTAAACTTGGAAACTGAAAAAAAAATAATAATAACAACAACAACAACAATAATAATACAAAAGGAGTGTGATGATGCTCCCAAAAATTTTTATAGGCCTATATGCCAAAAAACAACAGAAGATATATATGATTACAGTTGCTCCAGTGCTTTCTAGCTCGCTCAGTTTGCATACTTTACTAAAAAAATAAATAAATAAAAATGCTTTATAAATAGGTTACATCATGCATTGACTAATGAAATGATAGATAATTGATCTATTTTATTTTCCATCAGATGCAGCATGGTTATTTTAGCGTCACTACAGTACATCTGTGGTAAATGTTGGCGTTATGTTAATTAACACTCTTCATTGGGTCTCTGTTGTGTAACGCTTCTATTGTTTGGTTTTTCAGAGCTGCTGTGATGGCGTTGAGGTGGGGGCTAATTAGCATATTTATAGATCTGTGCATATGTAATGAGATGGTGGAATTCAAGTCATTAAGACATGAATATATTTTACACTGTGGACAAAAAAATCCATGTAATTTACATTATCAAAGCTGAGCCTTAAGGGATAAAATAAGAGGCTGCGGTGTAAAATAGAGAATCTAAATATTATGTTTGTTTACTTTTAACATAGGTAGGCTGTATAAGGTCTACCAAATTCAGTCCTGCATCAGAAAAACTGACACGTGGTTAAATGTGTTTTCCTCAAGTGCAGGCAAGTGAAGACGTCACACAAGTCTCAGCTAAAAATACAATTGCATGACTAGATGCACTTAATTATTTTAAATGGCATAACACACTTTATTATTTGCATTTAATTAATAAGCCCAAATTTGTGAACCATTACTATAAAAATGCATTAAATAAATAAGATTTATGTACTTTTATTTATTTACTACAGCAAGATTACAGAAGACACTTCTCTGATTCTAGTGACCTAAATAACTGATTTTACAGCAGCTTTTCTCAATATTGAGCCCTTTCTTATGCAGTTTTGTTGTAAAAAGACAATCTTAAAAATAAAATTATCTTCACAAGAATTGCTTTTACACGCATATTAAAAACCCCAAAGAAAAATGAGCATATAAAGGTGCACATCTAAAGGGTCTAATCAAAACATCACTTCGCTCCTTCACTTCAGCCAAATAGCGTTCATTAGCGGTGTGTTGTGTTTACTATGTGTTTACTACTTTACTATGGTTCAATGACTGATTTGCTGCAAACAACCAACAACTGAGCTTTTGCTAATCACATCACACTTTTACTGTCACACAAAATGTGTGTCTTTTGCTTTATTTTATTCATCAAAGACAATTGAGATTAATCTGTGGTCTTTATTAGATAAAGCTTTATTAAATAAACAATAGAAACCTACAAACAAGTCTGTACAATCAATCCTAATGATACACTGAGCCCTGATAAAGCCAAATGATCGTTCTGTGCAAGAAATGAAACGCTATAAACAATATTTCAGGACTCATTTTGAAAATAAATGTTCTCTGGTTTAGTAATGCGTATGAAAACGCAATGCAGAATTCTCCATCTGAGCTCATTAGCCCTCTGATTAGTTCCCACCTTCAGCATTCAACAACAAATCAGGATGAGAGACACGGTGTTGTAATGGTTTCTAAGGGGAGGAATGAGGTTTGTTGGGACGTTTGGACTGAGCAAGAGCAAAGTTGCAATCTAGACAGAGTCACGTCCTGCTGGAGACGCTGTAGTCAGAAATATTGCCATAATGATATCAATACGATTAATTGTGCAGCCCTAATATACACTCACCGCACCGTCAGGGAAAACCGAAGCGCTTAGTTTGTCCACATGCAGTAATGTTTTTGAAGAGGAACAATTAGACTAAACAACTGGCATGTAAAAATGGCATATAAAAATGACGATGGTTATAGGTTGTGAATTTTAGTTTATTTTCAATTAATTGTCCAGTTCTAGCTGATGGTGAGTAAATCATCTGATAATTTTTGTAAACTTTAAGGTAGAGAACGAGGCCAATTTGTACTGTATGCTGAATTATCGCTGTAATAATATTAACCATAATAATAATTAGGGATGTCCAGATCCAATCACGTGAGCGGAATGCGGGCCTAATCATGCAGTTTCAGACCCAATCTGAATCGGACATTACATCCTGATCAGGACTCGAATATACATTTATGCATGCATGTGTGTATACGTATATATATATATATATATATATATAAACTCAATATTTTAACATCTCCTTCATGACTTCAACCAGAAACAGCAACGTAGCAACCACTTTGTTGCAGAGGCACTATTAGTTGAATGCCGGCAAAGTAGAGCACAGAAGCAGATTGAAGAAGAAAGCGCAAGTGTGTCTGTGGTCTGGAAGTATTATAAAGCTGATGATGACAACATCGCCATAGCTAACTGTGAGATATGTAAACCTGGGATTGCCTGCAGGGTATTTTAAGTTCAGGTGCTGTTTGTTTGTATATATTTTCTCCTGCACTTAAGTCCAAGCGAAGAAATGTTGTTATTTATCACTTGATTGTTTGAGCTCCCTCACAGAAGCGCTGTGTTTGTTAAGAGAGTTGTGGAATGATAAAGTAAGGTGAAATGAAAAAATAAGGAACATCCTGGATCTGTTTATTCACTCTATTTTCTTAATGTATTATAGAGGTTTCAGATCGGGTTTTGGTATCGGTAGACAATAATAATGATGGTGGTGGTGGTGATGATGTGACTGAGCACACAAACTGAAGCTTCTCCAACACACCTTCCCAATAATGCTGCCCACTTCTTTGCCATGCATGAGCAGCCGGATGGTCAGCGTGACGTTCAGCCCTCCTTCAATCACTCCAGAGTCCATGATGATCAGCCTGCAGAGATCTGGATCTTTGGTCACGGATGATTAACCTGTGCAGCCCACAAACACAGAACATCAGCACACCACACATTAATAATATTAAACAAAAGGCACACCCATTACATAGATTAAAATGACAAGATCAAACATACTGCAGTCGACCCAATTAAATATCAATAGCAATAATAATTTGACCGTCACAAAGACCAGGGTGCTACGACAAAAGCATACTAAACTCAAAATTACAATATGAATCACACAAACAGAGCAAGAACTATAATATAATAAAGCTGATTATAAACCCCAGTTATAGTGAGATAACCCACACGACGAAGACAACATTTTTCTTGTGTAATGGAGTATGAATGAATAAACACACGACACCAACACAGCACACCTAAAGCCCTCCACTACAGTCAACTACGACAGGAGCATTTATAAAACACTCCCACTGAAAAACAACAGTAATACCACTGCTAACGTCAATAATAAAAACAGAACAGGTCAAATCACGTCCATCATTAATCACGCAGTAACAACCACAGGATCCCTGATTGAGCAGCTCGAGCATTACCCTGGTAAAGCCACAGCTCGAGTAAACGCTGAATAAACGCGTCTGAAGCACACGACTCAACACAAACACTGACGGCGGACATTATTGACGCCTTGGATCAATGTTTAGCGCCAGTAGAGGATATAAACACGCGTTATTATTAATATACGTCGAATAAATATGGAATAGTGTATAAAAGTGAGGTTATCGGCCGCTAGGAGTGACCGCAGGCGGTATAAACAGCGCGCTGGAGCCGCGTTAGCTCGTGTTTACCAGCTGCGTAACACCGCGTCATGACGGCCAACCGCGCTCCACAGCCGTCGAACCCGCTCCAGCTCGACCCGCCGCCGCCATGCGCCCGGTTACACGGTATACACGGGCGACCCGAGCACCGGAGCGTCGACAGAGAGAGCTAGAAAACCGCGCAGGCTGATTAGCATCAGCGCTATCGCTAGCGCAGCCCGCGGCCTTCAGGGCCTCACATTTGGGCAGGACAGAACCGCGCTGGAGGCTCACCTGACGTGCGCTCCGGGTGGGGGAGAGTCCGAGGGTCCGGAGGGAGAGAGGGGGAGGTTCGGGAGGGAGTTTTGAGAGGATTCGGGGAAGAGGGAAGACACGGCGGCGTGATCGAGCTCCACTCTTACAAAGACAACAAGATGTGTCCCGATCACCTCTCACCCACGACCTTTCTGACGTCAGCGCGCTGGCCACGCCCCCGGCCCGCCCGCCGCGTACTCCACACTGCACACTGCGTACTGCGCGGTAAAATGGAGAAGGGATACAGCTGCGGATAATCACATCGGTATAGCATCATTTTAGTTATGCTGGACAACAATACTTACTGTTCTACATTACTGTGAGGGTTGGGGTAGACGTAGACGTTCCTAAAACATAATTTAATGAGTAATTATAATAAATGACATTAATAATACTCCGTATAATTACTGTTTTTATATTACTGTGATGGATGGGGTAGGGCTAAACGTTAATCAAATAAAATTTATGGATACTAATACTATTATATTATACTATTAAATTTACTGAATAATATAAATAGTTTTTGTTGACTTCCGGCCGAAGCTGTATCCCTTCTAGTAACAAGTACTTCTGTACACTTCTGTAGTGGAAACATAAACATGTCAGAATATTTTCATACTCTCCCGACATTGTGTTCATTGATTTTTTCATCTATTATTTTCACGTTGCTGTTTTACTTATCTATAGTATATGGCAGTCAATAACAAAATAAATGACTGACAGCTCCACCCAAATTTATTGATAGCCCTACCCTAAAGGACTGATAACCCCTCCCCAAATGACTGCTAGCCTTACGCTTTAGGACTGATAACCCCACCCTAAAGTGCTGACAGCCCCACCCAAAGGACTAATAACCGCACCCTAAAATGCTGATAGCCCCCCGAAAGGACTGATAACCCCACCCTAAAGTGCTGATAGCCCCCTCCAAAGGACTGATAACCTCTACCTTAAAGACTAATAGCCCTGCCCTAAAGAACTGCTAACCCTGCCCTAAAGGACTAATAACCCCGCCTTTAAGGACTGATAGCTCCACCTTAAAATTAATGATTGCCCCAACCTAAAGCACTGATAGCCCCGCTGAAGGACTGATAACCCCGCCTTAAAAGACTAATAGCTCCGCCCTGAGTCACTGACCAACCCTACCCTAAAGGACTGATAACCCCACCCTAAAGGACTGATAGCCCCGCCCTAAATGACTAATAAACCTGTCCTAAAGGACTGATAGCTCTGCCCTAAATAGACTTCCATGTGAGCAGAAGGTAAGATAGTCGTTTTGACGAGCAGGAAAGGTTATGGCATTTGTTTAAAGTTTTTGAGAGCAAATGATGTAGAATATTGTTATTGTTTATAACAAGCACTACTGTTTACGTTTAAGTAAATACAAAGAGTAAATATTGATTTCATAGCAACTTAAATAATGTGGGTCAGTGCAAACAGGAGTAACAGAATCAATTAAATGGGAAACAGCTGCGATGCAGGGATTTGGTGAAATACATTGTGGGAGATGTAGTCCTGTAGAGCTGCAGGACGGCAGGAGCACCCTCTAGTGGCTCTCATGGGCAGCTGATCTTCATAACAGGTTCAGTAACAGACTGTGAGGTGTAATGCAGCGGTACAGTTCAAGAGATAAACACCTGGACACAAAAAGGTTTATCGATGACCTTCTCGACTACTGCTGCGTGTTCCTGTTCAATACACTTTGATCATGTCTCACATGTATCACAACTGAAGCAACACTGAGAAACATGAGGCAACATAACAACAACAATCACAGTATATCTGGGCAGCATGGTGGCGCAGTGGGTAGCACAGTGGGTCGCCTCACAGTAAGAAGTTCGCTGGTTCGAGTCTCGGCTGGGTCAGTTGGTGTTTCTGTGTGGAGTTTGGATGTTCTCTCCGTGTTGAAGTGGGTTTCCTCCACAGTCCAAACACATGCGCTATAGGGGAACTGATGTGTGATCTGTGTGTGAAGGAATAAGAGTGTATGGGTGTTTCCCGGTGTTGTGTTGCAGCTGGAAGGGCATCCGCTGCGTAAAAGATATGCTGGATAAGTTGGCAGTTCATTCCACTGTGGCGACCCCAGATTAATAAAGGGACTAAGCAGAAAAGAAAATGAATGAATGAATTCAAAGAAGTGGTCCAGTATAATAACATTAACACTCATCAGTTATAGAGAAATACATTAATATTTAGGAGATTGTTTTGAATGTGTTACTAATTATTGCTGTTAAAGCTTTTAAATCGTAACAGAATTGACGCTAACAGAGTTGAGATTGTCCACCATTTTGTGTTTTAGCTCAAAACGCTAAAGCAGACAGCACATGGCCTCAAACAAAAACAAGGAATCCAGCTTTCTTCAATTACATTTATTTCTCGAACTGCTTCCAGCAAACTAGCACACTGTACATATATCACATAAAACAACCTTCAGTAAAGATATTTGGGGTAAATCAGCTGCGCTATTGCACAAACTCTCTTCATGGGCTTCAGGAATATTTCCCTTCTGATAGTTATGACTGGGGAAGGAACAGGATTCAGCGCTATAATTAAACCTTCATCATTGTACACTTCACATACAGTCGTTCATTGTTTTGCTAAACATGAAAGTGTAAAGACATCCTGAAGGAGAACTCAAAATCTGATTGCAGATCACATGACCACGCTCGCTCCTCTTTCTGCCCTCCTGATTGGCTGATCAGGATTTAAGCGGGAGAATTCGGAAGCGGTGAACATTCAGACCTTTGGCAGAAAGATAAATGCAGTGTGTAACCACGGCACATGTAAGACGATGTGTCCTCTCGACATACAGTATTATTATTCTCTCTTATGATCATCTGCTGATGGAGAAACGAACACAAAGCAAACCAAACGTCACTGAAAATCTTTCACAATTGGAGGTAGTCAGTACTGGAATATTATATTATCAAAATCTACATGATGACACACGCTGTTATATGCAGTCTACACTGACATAATGCTTCTCTCACCTAGAGTTTGTGTCTTGATTCTAGTACAGATGTCTACAGACTCTTAAATCAAGAAGGATTTTCCAGACAAGCACAACATATAGTGTTGTTTTCAGCAATAATGAGTCAAAATGAAGAGAGTTTCTCCTTAAAACAAGCAAAATAATCTGACAATGGGGAAAGCAAAACAATTGCACTAATGTTTTACCCATAATTGTGACTCATTATTTCTGAAAACAAGACAATAGTCGTCTAGAAAAGGCTTCTTGATTTAAGAAATATGCACAAGACAAACTCGCTAAGCATGGACAGCATGTTTTGCAGCTCTAGAAGTGTGTATTCCTGAACACACACACTTACACTATTGAACCGTCCGTCTTTAAGGCTCAGCAAGACTAAAGGGAAGTTCTTATGTCTAGTTCTCTCCTGTGTTATAATATGCAAGCATTACAGATGTGTGTATTGGGATATCTACTGTAGGTGAGGGTTCATTTACAGTCTATGGGCTGATCTCTGACTAAACAGACAAACATGCAACAGTGAGATACGTGAGACGGGATACGCGATGTGACTCTGCATGAGGATTAGAGGATTATTTCATACAATAGAAGACAGTACAGAGCCAAGAAGTCTAGAACCAAAGCTTTACGAAGATGGCGAAGGCTGACCGGCTGCATGCAGACCACTGGGGAATCTGGAGGAAAGCAGAGAAGAAAACCACGATTAGCAGAGGATCCCAGCTCAACATGAGTGTGTGTGTGTGTGTGTGTGCGTGTGTGTGTGTGTAAATTATAGTACAGCTTCCTGTGAAACATTTTAAGACACTAACAGAGTTGACGGAAACAGAGTTGAAAATAAAAGAGTTGACGAAAACAGAGTTGACAATAACAGAGTTGACGATGACAAAGTTGATTTTAACGGAGTTGACAATAACAAAGTTGACAATAAATGAGTTGACAATAAAAGAGTTAAAGATAATGAAGTTGACGATAATGGAGTTGACGATAACAGAGTTGACGATAACGGAGTTGACGATAACAGGGTTAACAATAACTTTCAATAATAAATAATAAAAAAGTTGACGATAACGGAGTTGACGATAACAGTTAATGATAACGAGGTTGACGATAACAAAATTGACGATAAAAGAATTGACGATAACAGAATTGACGATAACAGAGTTGACGATATCAGAGTTGACGATAACAGAGTTGACGATGACAGTTGACGATAACAGAGTTGATGATAACAGAGTTGACGATAACAGAGTTGATGATAACAGAGTTGACGATAACAGAGTTGACGATAACAAAGTTGACAATAACAGTTGACGATAACAGAGTTGACGATAACAGAATTGACGATAACAGTTGATGATAACAGAGTTGACAATAACAGTTGACGATAACAGAGTTGACGATATCAGAGTTGACGATAACAGAATTGACGATAAAAGAATTGACGATAACAGAGTTTATGATATCAGAGTTGACGATAACAAAGTTGCCGATAACAAAGTTTACGATAACAGTTGACGATAACAGAGTTGATGATAACAGAGTTGACGATATCAGAGTTGACGATAACAGAATTAACGATAAAAGAATTGACGATAACAGAGTTTATGATATCAGAGTTGACGATAACAAAGTTGCCGATAACAAAGTTTACGATAACAGTTGACGATAACAGAGTTGATGATAACAGAGTTGACGATAACAGAGTTGACGATAACAAAGTTGACGATAACAGTTGACGATAACAGAGTTGACGATAACAGAGTTGACGATAACCGTTGACGATAACAGAGTTGACGATAACAAAGTTGACAATAACAGTTGACGATGACAGAGTTGACGATAACAGAATTGACGATAACAGTTGACGATAACAGAATTGACGATAACAGTTGACGATAACAGAATTGACGATAACAGTTGACGATAATAGAGTTGACAATAACAGTTGACGATATCAGAGTTGACGATAACAGAATTGACGATAACAGTTGACGATAACAGAGTTGACAATAACAGTTGACGATGACAGAGTTGACGATAACAGAATTGACGATAACAGTTATTTTTCATCATTTTGTGCTTTGGCTCCAGATGCTAACCTCAAAGCACCCCATGATGTATATATAAGTATATAAGTGTGTGTGTGTGTGTGTGTGTGCTGTGGTGTGCATGTGTGTGTGCTCACATTAAATGATTAACTGGCTGCAGTCTCCTGCTGCATGATGTACACTCGAGAGGCATCGTCCACCATGCTGCCGCAGTGAACATCACTCCTGAAACAGAGATGCAGAGCCCAATAAAGCAACACAATAATAAAGGTGTCCAGTTTCCAAGAATCCAAGTTTCTCATCCACACTGAGAAGTATCTGAAACTGGTAAAGTCATCGTACACCACACGTGTAAAATGCAGTAAAAAAAGTCTGCCAGAGTATATTTGGTATAAACTTATTATAATAAAGATCTGGTGTACAGCTGGTGTTTTAGAAGACAGGTTGAATCCAGATATATTAAACAGGTTCATTAATATCATGAATTCAAAAATAAGGTACATTCTGATCCAACATTTCTAAATAATAATAGAAATGTCCAATATCTACAGTCAGAATGAGCATCACAGGGATAAACATGCATGATGATCTTCAGAAAACTCTGCTTGTCTGAGTGGAGAAAGCTTTTCAGATGTGTCTGGGTTGACTGACCTGTTATCATTAATATCTGTGCTGTTTCCTGAAAAGAAAATAAGAAACAAAGCAAAGTTCACATCTGTTACATCAACAACATGATGGCCTGTTTCTAGTCTAAATATCTAAAAACTCTTAAATCAGTCAGCATTTTCTAGACAAACACAAAATATAGTCTAGTTTTCCGAAATAATGAGTCAAAATGAACAGAGTTTCTCCCTAAAACAAGCAGAATAATCTGCCAATGGAGGAAGAAAGATAAGCTAGTTTTTCATTTGGACATTAGATCATTCTGTTTCCCACATTGTCAGATTATTTTGCTGATTTTAAGGAAACCTCACTTCATTTTGACTCTTATTTCTTTTCTATTGCTCGTCTAGAAAATGCTTTTTGATGAAACTTTTTTTTTTAAAGATATTTGGACTAGAAAACCATTTTTATTTCATCATTATGGCTCACAAGACACGCAGTCAGATCACACACACTCCTGCTTACCGTTCTCCACGTCGAGCGGACAGGAGCTCAGTATGTCTATGGATCTCACAGTGCTGTATCCAACACTAAACACACACACACACACACACACACACACACACACACACACACACACACACACACACACACACACACACACACACACACACACACACACACACACAGAGCGCAGATCAGTGGAGAAGAGGAGAGAAGCTGCATTGCTCTCACAACATGTCTGTCATTCATTCGCTTCATATCCACATCTAGTGCACTGATGATGCTCTACATACACAAGTTCATATCTGACTTCACAGCCATTGTGTTCAGTTCTCTGCTTTTCCAGTAGTTGGTGTGTGTTAATTACTTACGTTCGCCTCCCTCGCCATAGTATTCTAGCGTGACAGCTCATAAGAGATGAATGACCTTGGCATGTAATAACTGGTTATGATCTATTACTGAACTGATACCGAATCATCAACATCTGCATCATGGTGCATTGACCAAATGATAAGTTTTAACACCCCTAACAGACAGACAGACAGACAGATGCTCACGTGTTGGTCTTCTGGCTGTTCTCCATCTTCTCGTCCTGCAGGAATCGGGCATTGCTGTAAGACGTGGCCGGTTTGCTAGCGCGTGTGACGGAGAAGCTGGTGGGCGATGTGGCGGTGACGTGATGCCCGGGTCTCACTGGCTTAGCTGAGAGGGGAGAAAAGCACACACACACACACACACACGCACACACACACACACACACACACACACACACACACACACACACACACACATCATCAATCATCAATGCGCTGTAAAGAGGATCTGAGAGAGTGTGTGTGAATGTGAATGCAGTGTTCAGCGTACCGATCTGAGCGGCGTTGGGCCGGCGCAGTGGGTAACGCAGCCTCATGGCGTCCCGGATGCGCTCCACCTCCTGCTGGTACCGGCGCCGGTCATTCATCGCGCCCTGTTTGGCGTCCTTCAGTGCTGTCTCCAGCGCCCGAACCCGCTCAGCCGTAGAACGAAGACGTTTCTCCAGCTTCGGAAGCTCACAGCGGAGATCTGCATTATCACGTACCAGCTGCTCGACACAGAGGACGCAATGAGGAAATTCAGCTCAGCTCAATTGAGTTCAATCTGTACAGCGCTTTTCATAACAATTACTGTTTCACAGATGCTGTACAGAAGGTGCACATTACTACAATTAAATGAAGTTAAAGTTGAGGTTATCAGTTTCCATAACTGTATTAGTTATTAATAACTAGAGCCAGACAGAATCCATGTGCACAGAAATACACAGATTTCCGCAGATGTTTAACGTATCATTTGGTCTATTTGTTTACTTGTGTATATGTTTGTACATTTATATGTATTTGGTTTTTAAATTAATTTCAGTAATAATATTTACTAATATGAAGGTGTTCATTTGATTTATTCACAATGCAGTCTGTGAAGTAATATTTTCTGTCTTTTAGTAGAGATGTTATATGAGAGACTTGCTTTGTTTACCAATCAACTGGATCTAGATGGATTGGATTTGCATTATGAACAATATTCATAAATTAAAAAGCTATTATTTTTTATTTTATATTTTAAACTTGTAGTAACGATTCTCCCAAAATAATTCTGCATAAATCCGCAGATTTTTTACAAGATTTTCCACAATAATAACAAAAAATGTCTGCAGATAGTCTGGCCCTACTAATAACTGGGGCCAGACAGAATCTGTGGACATTTTTTGCTTATTTTGTGCAAAATTTAGTTTTATCAAACTTTGTTTCAGAAAGTTTCATAACTAAAAACCTAATGTATAAAAATAAAAATAATACCTTTTTTAACTTTTATTCAAGATTTACAATGCAAATCCAATTGGATCCACTTATTTGGTAATCAAAGCATAAAATATCTACTAAAAGACAGGATATTACTGCACAAACTGTATTGTAATTATATGAACATTTTTTATAATAGTCAATAATATTACTGTAATTAATGAAAAATATAGTATAGCTCTCAAAAAATATGAATATAGATTTACACACATTAACACAGGTAAATAAAGACTCAACGATGAGCTACAAATCTGCTGAAGTCTGTGTATTTCTGCGCGTGCAGATCTGTGTGTGCCTACTAATAACTTTAACTAATTTACTAGTAACTAATAGCTTTTAACTGTTAAAGTTACAATATATAAGCATATTATCCTGCACTATGATAGTAAATAGGCGATGCAGAGATGTTCAGTGAAGTGTATGGATATAATGGGATGACATGGATTCAGTGAAATATGTCCAACAAACGTAACCTCAGAGCGTCCTCACCTGTTTATGAACCTTTGTAAGCTGATCCAGGTTGTTCTCAAGAAAGGAAATCTTCTGCTTCTGGGTGTTAGACCCCCCACTATCATCAGGTCCAATTTCTGAACTCTGTGCAAAGAGAAGATGAGCTGACACTTCACTATACACTGCCTTTTACACTAACAGCCAATTAACCCTTGTGTATTGTTCTGATTGACTCTCCTTTAGTAAGTGCATGCTGTAAATGAATATTCCACAGTACTTAAATGTAGAATTAAACTGAAAAATGAAGCATAATCAAAGACACACAGCAGTATAAGATCTCTCCAGCGCATGATCCATGTTCAGGTGCTGAACTCACTTTTTTAACCCGAGTCGTGAGGTCTTGAACGAACAGCTTGCGCAGGTTGTGGAGGGTCTGGAGTTCCCGAGCCTGCGAAAGACAAACTCAACATCACTTTCCAGAACTTTCTCATTCACTGTTACTCGCTGGTGGAATAAAACTGAGACTAATCCTTTCTGTTTCCCGACTTCTATCCAAAAAGTAGGCATACACAGTTTGATTTTTGCTGCTGTGAGAGCTTGTAGATTGTTGATGCTCGCTTGGTTGTGAATCAATCATTTTTAAACATGTCCAGATATGTTCTGTTAGCTTAAATTCATGAGGTGTCGACCAGCCGCTGAATGATCTAGTTTTCACTTTGGCAGAAGATTGTTTTGTTCACCTCATGGTAGATTATTCTGCTTAATTGCTTCATTTTGACTCATTATTTCTTAAAACAAGACAATATGTTCGGCTTGTCTAGAAAATGCTTTTTGATTTTATAATTTGTTGATATTTGGACTAGAAACAAGACAAAAACATTAAATAATGTACAAATATACGCAGAGGAATGGGCAAAAATGCCCAGGTTTGCAAAGCTTGTGGCATCACATTCAACAAGACTTGAGGCTGTAATCACTAGCAAAGGTGCATCAACAAAGTATTGAGCAAAGGCTGTGAACACTGATGCACATCTGATTTTACCGGTGTTTTATTTGTAATAAATTTGTAGCTATATATATATACATATAAATATATGTTTTAATTTCCACAGTGATCTGATGGAGTTTGAATATTCTCTCTCTGTGTATTACAATGGAAACTTACAACAGTCTCCTCAAGGCCCTTGAGATCCTGTTTGGACTGCTCGTGTCTCTCCTGTTGAAACCTGAAGAGGAAACTGACAGACGTTAATAACAGATTCACAGCATTAAGATGTCTGCTTCAGGATCTGGGTGTATGAGGAGACGTACGACATCTGCTCCAGACAGGCGCTCTTGCTGTCGTCCTGCAGCTTCAGATTGCTGAAACTGGAGCGCACGTGAGCCAGCTCCAACTCCAGAGCCTGGTTCTTACTGCAACACATGCGATGATACCATTAACACCTCATTACAACACACACACACACACACACACGTTATATCTGACTAAATGTGTAATGCTATGAAGAAAAGATTGCCTTAATTAGAGTTTTTGCCTTTTTTTTTCTTTTTGTCTCAAGACAAGCAAAACACTGGGGTCAAAATGAGGTGAACTTCTCCTTAAAGCAACAAAATAATCTGGCTGTGGCGCAGGAAAAATAATGTAGCTTTTCATTTCGACATACAGTAAGATTATTTCTCTTCCCTCATTGTCAGATTATTCTGCTTGTTTTACGGAAAACAAAAACATTTCGACTCATTCTGTTTGAACTCAACTCTAGATGTTTTGCTTGTCTAGAAAATGCTGCTTGATTTAAGAATGTTTAGACATTTAGACTGGAAACAGGACAAAATCTCTAAGCAAGGAAAGCCTTTTCTGCAGTGTGTCTGCAGTAAGTATTATTGGGTTAATGTCCGAGGAGTGAGACTGACTCTGTGAGCTCGTCGATGAGTCTCTGCTTCTCGTTAATTTCATCCCGCAGGCGGCTGAGCTGCGTCTGACGAGACTCCGCATGCAGAGCTGGACGAACAGCGGCCTTCTGCACACACACACACACACACACACACACACACACACACACACACAAACATATGTTTGACTGCCATCCGTGATTTCATTTTTATCCTAATGTCTAGGAGAAGAAAGTCTGAGATGCACACACGGCATTGCAAAAGAGCTGTTTCACCCAAGACTGCAGATTCTGTCCTTAATGACTCTCCCTGACGATGCTTCAATCCCCTGAGCCCTTCGTTCATCTTCCGGACAAACATGAAGATAATGTAGATGAAATCCTGAAGCTCTCTCGTCCTCCAGAGACTCTCAAAGTCCAGACCTGACCAAAAACATCCTCCAGAAGAGTGCACTTGCTTATTCAAGAGTTCGCCCTCAGCCGGAGATCGATTATGAAGCGTGTTTGGCATGCTGTACTGAGAGAGAGCTCTGAGCTCAGAAGATCCTCGAGCCTGGGGCTCCCTCCTGTTTGCAGCTAGGTCAAGAGGGGAGTTTGAGCTCATGTAGGTCTCGATGAACTCCCCTGACTTATATCTAGCTAATGACCGATGATAGGATGGCTAAAGAGAGATACGGCTCACTAAGCTGATGCCAATTTAAAATGTTCAATTTACTTAGGTCTTGTGTTTTTGGATTGTGGGAGGAAACAGGGGAACCTGGAGGAAACCATCGCAAGCACGGGGAGAACTCCGCACAGAAAGGTCGACTGGCTCAGTACGGCTTTTAACCAGAGACATTCTAGCTGTGAGGCAACAGTGCTAACCACTGTACCGCCGTGCCGCCCTATCTAAAGAAAGGAGGAGTGAGGGTGGAAGGGGGAATTCTTCAAGACGAAGATGACTGAGGTAAGGAACTCTGGTTATTTATAGTGAGTTTGGAATGGTCTGATTGGTGAATCATGCATTAGATAATGCAGCACCAGCTGTGGTCAATCATGATCACGTGATCAGCTCTCAGTTACTTCATAAATAAACTTCACCATGACACAAAAATGGTGAAATGTCTCTATTGACCCATGTCTTCTGTGCAAGCATTGTATTGGCCATGGTTAATGTGCACCTGAACTAACGTTCAACAGAGAATATGCACAAAATTATCATTTTAATTGTGTTCATTAATGCACAGAAGTGTTGCTGGAGTTCGGTCATGACCACAGCTCATGGAGAGGGCGTTGAGGGTGATTTTGGTCTGGTCTGGACTATGGAGGATGAAGAGCTCCAGGATTATATCTAAATATCTTCATTTGTGTCTGAAGATGAACAAAGCTCTCAGGGGATTGAAATGACACGAGGGACAGGAATTAAGGACAGACGCTTTCATTCATAGTGAACTATCTCCTGTAAATGCAACCTGATGATGTGTGTCCATATACAGTATGACCCACTTACTTTCCCATCAGCCTCTCTGTCCGCCTTCTCTCCTCCGTCCAGCTCTGCCACATGACTCTCTGATAGAAACAAACACACACACACACACACACACACACACACACATGCATTAATGGAGCCGTGCAGTGCAGAACTGAGCTCAGTCTGAATCTGAAACACGTCCTCTTGACTTCAGCTCAGTTGTTTTTGACACACATACGACACATAAAGATATGACACATTACAAAACAAATGTCATATCACTGTCTCTGTAAAAATGAAATCTAGCAGTGTAAGTATTTGTGTGTATTAACGTATATCCCTCTAAAAGTGCACATTCAATATCAGTATTCCTCATTCATCTGCTAAGAGACTAATGCTGGAGCTGGACTTTGTTGAATCCAGTCCTCTTATTCAGTTCACTCAAACCAAAATCTGTGATAGAAGCAGAAGAGTCTGAAGACCAGAGCATAAGAGTGATGAACTGCAGTGTGTGTGTGTGTGTGTGTGTGTGTGTGTGTGTGTGTGTGTGTGTGTGTCACCAGAGTTCTGCAGTGTGTAGAGTTCTTCACTGAGAGCATCATAGTTGTCCTCCAGCTGTCTCTTCTTCTGCTCCACGTTCTGCATGTATTCTGTGAGAGAACGGATCTTTGCCTCATGCTGCGCACACACACACACGCACGCACGCACACACGCACGCACACACACACACACACACACACACACACACATGAAGACACAAAGTTAACAGGATAGACTACAGTCACATTTATTTGACATTTACTCGATATGGCACACACACACTTACTTATACTGGTATTGGTGATTTATGAGGACTTTCCATAGGGGGGAAATGTAATTTCAAACATTCATTTTCTTTTCGGCTTAGTCCCTTTATTAATCAGGGGTCACCACAGCGGAATGAACCGGCAACTCATTCATTCATTCATTTTCTTTTCGGCTCAGTGCCTTTATTAATCAGGGGTTGCCACTGCAGAATGAACCGTCAACTCATTTATTCATTCATTCATTCATTCATTCATTCATTCATTTTCTTTTCGGCTTAGTCCCTTTATTAATCAAAGGTTGCCACAGCAGAATGAACCACCAACATTTCCAGCATATGTTTTACAGAGCGGATGCCCTTCCAGCTGCAACCAATCACTGGGAAATATCCATACACACTCATCCACACTCATACACTACGGCCAGTGTAGTTGATCAGTTCCCCTATAGCGCATGTGTTTGGACTGTGAGGGAAACTGGAGCACCCGGAGGAAACCCACGCCAACACGGGGAGAACATGCAAACTCCACACAGAAACACCAACTGACCCAGCCGAGACTCAAACCAGAGACCTTCTTGCAGTGAGGTGATCCTGCCACCCACTGCGCCACCGTGATGCCGGTAATGTATTTTTTCACATTAAAAACCAGTGTTCCCCTACCCCTAAACCCAGCCCTCACAGCAAACCTGTGGCAGACTCTGGATGTGAAAAGACCCCATCGATTGGATTATTAAGCCTTTTGAATTAGAGGACACAAGACATGTCCTCATAAACCACCTCAATGTTGTAACAACACTGTCATACCCAGAGCCAGACAGAATCTGTCTACATTTGTGCTATTTCTGTGCAGAATGTGGTAAAAATATGCAGATTGATTTTTGAAATGAAAATAAAACTGGATAAATGTAGATTCACACACATTTACATCAAGTAAATACACTCAATAACAGCCTAAAATCTTCGCATAGTCATGAATTATACACACACACACACACACCTGTGAGATGAGCAGTTGGCATGACGACAGCTCCCGGCTGGTCTCCTCCATCTTGCGATGGCACTCCAGCTGCATGTTCTCCAGCTGCCGGCAGCGCTTCACCATCGACTTCACCTCAGATTTAATCTTGCTGATGTAGAGACGTGCCACGGTGAACTCCTCCTCAATCGCACCGCTGATCTCCACCGGCTACACACACACACAGATTACTGTCACCATAAACACACACACTTCTGCAACTGACGCTACTGTGCATCAGCTCATCAGTGGACTCAGGACGTCACACAGTCAGTTTGCATTGGCTGTATTTGCTTGATTCTGATTGGTCAGTTGCTACATTATACATGTTATTCTCAGATAACCACTGCTGAAACTAATGAGTCATCTTGACCGTCAGTGAATACGTCTACATATATATTTACATGCGTGTCTGTCTCGCTGCTGTTTCTGACTGTCTGTCTGGCGCCACCTAGAGACTGAATAATGTGCAGGTTAGCGTATGCACCATTCAGCCATTTCATGTCTGTCAGCTTCGTCTTTAAAGAATTAATGAACTAGTATGGCTCAGAACAATGCTTTGTGTCTAACGTTTCTGTTTTGTGGTCAGTAGCTGTGTAATAAGCAGGATAAAGTACACGCAGGCGGTTGTTATCACAGAATAACCCCTTCAGTCTTTACAGCAGCTGCTGATAAACCTGTCAGGGTTTATTCTGGGTTATAGTTATTATAACCCTTTTTATTTTATGTAAGTAACTATATCTTAAAATAAATCACTGCATAAAATGACTCAAACCAGGATTTTTGCTCACACTGCCTCTATTAGAGACAGATAGCCTGTTTAGCTCATCGATCAGCTATGAGCAGATGAAAATAAACCTAAAGGGAATGTGCTCTCTGGTCTTACTAGCTTGAGTTCTCCGTTTCCGACGATGCTGCTGAACTCGCTGAGATCCTTCATCAGGCCGTTCAACACGTCAGCGATGCGCTTCCTCTGCTGTGAGCTCACTTCCTGCATCTGCGCTAGCTCCGCCTCCAGCTCCATCAGGTTGGCCTAGAAAGGTAAGAAAGCGGTGAGGACACAACATTCGATGCTTTTCCCCTGAATGACACAGCTTGATGCAGTTCAGTGCAGTGATTTGCTTTTCCACTGCAATGCCAGCACTAGCTACACCAGTAACATCTTACAGGATACTGTGATGCCTCCAACACTTGTAAGACTAGTGTGAAAAATAGCACGTCTTACTTCAACTATCCTATTTTTGAATGATTTATTTACTACACGGCTGTCTGGAATACTTGATTCTGATCAGTTGTGACATTCCAATGTATGGTTATTCTCAGATAACAGCTGCTGAAACTACTGACACAGACTACTCTGGGTATTTTGAATCATCTTGACCGTCAGTGAATGTTTTCATCCATATTCATATGCTTTTTTCGGTCATGTGTAACCCCGCCGGTCCTACTGCACCCATCCCGCTCTGAGCTGGTATCGAACCAGTGACCTTCCCCATGGGCGTCGGTTGCTCTAACAAGGAGGCTGAAGATCGTGGTCTCTAGCATCTGTCGCTAGAGCACCTTTAGAGGTCAGAGGAGTGAGGTTTACCTGCATAGCACTTACTATCTGGCCTCCGCCTCACTTCCATCCGGGTCACGGCACCAATGTAACCCCGCCGGTCCTACACCACCCAACCCGCTCCGAACTGAGATCGAACCAGCAACTCTTTGTATGGGAGTCGGTTGCTCTAACAAGGAGGCTAAAGACCATGGCCAGCACTTACTTGCTGGCCTCTGTTACATTCACCCCCCTAAACATAACTCTCATCCGGGTCACGGCACCAATGTAACTAGTCTTTTGCGCCTCTTCTGCGTTGTGTGAACACTTATCAACTTTGATCTTTTGGTGATTTATTGTCTGTGAAAAACAGAACAAAAATGAGCGCAAAGACATTCAACCAGCCCTCGTGCACTGGCTTCTTCTTCCCACACATCACAATGAATTTTCCTTATGAGGTAACAGAGGCGGCGCTCTACATGTAAAACAGTAAACACGTTAATCCCTTCCTTTTTTATAGTATTTTAATGTGTGCAAGTGGAGCGATCTAATATGACCTGTTACACACGCTCATGCTTTTGAATGTTTGGCGCCATCTAGAGACTGAATCATGGTTAGTGTATACACCATTCAGCCATTTTTGTTTCTATCAGCTTTGTCTTTAAAGCCGTGATGAACTCTTATACCTCAGAATAATTTTTAGGCTCTATTTAGAAAAAATATTTTGCCAACTAGCTGTATAATCAGCAGGATGAAGTACATGCAGGCGGTTGTTATTGCAGAATAAACTCTTCAGTCGTGTTCAACAGCTGATAAACGAAGCCACCAATTTAAATGCATCCTAACAATCTTGTGAAAAGAGTCCTTTCCACCAGGGAGGAACAGTGAATGAGAAGGTTCTGGAAAGAGACTTATATCCTACAGCTAATGTCAAGCCTTCTCACTCAGAACAGCACAGTGTTCTCCTGGAAATGTGGGGTGCTTGTTGGAAGGTGTTTGGTGCATATGGAGAGAAATGAGTGTGTGATCACCATCTTGTGGCTGAGCTGCTCGGCCAGCTGTTTGTTGTGCAGACTCTTCTCCTCCACCTCCTGGCTCTTCTGGTCGTAGTTGACGGCCAGCTCCTCCAGCGCCTGCAGCACCTCCCGCACCTCCGCCTTGGCGCTCTCGCTCTCCGTCTGCAGACGACCCAGCTCCGTCTGCACCTTATCACTGTCGCCGCGGGTGGAGGCCAGCAGCTGAACACACCACAGCGTTACAGTTCACAAACACCGCTCTCAACCAAACATACTGTAGACACAGGGTGCCAATCACAGACGGGGTTTAACCTGTGTAGGTAATGCTTGATCCCCTTAAAGATGTCAAAATTCAAACTTCATTTTCACATACACACAGTCATATACATACGAGTGAAATGCCTAAACAACTGCCTGTAACATAAATATATATACAGTTAAATTCAGAATTATTCGCCCCTTTAAATTCTTTTTCCTTTTAAAATATTTCCCAGATGATGTTGAACAGATTCAGGAAATGTTCACAGTGTGTCTGATAATATTTGTTCTTCCGGAGAAAGCCTTATTTGTTTTATTTCGGTTAGAATAAAAGCAGTTTTTAATTTTTTAAACACCATTTTAAGGTCAATATTATTAGCCCCTTATTATTAGAAAGCTATATTTATTTCTAAATGTCTACAGAACAAACCATCGTTATACAATAACTTGCCTAATTACCCTAACCTGCCTAGTTACCCTAATTACCCTAGTGAAGCCTTTACATGTCACTTTAAGCTGTATAGAAGTGTCTTGAAGAATATCTAGTCTAATATTATTTACTGTCATCATGACAAAGACAAAATAAATCAGTTATTAGAGATGAGTTGGGGCTCATGTTTCTGACTTCAACTACATAGATATTGATATATTGACATTGACATAGACATGGATATATATATAACAATAAGAATCTAAATTATTGAGTAATCTCTGACCTCATCCTGATCCAGAATCTGCTCCTTCAGCTTCTCCACCAGCTGACACTGGAGATTGATCTCATCATCCTGGAAAGCACACAGTGGATGACGTTAGGGTAAAACAGCACATATCTGCATATAGATACTGTAAACTATGATGTGATAGATGACACATGGTCCACAGTGAGTCTTCATTTCAATAACATAACTAATAATGCCATGAGTGCAAATAAAAGCTTTCCTTACTTAGAGTGTTTGTCTTCTACTTAGTCTGGATATCTACAAATGTTCATAGGTAAGAAGCAAGTATAGAGAAGTTCTGTCTTGCCAAGTTAACAATCAGTCTGTCAAAGATTTTGTAAGGATAGTTTTTTTGGCTGAAAATGACGGATTTTGAGATTGATTTTGTCAAAACGTATTGAATTGTTTGCTTTGATTATTGTGTTTTGCAGAGTAAATTCACACAAATCTTATACTTTTGTTCCTTTTTTATATTAAGAACCACTGGACTCACTAAATCCTGGAGGGACTGAACCATTATTGTATAAACAAATCATTATTTTGCTTATAGCACATTGGAAGATTATTGTTGCCAACTATTTGATGCAAAAAAAAAACTTTTTTCTGAAAGCAAGGCAATCATTTTTACTAGTCTAGAAAATGCTTCTTTATTTAAGCGTTTTAATTATTACCACTAGAACCAAGGAAAAAACTCCAAGTATTTATTTATTTTATTTTTTTGCAGAGAACCTTTATTAGCACTTATAAGAGCTGACTAAATGACAAGCTTTTGTCATCCAATTGTAGATTACAGAACTGAAAATCAGGAACTAATTGCTGTTTGATTTGATTCTCTAGCATGAGCTTGAAAATTAAACTAGTTTTAAATAAGTAGCACAATCCTGAGCGCAGATAAGAGCCTTTAATTGTATTTACTTATATCACATTTAGTCATTTAGCAGAAAAAAAAAATCTGCCTTCCTTCTTAGACTTTACAGACCTGAAACTTGCCTACAGCACTTCTTCATTGTTGCTCTTATAGTTGTGTAAATTGCTTCCTTGTCCTCATTTGTAAGTCGCTTTGGATGAAAGCTTCTGCTAAATGACTAAATGTAAATGTACTTATATCTTCTACTCTTTCTGCATTCTAACTGTTTTGAATATCCAATGTAAAAGCTCTACGCTCCATAAATCTGTAAGTAAATGATTGAATTAAAGCAATGAAGGTCTGAATTAAAAAACAAAAAGAGAATTTTAAATCTGACCTGTGTGACATATTAATGTTTGGTAAATAAAGTAATGTCATATCAGTTAGAAGTTAGGTATGGTGTGCCACAACCCAGCAGGCACACATCGTCATAAGATGTTAATATTGGGTTAGATTTAGATTGTGACGACAAAAATTCCATATCTAGCCAGTGTCTAATGACAATGTTATTTTGACTTTTAATAACAACATCAAATGACGTTGATATCTGTTTGATTTTGGGGTTTGTTAGTAAGTGACCAAGATCCAATGTCAAGCCAATATCTTAAACTAACATCATATTGATGTCAGATACTGATATTTATTCATCAGGTTTGGCAACCAAAATTCAACGTCTGATTGGTAACGTCCACACAACGTCAAGCACAACATCATTAGACAGTGATATTAGGCTGATTTCAGGTTGGACATTGGACAATGACGTCGGTCTGATGTTGGGTTTTGATGTCAACCTGATTTTCATTTCCAAACAAAATGACACGTCCCCATGACTATAGGGTACAACATCAACCTGACGTCATGATGATGGCTGGTGCCTGCTGGGAAGGCTCTGTACTGCATCCTTTGATTTTCTCCTGTTAAGTTTTAAACTTTCACTGTAAACTCAGACTGATTTTCCTTGACGCCCAATGAATCCTGTCACTTTGTGGAACTGATGGACCGTACAGTGAAGCTTCACCTTGTCGTCCAGCTGGCGGTAGAGTTTGCGGATCTCTTCCTCGTATTTCTGCCGCTCTTCCTCTGAGATGCGCACCACGATAGAGGAGGTGTCCGAGTCTCGCTCTCGCTCCCGCTGGCGCTCGCAGGATTTCTCATTATCCAGAGACGTCTCTTCACTGACGTCCAGTTTGACCACATCAGCATCGGTCTGCTCCGTCTCTGGAACCTTCTCTCCTGTGGACAAACAGCACAACTCAGTCTGCTCACTCTAAACACTAAACTTAACCAAGACATGTCATATCAGTTAGAGGTTGGTATGGTGTGCCACAAGGCTCAGTATTAGGTCCTTTGATTTTCTCCTTGCATATGCTTCCTTTTGAGCTTGTATGGTGATTTGCATCAGTTTACTCTCTATTAAAACTGTAAATGGGATTTAAATCAGCAAAATAGTTTCCATTTTGTGTGTCCCAGCATTTTTCGAACCAAAGTTACAGCTTTGACTGAAACCATTGACTGGCGTAATTCCAATCATCAAGGTCAGTGTATTCAGCCCAAAATCTTCTTTGATGCTCTACTGAAGAAACAAATTCAGTAAACATCTTAGATGACCTGTGGTTGAGCAGATGACCATGACTTTTTGATCAAACTATGCCTTTAAGCTAAGGGTTTCACGATGCTGACTCGCCCTGGCCTCAGCTGAGCACATGCTGTGATGGTGGAGTTATGTAAAGTGCTGTATCAGGGAATCTGCCGGACTGATGTTAGCAGGGCAGACTGTGATTACCGTTGCGCCAGCGCCGCAGCTCCAGCTCCAGCCTCTGCATGGAGTCCCGCAGACTCTTGTTCTTCTCCTTCTCCTTCTCGTATTTCCTCTTCCACTGCTCCGCTGTCAGCTCCAGGTTAATGGAGGCCGTGTTCTTGATGGTCTTAGCACTACAACACACACACACACACACACACACACACACACACAGGAATCAGCACCGCAGTGTAACTCCACAGTTATCTGCTATTCAGTTTCAAGCACATATGGAGTGCAGCAGCTGTTTGTAAACTCTTGCTTGAACACAAGGACCAAACCAGAGGCCTAGTAACTACTAGCTTGTTTGTACCTAATTTATTCTTACTTCGGTTGCCTGATCTTAAGGCAACATGTGTGCTGTCAAAATGTTGAGGATCTTTACTTAACTTGCTGGTGAATTGTGCACTTGTGTGTGTTTTCCTAAACTGTTCGGCTGTCTCGGCCACCGTATGTCCATGTGGATGTGAAAGTGTGCAACACAGACTCATTGCGGATACATACCCAGGTCTACATTTGTGGGGACAGTTAAACACGTAAATGCAGTTTTTGTTTTGGCAAATCCACCAGAGGGCGCTGTGTTGCTTTTTGATGATCACAAATTTCTCTTGCGCGTCCTCTTCTCATGTAAATACACTAGAGAATGCAATACACACTTCAACTGACCAGGTTTGCTTGCTGTCAATTGACTGACTGACCAACTGAGCCACCAATCACCTTTCCAAAACCCAACCAATAGTGTTTTCAGATGCAATCAAGAAAAAGAAAAGGCAGTGTGGTTTCACTATGTTTCCAGCCTGTTGTTTATTTATTGATTCATTCATTTTTGGCTTAGTCCCTTTATTAATCCGGGGTCACCACAGTGGAATGAAGAATGCCCTTTCAGCTGCAACCCATCTCAGGGAAACATCCATACACACTCATTCACACTACAGACAATTTAGCTCACCCAATTCACCTGTACTGCAGAGCTTTGGACTGTGGGGGAAACCGGAGCACCCGGAGGAAACCGCGAACACGGGTAGAACATGCAAACACAGAAACGCCAACTGACCCAGCCGAGGCTTAAACCAGCAACCTTCTAGCTGTGTGGCGACAGTACTGCCTACTGCGCCACCGCGTTGCCTTTATTTATTTATGTATTTCTTTGTTTTCTGGTTTCTGGAACTGTTTTTTGCCAAACTCAAACCCAAAGTCCCAAGTCTGCCAACGTATGTGTCGAGCTACTGGGCAAACTGGTAACACTGGAAAAGCCGTCCGTATGGCGGTAAGTTGTCGGCAGCAGTGCAAAAAGCAACATAAGCCATTGACGGCGTCATACCGCCCCATAGCATTCGCTTTAAAGGTGAAATGCAGCCAGATGTACCTCTGGGTACATAATTCACGCTCTCCTGAAATGTAGATGGAGGTACGTATCCACATTGAGCCAGTGTTGAAAGTGTGTGTTCATGTGCTGGACGTACCGCTGGCCGAACATCAGCGTGGATTTAGTCTCAGCGTCATTGTAGCTGGAGGGAGAACAGCAGATGAACATGGTGGTCCGGCAGTTTCCCCCCAGAGAGTCCTGCAGGATCCTGGTCATCTTACTGTCGCGGTACGGCACGTGAGATTTCTGCACACACACACAGGACAGACGTCTGCTGCAACCAAACACTGCACACATATCTGTGTGTGCGCGCGCGCGCGTGTGTGTGTGTGTGTGTGTGTGTGTGTGCACTTACAGTTCCTTCAGCGAGAGCAGAGATGACGTTTCCCAGCGCAGACAGAGACTTATTGATGTTCTTGGCTTCATCCAGAACGGCTCCCGCTGCTCCCGTCTTACTGACCTGTGTGGGAAACACACCAACACACGCTCAACACGCCTGCTTACACTGTGAAATAATGCTTTACTCACTTAAAGAGGACCTATTGTGCAAAAATGACTTTTATAAAGGGTTTAAACACAGCAGTGAGTAAATATATACAGCAGCCTCTACATGCTCAACATGAATTAACTGTGTTTGTTCTAATCAGACTTGATGCAGAAACACTGTGATTGGCATTCTCCCTTTGTATGATGTCATCAGAGGGGAAAAGCCCCGCCCACTTGTGCCCATCACTCCATCTCATTAGCATAAACAGCAGGCCTGAGTGAGCAGCAGCTGTCTGTCCATTAGCCATTAGAGTGTTTGAGCTGCTGAAGATGATGTCAGCATAGACTAAGAGGATTATAGATGAAGAAAATGCTGCTGGAAATAATAATGTTCAGATATTTGGACTAGAAGACATAAACTCTCAGTAATAAAAGCATTATTTGCAGTGTTTTGCAAACCGAAATCAAGACTTTGGCATGTGTATAAAAGCCTCTGCTGAATGAATAAATGTAAACAGAAGAGCCTGAAGACCTTCTCGCTGCCGGCCAGATCCACCAGGTAGAGTTTCCCACAGAGCTTCTGCTCGGTCTCCACGTGCTCCTGCTTAATGTTGATCAGGAAGATGCTGTGACTGCGAGAGCTGTGCTCATTCATGTCTGAAACACAGCAGCAGGTCATTCACTGTTCATCCACAAACACTCATCAACACAATCATTATGGCCATGTTCACACTATCAGACAAACGTTTGACAACACCTACCATCACTCCAATAATACAGGATGAGCACAAGCTGAACTGGGCTCTGATGTAATGACAATTCTGAACACTGGCTGGTTGTGGAGTTGATCAAAAGTTCATTTTGGCTCATTGTTACGCGGGTCTGTGTTTTATTTAATTCATTTATTTATTTGTTGCAGGTGTCTGCTTGCTGCGCTTGAGTTGTAGGTGGAGTTTTCTACACGGCTTGTCCAGGATTGGATGAGGCCCGTGATGTCACTGGGGATTCCCAGTATATAAGGCTGACAGCAGTGGCGGCTCAGTCTCTCTAAGCTTGGTGGTGGCTTGCGCTCAGGCGGCCGGCCAGGATCCATCTACATGCCGCACTCTTTAGAGTTTTGTTCTTGTTAACCTTTTAGTTTTCTCTATGTGTTTTCTAGTTTGTTTATTTTGATGCTTTGTTTGTTTTCGTATGGTAGTGGAGTATTTTTCATAGGCACATTTTGGTATTTATTTAGTTTAGCGAAGGTAAGCAGCGGCCCGGATGACTCACCTGTTTTTTATTCCTTTAACGGGAGTTGTAGGTAAGATCTGTCCATTTAAAACAGCTTTCTTAGCTACCATACCTGTCTACATGATTTTTGTTAATGTTTTGTCATCTCTTTTGGAATATTTAATTTCTGGAAATTAAAGCATTATTAACAGGACGTCAATTTATTAACATTAGCGTCTGTGTCTTTTCATATGTTCAGCTCAAACCTTGATGTTGTTATTATTCGAGCCAGTTTTGAGTTTTGGGGCGTAACAGTCATTTTTATTTAATAAAGATTTTAATATTTTAATAACAGAGTTTTCTTCACTTGCATTTTAAAATATATCTTAGTCCACATGAAAACGTATGTGACGCATGTTAAGGGCATGTCGAACCAGCAGGGGGCGATAAACGTTTTCCACCAAACGTGGAATTAAAACGTATTTTCACAAATAAATTGCAAACAAGTTAATGAACGTGACAACAGAAGCGGATTACCGTCCCACCGTGCAAACAACGTGAACGTGCGTAAATCTCGCCTCATTTGCATTTGGTGTAAACCCTGTTGTGTTGGCCAATCAGGAAGACCCACACAGCACACATTGATGTCATTGGCTGTGAGCACAGCATTTTATTTAGATTTAATTGTATTGTTTAGCTTTGACAGTAAGTTTCCTGCTTTGCTTTAACCCTTGATTGTTTGCACTTTGGTCAATTCTGTTGTTTTTAAGTGTGATCTACATAACATTGAACTGAACTGAATTGTTTTCATTAAGTTTAGTTTTCAGTCATCTGATACTGCATTTTCATGTGGACAAACAGCCAAACACATCGAAAACAATGGTGGTTTTGAAAATACCTTGCGTTTATGTGGACAGGGCCTTTATATCGGTCTTGTTTTGAGGTTTTCAGACAGAGCTGAATACCATTATGTTGATTACTGATGGCTGAATGACTTACTGGTGACGGCGACATGCCGATTGGACTTTCCCTCATCGATGACGTCCATCACCTCCTCAGGACTGGAGACGAAGCGTTCGGTGCAGCCCTGGAGCACAACACAACTGCATTAACACACACACACACAGCTGATCCTGATTGAGCTGGTTAAAGAAACTACAATGTCTTCAGTTTCCATCATCACTGTCATAGCAGAGCAGAAGACGTGTCTTGCACATGTGAAGACTCTTTCTCTTTTAACCCCAGCTAATGCAAAACAGTGAACCTGAATGCCATTCAAGCAGTCTAAACTCCAGTGTTTTAGTGATGGTGACCAAACAGAAGCATCTATTCCTGACTATTAACATCACTATGAAATCCCTGAAGCTGACACACAACTCTTCAGTCAGTCCCCACAGTAATGAAGCTGCAGGTGTCACGCTCACCTTCACGTACGGGACGCGGTTCTTGTCCTCATGCACAGACAGGTTGGTCTTTGTGACTGAAGAGGAGAAGAAAGGCAGTGAGGAACAGAAAGATCACATTAGTGAGTTTAACACGCTGTTCTGTCTTTGTGCTCTACAAACCGTCCAGAAGATCGCGGATTTTCTCCATGTAGATCTCGAAGTAGGAGACCTGAGGGAAACCACACACAGCTAACATCAGACCAGCTTTAATTTATCACCAATGTAAGAAAGCTCTATTACTGAACTAAATGATAAAGCATTAACCTGATTTGACTCTTAAAGGGATTTTACAACCAAAAATCTAAATCTTCTCACACTTAACTGCTAATAAACTTTAACAGCACAGTTTTATTCTTCTGTTGAACACAAGACAAGATATCCTGAAGGATGCTGGACAAAATGATTTTCATAGCAGGAACAAAAACACAGTTGTTTCCCAGTGTATATTCCTTTGTGTTCAACAGAAGAAAAACACTTGGTTCAGAACAAGTGGAGGATGGAGAAATGATGACAGAAGGTGTATTTTTGGTTGAACTGTCCCTTTGAAACTGCAGTTTCAGGCTGGTGCAGCTTATTGTCCTGGGTTTCGGGGATGATGGGACGACTGATCTCTGTGTACCTTGATGTGGAACTCCAGGTTTTCATCCATGGAGAAGATGTGGTTGAAGATGTCCTCGGCGATGCGGGGAATGATGCCCATCTGCTGCGGGTCGTGAAGGTTTCCCTGATAGCACATCACAGTCAGTGAGATTTCTGAAACTCTGACATTTCTTTAAGTGCAGTTTTATATTAGTGTAATCCAAAGAAATTGAGTTTATTCTAGAGTAGGGTTAAACACGGACCAAAACTGCAAATTAAGAAGTGAAACACAGACATCACAATCTGTGAACAGAAGTAAAACCGCAGTAGTAGATGCACATTAAAAGCCAAATTAAAGTTTTAAGATAGAAGTTGAAGATTAAAGTGTGGAAGCCGTTCTAACATGTTTAATACAGACTGGAGAAAGCCAATCATTCACTATCGTCAAACCAGAGACATTTAACTGACACACTCATCTATTTAGGGGTGACGCAGTGGCACAATAGGGAGTGCTGTCGCCTCACAGCAAGAAGGTCTCTGGTTTGAGTCTCGGCTGGGTCAGTTGGTGTTTCTGTGTGGAGTTTGCATGTTCTCCCTGCCTTTGCGTAGGTTTGCTCCGGTTTCCCCCACAGTCCAAACACATGCGGTACAGGTGAATTGGGTAGGCTAGATTGTCCGCAGTGTATGAGTGTGAATGAGTGTGTATGGATGTTTCCCAGTAATGGGTTGCAGCTGGAAGGGCATCCACTGCATAAAACATAAGCTGTATGAGTTGGCGGTTCATTCGCTGTGGCGACCCCAGAATAATAAATGGACTAAGCCGGAATAGAAAATGAGTGAACACATCCATTTAATACATTTTCCTGCTGTCTTTTTATGTCATTTTGGTAAATGATGAATATTTTGTACATGCATATATGATGAACAATTCAAATGAAGGCACAGTGTGTAATTGTCTCCACTAGAGGGCGTGCATTCATTTTAATGACTGCGACTGAGTGTGGAATCATGGGAGTTGTGGTCTGCAGAAATCATGTTAATGGATGAGTAAATCTTTAACGCTTATTATCATGGTAAGCAGAGTAAGACTGAAAACACAGTAAATTAACCCATTCTGGGGTTCAGGGTTGCATTTGATCCATTTATATATTAAGTAAATGTATTGTGTGTTGTATTGTGTTGCGGTTGTATTAACTTGTGCCAGTTTACTGAATGTATGCATGCTAACTGGTCGCCTGTTGTGTTCTTATATATCTTTATTTATTGCTCTTAGTTTTGCTCTTGCTTTGGAGGCGCACTCCATTTGCACACTGTAGCACTTTCACTTCGGTTTCCTGTGCAATCAGCAGAAGACAAGCAGTCGAGTGGTGTCTTTAACTCTCAGGGCTCTATTGTAATGGTCTAAAGGCGCTGCTTTTTTTTAGAGGGGGAAAAAGTGTTGTTGCACCAGGCGCATGATCTGAAAGTGTTGTGCTTATTCTCTGAATGAGTGATGAGTGTGTTCTGGGAATAATGTCTCATCTCTCCTTGGTTTGAGAGTCAGTTGTGTCTCCACCGTTTACACGGTGACCCTTTTTACTCTTCCAAGAGATCTTAAAATCAAGTGTGAGCGAATGTGAAGGTGTCAATGACGGTACTGTACCTCCATGGTGTGAGTCTTTCCAGAGGAGGTTTGTCCATAGGCAAAGATGGTGCCGTTGTAGCCGCCCAGCACATCTACACACACACATATGATTAAAACAACACAACAACCTAATAATCACAAAGAGCCCATTGTGTTTCACAGAACAAACAATGTGCAGACAGAAAACATGACTGAAATCTAGTTTACTGAGCATTATTAATCAACATTTGTCAAGTTAGCAGTTGGGTGGCTGCTTTTGGCCAAAGCAAATCATAAATTTTCCATCTTTCCACCCCATAAAGCGTCCTTGATCACGATTTTCAACATTAAAACTAAACACATTAGAGTTCGTCCTGTTTTAAACGGCACCTACAGTCTGCACAAACACTGTGATTGACATTCTCCCTTTGTACGTGTCATTAGAGAGGGAAAGCCCCGCCCACTAGTGCCCATCCCTCCATCTCATTAGCATAGAATAGTTTTGTTTATGATATTATTATAGGCGTCTGTAGCTCCGCCCTCTTCTGAAAAAAGCACAATCTCATTTGCATTTAAAGCGACAGTCACCAAAACGCCACGGTTAGGATCAAAGCCTGAAAGGGGCAGTTTCAGAGAGCTGGAGAACATTATCTGTGTGCTGTTCTCAGCTCAAACACACACACACACACACACACACTCTAGACACAGCAGAGACGCATTCACAGCTTGTATAAGGAGTATAAAAGGTCTTTAACATTAGGCTGCTTCTGTGTTTTAGGACGTTTGTAGAACTGTTCGTTTAGCGTGACATGGGAAATTGGATCATATTGAAGTGTAGAACTGATTCCTCTGGCCTGATGATCAGGTTATCAGTACAGCTGGAGCTGTATATCAGTGTAACTCAGGTTTGAGGTGTGCCGTATATCTGACCTTTGACGATCTGCTTGGCACAGGTGTTGTAGACCTGCTCCTGAGTGGTGTTGGTGGGAAACACTCGGTCGAACGCATAGGACTTTCCCTAAATCACATAAACACAGAGAAGGAGAGAGAAAGGTCATTGTACGCTCTCAGGTATTGATTAAACCACAGATCACAGCACAGAGATGAAGACCAGGCTAAACTGATCAGGCTTACTGGAGCTGCTTTGCAGAGGAACAATATCTGAAGTTGCCATACTGTATGTTTGATATGTACACTACCGGTCAAAAGTTTGAGCTCAATTTTACCATTTTCATGGTTTTTTTTAAGGAAAATTATCCTGTTGATCAAGGCGGCATTTATTAAATGTAGAAAAATTGTTAAATTGTTAAATATTTAAATATTTATTGACATTTTAGGTAACTGCTTTTTTATTGTATGTAGTTTCAAACAAACTATTACTCCAGTCAATATTGCTTTTATTACTATTGCTAATAATACTATTAATAATAATGATAATAATAATAATAATAATAATAATGATAATAATAATGATAATAATAATAATGATGATAATAATAATAATAATATTGATAATAATATTAATAATGATGATGATAATAATAATAATGATAAAAGTAATAATAATAATAATAATAATAATAATAATAATTATAATAGTTATAATAATAATAATAATAATAATAATAATAATAATGATGATGATAATAATGATAATAATAATAATAATAATGATAATAATAATGATAATAATAATAATAATAATAATAATAATAATAATAATAATAATGATAATAATATTAATAATAATGATGATAATAATAATAATGATAATAGTAATAATAATAATAATAATAATAATAATAATAATAATAATAGTAATAATGCTAATAATAATAATAATGATAATAATAATAGTTATAATAATAATAATAATAATAATGATGATGATAATAATGATAATAATAATAATAATGATAATGATAATAATAATAATGATAATAATAATAATAATAATAATAATAATAATAATAATGATAATAATAATGATAATAATGATAATGATAATGATAATAATAATAATAATAATAATAATAATAATAATAATAATATTAATAATAATGATAATAATAATAATAATAATAATAATAATAATAATAATAATAATAATCATGATGATGAAAAGCATCATGATTTTTCTTGCCTCTCCTGTACAAAAGTATATCTGGAAATTTAATTTAATATGGGCTGCTTTTGGTGCTAAGAAATAATTCTTAGCATTGAACAAAACTAATCAGCTGAGATCATGACAGCCAACAGAGGATTCTGCTTGGTCTTATAGCCTTCTTCCACTGATTACTTTCACTATTTATGAAGGCATAGCAGTAAAAATAGGACAAATTAACCCATGCAAGGGACAAATTATGGTCTTTCTAATCACCCGAACCCCCCTGTTCTACAGGCTATGGGCCTGTGTAGAGTTTCCAGCTAAAGATCATATATTGAGTCATCAGATGCTCCTGCAGATGGTGAATCATGAGCAGGATGACTGGAACTGGAGCTCTCTCTGGTAAATCAGCTTCCTTCTCCTGTTTCTGACTGCTGTCGCGTCACAAATCCTAAAAATATAGATTTATTGATGAATAAGCAGAATCCTCTATTGCTTTATTCACCGTCACGCTCTGTGCTTTTGACTCCAGCAAATCAGTTTACACTGGAAAACAAAATGAATTGGATTTACTACTTTTTTTAAGGTAAGTAGCTGCAAACTATTAATAAGGGCTGAATTTAAATAAACAAATTCAATTTAGTAGCGTTCAACTTCATTTGTTCATCCAATGAGTCATTTATTTTAGTGCAGGCGAATGCAAACAGTTATTATATATCACGAGTTCAACATGTGTGCAAGAATACAAGCACTCTGAGACGCAATCGATCAATATAGGAAGTCGTCTTTCATTTTTAATGTAGTTAAATAGAGAGAAACATTTCACGAGTAACCTTTAGAGTATTCTAGAAACACAACATGAGCAATAAAAAGCAGCACATCTTATACTGGAATATAATGAGGATGCAGCTGCTGTTCACTGCAGATTTTCTAATTTAATATTTTTCAAGAGAGGCTGGTGATATCCTGAAGCACCTCGTCATTATTAATATCATGTTTTCTGCTCTTCTTACTTCAGTTCTGACATGTGCAGGGCAGTTTATTATTTACTGATTGAATGGCAATGGGCAACTGCTTTTAATTTAAATCAAGTTTTAGCAGATTTATAAAATATATGTGTTTTTCTTCTGATAGAAGCTCTAAACAAGCAACATCTCACCATGTTTTCTTCATTTTTGACATTTAAAGCACTAATCTCATAAAATTTAAATCTTTAAAAATTTTTTTAAAGATTTATTTCTTGTTTCTAAACCAAATATCTAAAAATTCAAGTAAATCAAGAAGCATTTTCTAGACTAGCAAAAAACAGTTTTCTTTTCAGAGTCAAAATGCAGTGATATTTACATTTAAACAAGGAATGTTATCTGTCCCAGCAGGCACACAACATCATGAGTTAATATTAGGTTAGATTTAGGTTGTGACGTCAGCTGAACAGTAATCAATGTCAGCCAGCGTCTGATGACAACGTTATTTTCATTTCCAATAATGACGTCAAATGACATTAATATTTGGTTGATTTTAGGTTGTGTTGGAAAGTGACCAAAATCAAACCTCGAGTCAACATCTTAAATCAACATCATATTGGCGTCAGATACTGACATTTACTCTTCAGGTAAGGTAACTAAAACCCAACATCTGATAGACGTCATGTTGGTAACGTCCACACAACATCAGCCTGATGTCAGGTTCTGACATCAAATTAATTTTCATTTCCAAACAAAATGCAATGATCCCATGACGTACAATATCAATCTGACGTCATGCTGGCAGCCTGTGCCTGCTAGAGGGGTGAGTGAAGTAATGCTATTTCAAAGTTTCTGCTTCCTCCTGTTGGCAGATTATTCTGCTTGTTTTACAGAGAAACTCTCTTCATTTTGACTCATTATTGCTAAAAACAACACTATATTTTCTGCTCATTAAAAATGCTTCTTGATTAAAGCATTTTTAGATATTTGGAATAGAAACAGGACACAAACTCTCAGTAGGAAAAGCATTATTGCCATGTGTAAACTGAGTCTTGTTGCTCATTCTGATCAGAAACCGATTATTAATCTCAGAGAATCTTTTCTGGTTAAATAAAAAGCATTCATTATGATACCAGCTACACTGCAAAAAAATGCTTTTCTAACTAAGATTATTGTCTTGTTTCTAGTCCAAATATCTACAAATTCTTAAATCAAGAAGCATTTTCTAGACAAGCAAAACACGTTGTCTTGTTTTCGATTTGTGATAAGATTATTTTGCTGACCCCATTGGCAGATTATTTAGCTTGATTTAAGAAAAAACTCACTTCATTTTGGCATATTATTTCTTAAAACAAGACAATAAGTTTTGCTTGTCTAGAAAATGCTTCTTGATTTAAGAACTTTTAGATTTTCAAAAAAATAAAGTAAGAAAAGCATTTTTTGCAGTGTAGCAGGCTAATACAGAACAAAGTAGAAGATAAAATGCAGAAATCTCTTATTTAAACACAAAAAAGGGGTTAATAACTGTGAAAATGATCAAATGAACCACAAATTGAAAGCACAAAATAAGGTGAATCAGAATGCTTTGAGGAACCACAGCTTCTGCTTAATATGATTATTTGGACTAGAAGACAAAATGAAAAGCCTTTTAATTCAGTGTAACTGTTTTAAATGTGTCCTGTAAAGTCTGTTACCTGCTCATTCTGACCTGAACACTCCTGTTAAAGACATTATTAATCTCAGATTATTTTCTGATTAAACTGAGGTTTAAAATTAATGAAAAAACATACAATTATAATGTCATCAGACAAGCTAATCCAGCACAAAATAGTAGATAAACCATCTTAATTAAACACAAAATAAGCTGAATAACTGCAAAAAAATGATCAAATGAGCCATTTTTCCTGCTTATCAAGAAAATCCTTCTTGATTTAAGCATTTTTAGATATTTAGACTACAGAAAAATTAAATAAATATACAAAAACAAATAATGGAGCTTCCAAAAGATTATATGATGATACTATCAGACAAGCGAATGCAGCACTGATTAGAAGATAAAATGCATTTTTTAAACCTCTTAATAAAGCACAAAATAAGGTAGCAGCTTGTGCTTCACTAGATTTTGTTTTTGGACTAGAAGACAAAATGAGAAGCATTTAAATTCAGTGTAACTGTTTTAAATGTGTTAATGTGTCCTGTAAAGTCTGTAACCTGCTCATTCTGACCTGAACACTCCTGTTAAAGAGATTATTAATCTCAGAGAGTGTTTTCTGATTAAATTAAGGTGTAAGAATCACCACAAAGCAACATTATAATACCTATAGAGCGAGCTAATCCAGCACAAAACAGAGGATACAATGCATTATTTATTTAAACTGAATGAGAAAAATAGGGTGGATGTTCTTTAGAATGATGAACTGATCCACCCTCTGATTCTCCAGGCCTGTGATGATGATGATGATGATGATGATGATGATGATGATGATGATTAGGGCCTGCTGTATTCATCATAAGGCCTCGGCAGCATCTCTATCTGCTGACGTCATACTGACACAAACACAACCTGCAGCAGCATCTCTTCACAATCCACCCCTCACACACGCGAATAAACAGAAATATAGAGTGAAATGCTGTGTTTACCCCGATGATGACCGTGTCGTCCCCTTGGAAGGTGGGCAGGAATTTGTCCCCGCGCAGGATCTCGGCCTGGTTCAGCGGCCGAAAGCGGCAGAGCACTTTAATGTTACACTCCGCGGCGGCGTCCGTCATGATGATGCAGAACACAATATATATATCTATAGCTTTATCTGAGAGCAGAAGCGCTGTTTATAGCGGGGCAGAGGACGGCAGCGCTCAGGTCTGGAGTCGAGCGAGCAAATGGCGTCTGCTCGGAGAAACGGCCGAAGATGCTGGAGAGAAAACCCCGTCGAGTAGACGATGCTGTTATTAATGCAGCGTTTTTTGTGTTGCCCTGTGCTAAATGTGTGTTGTGAAGGAGGAGGATGCTGATGCTGCTGCTGATGCTGCTGCTGCTGTTGTCAGGAGGGATGCGGAGCAGGGCGTGGCCGCTGGACACTGCTGGGCGGGGCTTCAGCGGAGCAAACGGATGTTTTCGCCTTTCTCGCTGTCTGATTTCACCTAAACACTTTCACATGAGTTTCCACACCGTTGTTAAGCAGATATGAGTCGTACATCTATATAATATCACCTCTGTTGAGGCAAACTTGCTGTCACGTGGTGTGTATTACTTTTCTCAGCGCTGCTCGGGAAGCACTCATCGCTGCCGCCTGCTGGATACAGCGCTGTTCTCCATTCTGTGCACAATTACAGAGCAGTTCCTGTTTACATGCCAATATGCACAACTGGAAACAAATAAACATCATTTAAACAATTGTGCAGCTTACAGTTCATCGAGTTTGTTCATGAGCTGTGTGCGATAATTATGTCTGTGTGTGTGTTCAGGTTTATACACACTGAACTAAACCTGAATGAATTTAAGGTCATAACCAGGGCCAGACGCGATCTGCGGATGTTTTTTGCTATTTCGGCAGAGAATTTTGGTAAAAATATGATGATTTCTCCGAAATTATTTTGGGAGTAAACCTTAATATGTGAAACAAAAAAAATATTAAAATTATTTTTAAATAATATCTTTTTAACCTGTATTTAATGTTTAAAATGCAAATTCAATTAGATTCACTTTATTTGGTAAGCAAAGCAAGTCTCTCATATAATATCTCTATTAAAATACAGAACATATTACTGTAGACTGCATTGTACATAAACCATATGGATATTTTCATATTAGTCAATAATATTTCTGTAATTAATTAAAAATCTGAATAAATATAGATTTACACACATTTACTCAAGTTAATAAACAGAATTAATGATGGGCTAAACATCTGCGCACACAGATTGCATATGGACCTAGTGATAAATCATAGAGAATTATGTATATTGTACATGTTAAAGTGCAGATTGTTTCCTGCGAATGTTGGGTAGTGTAGGGTTAAAGAGAACAGGATATACATTAGAAACACGTGCATATCTGAATAATAAATGCAGGGTTGTTGTAACCGTTGAGTCAAATATTTAATTTAATGAATATTTAATTTTATTAATTCAATTTAGGTACCTTTTTAACCCAACTGTTGGGTTAATACAGCTCAGTATTTGTTTTAGAGTATTTGGGGAAACCAAGAAAACCCAATGTGTGTGTGTGTGTGTGTGTTTAGCCTACATTCTGAGCTCTACATTGTACCTACGCTCGTCATTTTTGTTGGGGCCCACAGTAATACTCCAAAAGTTTATAAATCAACCTGCAATTAGAAGAATGCAGCGTTAGTATTAGTTTTACTGTCAAAGATCTGGGTGTTCGATTTCACAGAAACTTAATTTTTGAAAATTAAATCATAAAAAATATCTTAGAAATATCAGTAAGCTACCAAACATGCTATGGCAGATGCAGAAAAGCTAGTTCAAGCTTTTATGACTTCTAGGCTGGATTACTGTAATGCTCTGTTCACTGGTTGCCCAGCATCCAGCACCGGATCTAAAAAATATGATCTTATCACCCCAATTTTATCCTCCTGACACTGGCTGCTGTTCAGTCCCGTATTGATGATCAAATATTGCTTCTTCCCTATAAAGCTTTGAATAATCAAGCTCCTGTTTATCTAACCTTCTGTCTCGCTACGATCTAACTCGCTCTTTAAGATCTAAAACCTCAGGTCTTCTGGTAGTATCTAGAATAGCAGAGTCCAATAAAAGAGGTCAAGCCTTCTGATATATGGCTCCTAAACTCCGGAATAGCCTTCCTGATGATGTCAGCAGCTCAGACACACTCTCTCAGTTTAAAACTAGATTAAAGACCTGTCTGTTTAGTAAAGCATACACTCCGTGCATCCTATAACTTTTAAGTTTTTCATTAAATACAGCCTGTTCATCTCACATAAATATCTCATGCTTACAAATACTGCAAACTGCAGCTCCGCTATTTCTCTTTCCTTCTACATCCAGAGATTGTGTGGATCCAGGATCAGTGAGGAGATGATGCCAGCTTCAAAACCGTGAAGTGCCCATCAAATGAAACAGGCTTCCTTACGTCATTATTGCTTCAGAAATTCAGTGTTTCTCCACTGGGCGATGATCAGTGCAATCAAATAAAATCTGCTGGTTCACTCAGATCGCCCACCAGTGGTGAATCACTGAATAGATTTACCTGATCTCAGATCAGTTTTATGAGTTAGTAGACATTTTAGTGAGACATTTGTAAAATGAAAAGAAATAACAGCAGTAAATGGTCTTTTTGTTGTCCTCTTCAGCAGAAAACTGATAAGAAAGAACACATTTTGCAGACATATTTAGAAATACATTAGATGTATTTATAGGTTATACTTTTAATTTTAATGTTTGCACTGCTTCTCATGTCTTTTGCATGTTTTGCCTGAATTTTTGTATTGTTTGCATTTACAGTTTTGATCAGCATCAGAATTCGTTCATAGCATATGGAGTCTTGAACCCTTTGAAAAGCTTTCTTTCGGCCATCACTACTTTACTGGAGAACATAAGGGAAAAGACACGCGTGTGAAAATAAGTATTATTAGCATTGCCAAGCATTCATTAAAAGGCTAAATACATTGTTCCTTTAAATGCTTCTAAATATTGCATTTAAAATCAAACTAGACAGCAAATGAGGCTCGATTTCACCAGCAAACACTTAATGGGCAATTTAATGGGTCAACCTATTAAACAAACGCAGGAGATTTTAACAGTCTTGCTTGCTCTGTTTTTAACGGCATTCATTTCAGCGAAAGGAGCAAATAAACTACAAAGTGGCAACAGTACAGCTTCTGTAATGTTTGATATAGAAAATATTTACATAGAACACCATGTACCTATACATCCGTGCTGGACAACAGCGTCTTCTGTTCATATACAGTTCTAGAACAGCAGCTTGTTTTTTAGAGTCATGACCTTAGGGCTAGACTTCAGATCGTCTAGCTCCAGGAAGATCTTTTGGAAAGCCTCGAAAGTGCTTTTGAGTCCTTTGGGGTAGCTGAGGTTGAGTGCGTATATGAGCCCCATCAGCAGCGCACAGGCTCTGGGCACGTCCAGATCCCTCTGCACTTCTCTTCCCTCGATCACTATGCTGGCCCGGGCTGGATCAGACACCAGAGGTCCTCTGGTGATCAGAATCTTCATCGCTTCATTGGGGATATCTCCACCCTCCTGAGTGGATCACAAAGTCAGATTAAAGTTATATTAAGATCCAGCAAATACATGTTAGAAGAGTCGAGTGTGTGATTACCATGTGCTCTTTAAAGAGGTCGTCCTCGTTTTCTCTGAGACACACCACTAATGAGCGGAGAGCAGCTTCTCGTCTTCTTTCCACTGAGAAATCCTGTAAAGAAAGCAGTGCTCGTGATGAGGTCCTGTTAAGCAAATTAAAAACCAAAATGATGACAGCAACACGCTTTAATCTTCTTTATTTTTAATAATTAAATTAAATAATTGGATTTCAAAATGTAAATGAAATAAAAATAAACTGTACAAAACAAAAATGGGATGTTAATATTTAATCATTTTAATACATTTTCCCAGCACCAGTTCAGTATTTAGGATTTCCTCAGTATTTCAACATCAGGAACTTTTCCAAAACACAACCACAATCCTCAACTAAGATCAAATCAACAAATGCAGATGAAGTCCATCTTTTAGTTTATTAAGAATAGGTATTTACATTAGATTTTGTTTGACAGAGGAAATGAACACAAACATCTGTGCTAAATTCAAATTTAGAACAGAGAACTACAACTCTGTTAGCATCCGAAAGCATGAGACAATACGACATTTAATAACATCTTTTTACTCCAAACTCAACTCACAACTTCAGTTAAGATTTTTAAAGTCAGCATGAAAATTGTCAAGTCATTTTCATCTGCTTATCTTGGGCCAAGTCACAGGGGCAGCAGTCTTAAGAGAGAACTCCAGACTACCTTTCCCCAGACACTTCCTACAGCTCCTCAGGGGGGAGGGTCCCAAAGCATTCCCAGGCCAACCGAGAGACATAATCCCCTCCAGCGTGTCCTGGGTCTTCCGAGGCCTCCTTCGGGTGGGACATGCCTGGAACACCTCCCTAGGTAGGCGTTCAGGAGGCTTCTGAAACAGATGCCCGAGCCACCTCAGCTGACTTCTCTGGATGTGGAGGAGGAGCGGCTCTACTCCGAGCTCCTCCCGGGTGACAGAGCTCCACACCCTGTCCATAAGATTGCGCCCTGCCACTCTGCGAAGGACGTTTCGGTCGTGACCCAAAGCTCATGACCACAGGTTAGAGTAGAAATGTACATTGACCGGTAAATCGAAAGCTTTGCCTTTTGGCTCAGCTCCTTCTTCACCACAACAGACTGATGCATTGACCTCATTACTGCTTCACCAATCCGCTTGTCAACCTCACGCTCCATCCTTCCCTCACTCGTGAACAAAACCTCAAGATACTTGAACTCAAACCACCTTTTCCAGTGAAGGGCCTCGGACTTGGAGGTGCTGATTCTCATCCCAGCCATGTCACACTCGGCAGCAAACTGCCCCAGTGCATGCTGAAGGTCCATGTTGGATGAAACCAACAGAACAACATAGTCTGCGAATAACAGTGATGAAATCCTGTGGTCCCCGAACCGGACCCCTTCAGCCCAAGGCTGTACTTTGAAATTCTCTTCATAAAAGGCAGCCCTGCCGGAGTCCAACATGCACTGGGAACAAGTCTGACTTATTGCCGGCAATGCCAACCAGACTCCTACTCTCTTCATACAGGGACAAGACAGCCCTTAACAGAGCGCCTCTGACCCCATGCTCCCAGAGCACCCTCCACAGAATGCCACGAGGGACTCGGGCGAATGCCTTCTCCAAGCTCACAAACCACATGTGGACTGGTTGGGCGTACTCCCATGAGCCCTCGTGCACCCTAGACCTGCATGAAATCATATCGCTAAATATTCCTTCTGTTGCATGCCACTGCTTTTATTAGGCGTAGACTCATATGATAGTCAGGTACACTCCTGTCCTGTTGTCAATCTGGCAACCTGCGCTTGCATGTGCTTTTAACCACAAAGGCAATGCCTAGTTCAAACAGTGTGTGTCAAACTGACATACTGCACCTTTAGTTTTGATTTACTTCCCAGACGTTGATACTACACTATACACACATGCATACGCACCTCGAGCAGCATGTTCCTAATTCGCTGGATGTTCATTTTCACAGAGCCCACTTTGGAAAGCACCATGGACATGATCTTCGGGGAGTACAGGTCCAGATAAGTCATGAACGTGACCTCCAGGTTAATAGTGGTGATCCTTCTGAACTCTTCATTAATCTGTGTGCAAAAGAATACAACGGTGTGAATGCACAGGGAGATTCAATGTTCAGTCAGCAGCTCAAGCGCTTGCGGTGAACTGTCATGACGTTATAAATCATCACGTTTAAGATCAGGTTTCATTAAAAATCAGTGATCTCCACTGCCTGATTGAGATATGATATAATGTGGGTCTCAGACCAGGCCTGAACTACTGCCTTACATTACATTGTACAGCATCATGTCTTTACAACATGGACCCGTATGTTACCACAGAGTTTCAGTGCTCACCTACTGCTATTGTGTTTAATGTTCTTTAATCTAATTTTACACTTGAACAACTAAACGAACACTTAAGTCTATTTTACTCATTATGTTTTAATTAACTTACATTATCAGCGCTGTGAAAGCAACCGTATGAAATTGAAGATGTTTACCAGAAGCTTATCAGTGGCTGGAAACACTAGCTGTGCATATATCCCATATACCAGGGGTCACCAATCTCGTTCCTGGATGTCCGGTGCCTTGCAGGGTTTAGCTCCAACTTGCCTTGACACACCTGCCTGGGTGTTACTAGTATACCTAGTAAGAGCTTGATCAGCTGTTCAGGTGTGTTTGATTAGGGTTGGAGCTAAACTCTGCAGGACACAGACCCTCCAGGAACAAGTCTGGTGACCCCTGCCATATACCAATACAGTAAATGTAGTCATCTCTAATATGAATGAAGGAGTTATCTGAAGAATATTCACCTGATCTGCATTGAACAGCGCAGGCCATCGCTCTGTCAGCTCACTGACTGGAAGAGCTTGACTGACCACTTCTTGTCTGCGAATGGAAAAGGTCTTCTCCATCTTTTCTCTGATGATCATGTAGTTGCTGCCGTGCTTCAGCTCATGAAGAATCTCCAGTCGCTCCAGCTCCAGACTTTCCTCGGTCTCTCCGGGCTGGTGCGGCGGTAAGAAGTTCACCTCCATCTTCCTGGGCTTCTTGATGTTTTTAGCGGGCGCTTTCTCAAACGCTCGCTTCCTCCGGACAGAGTTAATGTCCAGCTCCGGGCATCCCAGACCTCGCAGTTTCGACCTGTAGTTTCCCATTTTGTACTTCAGCCGCTGTCTCCATCCGTAGGACCCGTTATAGGAGCCTGGTTCTTTAAGACAGGGATATTTCTGGAGCAGCGCCTCCACGACTTCATTCAGCTGAGCGCTGGTGGGATAGGCCACGTACTGGAAGATGTTCTCAGCTAGTTTCTCCAGGATGTCTGGAAGGATGGAGGTGAAGTTGAGCTGAATGCCGTCCTTCTTGAACGCTTCACTTCCAGAAGCAAGCACGAGTTCTGTGTCGAAGGCAAAGCGCGGTACTGGGAACTCAGTCGGCCAGCGCTGTGACCGCTGCGAAGGCTTGTGTTCTGGAGACGAAGCGCTCAGAGAGTCCTGCAGTCCAGAGCAGGAGCCCATATCACTGCCACTGAAGGAGCTCAGAGAAGGAAAGGCTGAGCTTCCTAAGCTCTGCATGGAGGAATGTGATGCGCTTTTAAAGGAATGGTCCACTTCCCCAAAGTTGAGAGTGATGGCTGGAGGATCCACCAGGTGAATCACCTTAATGGTGTCCTTGTCCTTAATGTCACTGGTTGAGGTCAGGGAGAAATACTCCTCTCCGAAATCCATGTCTTTATAATGAAGAGTGAAGTTCCCGTCGAGGCCGAATGTCTTCATTATGACGTCCTCCAGCTCGCTCACGGTCGCAGGAATCCCGTGAGGAAGGCACAGTTTTCGGATGTCGTGATCATGAAGGATGATGCGCAGTTTAGCAGGAGCACACATTGGAGCTCCTGGAAGAGAAACAGCAGCTCTGTTACAGCCATAACACAGCCCGTCACATACAATAGACTAATGTAAATAAATACATGTAATGAGATTTTCTCCAACTGTAGAATCGAACATGCAGAATAATCTAGCAGCATTTCTAAGATTAATAATATGATGAACAAGGATTACTTGACCAACCTGTCTGCTGCTCAGCATCTTCATTCTTCACAAAGAAAACCTCCTCAATGATCACGTCTTTACTCTCCTCTTTAACAAACGCCATCTCGCCACGTCTCTCTTGCTTCCCCAGGAGCTTTTAAGATGAGGATAATCATTAAGAAATTATATTAATAACTACAAATGAGCATCTTATGTTGCTTTCGACTGCACTCATGAACATCAACTTCATACATGAACATGCTTTACAACTCACAGCAAAAACCTAAAAAAAGTGCAGATATTAACATTTCAGCAGCAAATTTAAACGTTTATCAATTTAAAATATGAATAATTTATCAAAATGAATACAAAGTTAAATTAGATGTAGTTTAATGTATAACTGATAAGCATCTATGACACTTCAAAAACACAAATATGTTTTAAAGGAATAAAAAAAAACTAATTGGCTGATATTAATGCTTAAATCTACTAACCTGCACACTGATGAATTTAAAGCAAAACAAAAAAACTAAACCCTGAACTTATTATTTTTGCACTGAACCTCACATCCAAGATCTTCTGTTTTTATTGATGATCAAATATATAGACAATAATCCTATATACAGTATATAGTTATCCATATGGGTCCCAAAACAAGACATTTCATCATAAAAGAAACCAATCAGACCATTAATTACTTAAATCACAATTACTTTTAGACAATTAACCATCAGGCATATTTCATTATCATGACAGCCCTGCTGAACCTAATATTACATCACGAATATGGAAACATTTATATTTGTGTTTCAGTTGAAATTGAATATATTTGTTGTCTTGATGGTCAGATGAATGCCATTATAATACCTTTAATAAACAACAACTACATTTAGTATTGTTTGGTGTCTGTTAATTATTTAGTGAGTAAATGCACATTCATAATCAGATTATGTGTCATAACCAGACTATGTATGTGCTCATATAAATGCATTCAAATATTTTGCTTTATTAGCATACGATAATAAACTACTCAACAATAAACTGATCATTTCTGACCCGATATTCCAATTTCATCAAGATGTAAACATCTTAACCCATGTGCTGTTGTATATTAAAGTGTTAAATGTGAAAAGGAAAGTTGTTCAGTTTTAATTGCAGATTTAAGCATAACATATTTCCTAAAGGAAAACACACATAAATACACAGCGCTTCCTAGTGGAAAACACACACAGCAAGTTCATCTTTTTCTTGGCTCAAGAAATTATTATATGAGCTATTCCAGCAATATGGATGTGACATTTGCAGTAAAATCTCAAAACATAAATTGACAGAGTAAACATTATATTGAAACATCTCTTTATATTTTTCAAAACAACTAACCGCAGAGTTATAAGAGCAGAAAAATACCAACCTGTAAACATGTTTTATATTTTAAATGAGGGAAATAAACATGTTATGAATGTGACAAAAAAAGCCAGCAAGTTTACAGCAAACTTTGTAGATATTCTGTGAATTAAACTGCACAAACCAAAATAAACGATGCTAATCAACAGGAGTTAGATCATTATAGAACGAACGTGACAGATTTGATCTGATTTTACATTTTTGCATTTACGAGTCATTATGGATGTGACATATCTCAATTATGGATGTGACGGATGTGAAATTGCACTTGTGTGACGTTTGTAACTCAAACATAATTGTTAGAAAACACAGAGACATGTTTGAGTATTTTTAAAGCTCTGTCAAACACTTGCCAACGCAAAAAAAAAAAACAACAACAAAAAAACGCAGAGACGGTTTCTCTGTTTTGGTGAAAACTTATTTTTTGTTCATGGCTGGGCTGACATTTGCACGGAATTGCTCATATAATATACATAAATAAAAGGGTATTACAGTCAACAAACTTCAAATATGAGAAGAAAAGGGAATCTGTGCAAGTTTAAGGCTGAAATTCTGAAGCATGTTTCAATATTCAATTTAAAAGAACAGCATGTGTAGTAAAAATAAAGCTGAGTGAACTGTGTGGGCATCAGCGGTGTATAACCTGAATTCACCACAGGGCTGTCAGTGCACTTGACTTTACTGACACCATTTATGAGCGAAAACTGATTTGTTTCGGTCAACTGCTGATTATCAGTGTACTGTTGTGCATCCAAATGTGTACAATAAACACTATTATTGCTTACACAATGGCAAACACTAATGAGTTAAAGAAAATAGCTCACAAAAACAGTAAAAGTGGACTGTACGACAGAACAAAAGCAGACGTGATGATGATGATGATGAAGCAGACATTACTCATGCAGCTGTAGCCCTATAATTAATCGAGCGTGATGAGCTGAAACACCCGCAGCTGGCTGTTTACTGGTGTTTTTCTGTTCACCTCCAGACTAATGAATAAGTGTTTGAAGCGCGGTTAGTCTGGTGTTCTGGAGCTGATCTCGTGTCGTTATGATCAATAACAGCAGCACCTTTACTGTTCTTCACCAGCGGATGCGCTTTAATCAGAACACTGGCGCTCATTATCGCCTGATAAGATGTTAATGCGGTGTGTTCGATAATAATGAACCCTTTTATGAAGACATTAGCAAGTATACAATAGACTTGTCGAATTAAACACTTTAAACGCTTGAAAACACAAACCTTTCTCCAGCCGAACCACAAACACGGGAGCGCGGCTCGCGCCTGTGACGTCATATCGCACGACCAAAATAAAAGTCCTGTTCACGTGTTAAATTAAAGGCTTGTAGGAAGACTATTCATTCATTCATTCATTTTCTTTTCGGCTTAGTCACTTTATTAATCTGGGGTCGCCACAGCGGAATGAACCGCCAACTTATCCAGCACATGTTTACGCAGCGGATGCCCTTCCAGCTGCAACCCAGCACTGGGAAAACTATTGTATATTGTTTACAAAGAAGGAATTCGATTGGTAACATGTTTTCATTCATTAACAGTGCTCGTTTGTGAACGATTTTGTTGATACTGTGTAATATATATATATATATATATATATATATATATATATATATATATATATATATATATATATATATATATATATATATATATATATATATAATCACATAATCATCATCATTATACATAAAAACCCAGAAAGATTTGTACACCTGAAATATATTACTGACCTATTTCTGGTATATTGTTGTTTTGATTACTCATATTGCTCTCATTTTCAGTTGCTTTGAATAAACGTGTTTGCCAAATGCTTATTGAATGTATGAATTGTATGTGGCTGTTGTGGAATAAAGCTGTAACAGCTGCCACAAGCCCCTGAACATTGGCGTAAATAAGCTTTTAATAAGCTAAATCCTATTTTCTGGCACTTGAGCCAGAGAGTCACAGTAATAGATGAGATGTGCTACTGTATGAATATGTCATTTTTGTTTTTTGAGATATGATGAAAGCTGGAAAATGAAGCTCATGTTCTCAATCTTTTGTTTAGTATATCCATTATTGTAAATTTAGCAATCAGTGTAGCAATTAGTGTCCTGGGTCTGCCCCGAGGCCTATAGGTAGGCGTTCAGGAGGCTTCTGAAACAGATGCCCGAGCCACCTCAGCTGACTTCTCTGGATGTGGAGGAGCAGCGGCTCTACTCTGAGCTCCTCCCAGGTGACAGAGCTCCTCACCCTATCCATAAGGTTCATTCCGCTGTGGCGACCTCTAAGCTGAAGGAAAATGAATGAATAAATTAATATATTTCCTGTGATTGGTCTGTACATGTTTGGAGGACCCCAAGGAACCTAACACATTTTTTTTCCCCAGGGCCAGCCCGAACACCAGCCGGTGACCCACTCACACCTGCGGCTTCTCCAGGATGGACGTCCAGCGTTCTCCAGCCTCAATTGGTCAACTGGTGAAGTTCCTCCTCTGTCGCCACTGTCCTGCTTGGTTTGGGACTTGTGGAGATGCACATGGATGGATTTGCTCTTCAGTGTTTGGACTCTCAGCAGTGAAGATTCAACCACACTGAACTGAACTGAGCTCTGAACACTGGACTGACACGGCTTCAGTTCACTAGAACTTCTGTGTTCAGCTGCTGCCACACAATCTACACTGTAGAAGAGCTGGAGTTTTATTCACTTGGCTAGAAAGTGCTTCTTCATTAATGAATTAATTAAATATATTTATTACTGTGTGACATTAGAGAAGTCATAATGTTTAGTAAAAAGGTGCTGTTCAGCTGCAGGCCTGCTGTGAGTGTGTGAAGGTCTGCATGTGTGCCTGTCTGTCAGAGGGACAGATATACAGAGAGACTCGTATTACTCTCCGTCATCTAACACCTGCTGAAAACACTCACAGTGACACACACACACACACACACACACACACACACACACACAAAGTGTTCAATCCTCAGTTCAGAGCAGTCTGGTTATTACTGAGTTAAGATTATCTTCTGTGCTGAAGCAAATATTAACTTATCTGTATCAGGGTCACACCTCACTGACTGAAAACTGGGATTATAGCACAGAAACACATCATCTACAGGTGTGTATGCTTGAACTTGCTTGTTCTGATGGCATGATTTAGTGGTTGTGTGCATTTAAATCTTTTCTATGTATAGTCTAGAAAACGTTTCTGATTTGTTCCTGTAGCTCAGTTTAGTGAGAGATCCTGAATTTGTTGGCCTCAAAAAAAGTTTCCAACTCAGATATAGAAGTTGTGTGTGTGGATTTGAGGATTTCATCATGCTCTCATGTGTACAAATTAACTGTGAAACCTTTTTGTGTTCATTTATTCCATAATAAACAGGTGTATGTAGGGTGTGACATGATCATTGCACTGCATTCGCCACCCTGAAATTACTTTATTTTCAATAAGAGAACCAGAAATCTGTCTCAACACGGAGTGGACATCCTCAGATTCCCAATTTCGCACTGCAAGGTCAACATTAGAAACACCCAGTGGTGGAAAGAGTACAGTAAAATCATGCTTAAGTACAAGCACATACTTGCCTAAAACTGTAGTGCAGTAGAGTAAAAGTGTCTGCTGTAAATATTACTCAGTATAGCTTTCAAACGTACTCAAGAGTAGGGAGTATTACACTGTGAAAAGCTGATGCGTTTACATGTAACTTGCACATGTGTGTGTGTAAACGTAAGATTCTGTAGTGCATCTAGTGATTGCCCAGCAGGTACACAATGTCATAAGACGTTAATATTAGGTTAGATTTAAGTTGTGATGTCGGGAAACCAAAATTCAGTTTCTAACCAGTGCAAATCAAATGACGTTGATATTTGGTTGATTTTAGGTTTTTAGAAAGTGACCAAAATCTAATGTCGCGCCAACACCTTAAACCAACATCACATTGACGTCACATACTGATATTATTTCATCAGGTATGGCAACCGAAATCCAACATCTGATAGACGTCATAGTGGTAACGTCCACACAACGTCAAGCTGTAACATCATTAGACGTTGATTTTAGGTTGATTTCAGGTTTAACGTTAGACATTGACGTTGGCCTGACATTGAGTTCTGACGTCAAACTGATTTTCACTTCCAAACAAAATGCACTGTCTCCAAGATGTTAGTGTACAAGGTCAATCTGACGTCATGTTGACGTCTTGTGCCTGCTGGCTGTTTAAGGCCATTTGGCTCATCATATAGTAAACATTTGCCATCTTCTCATCAGTGATGTGCATCTAAACAGTCTCTGGGTCAGTGAGTGTGAAGATTGTGGACATCTTCTTTTATGCACTTTAAATGCTTCTAAACAGTTTGCTGCAATTATAAATCATCTTGAGGTAGTTCATTATGAGGTGACTTACCTTCAGTGTGTGATTTGATCAGACAGGAACCACAGGACTGATCTCTCTAATCTCCATAGACAAGAAAAAATACAGTAGTGACTGCAGGATGAAGGAAATTAGTGGAGTAAAAGTACAGATACTGCAGTAAACGTACTCAAGGGAAAGTAAAAGCCCACATTTATAAAACTGCTCTCTAAATTACAATTCCTGAGAAAACTACTTTGTTACAGTAAATTGAGTATTTGTAATTAGTTACTTTACACCACTGGAAACACCTAATCACAGCGGCTAATATGTCAGTGATCATAGCACTTTACAAACATGTGTTTACAAGTCAGAATCTAATAATTATGATGATTTGTCAAGAGAGATATGAATACTCAGACCACTTCAGGAGGTGTTCTGATGTGCATGAGAGATGTGCTCTCGTTTAAAACCACATATTATGCGCACATGACGATCCACATTTCTTACAGGATGCTCCACTGACCTGTGGGGTTCCCCAGGGCTCTATTTTGGCCCCGTTGTTATTTTCCATTTGCATGCTCCCTCTCTGATCTATTTTGAGAAAATGTGGGCATCGTTGCAGGAATTACACACCGGTTTACTTCCCAGCACACAATTTAGTTTTTAATAGACGTTTAATAGACATCTAAGCATAAACAGCTTGGCTAAAACAAGACTAAACTTGGGCTGTCAGTGAAAATCTAATAGACATCTAAGAATAGCCCAAAACTAGACTATAGTCGTCAAGTGGACAGATTAGACAGACTCTATATGTGTAGTCCTTCATTTCTGTTTATTTGATGGCTAGTCTAGTTTTAACCTATGGACGTCTATTAGATGTTCAGCCCAAGTTTATCCTTGTTTGAGCTGAGATGACATTGTTTGGACGTCTATCAGACATCTATTAGACATCTTTTAAAAACAAAAAATGCTTGCTGGGTTGCTAGTGGTTAATGTAAACGCTTTTCAGAATCAGACAGATATCTGATCAGAGTAAACGCATGAAGAGAGCAGGTGTACACAAGCTGGAGTTTTCTTGAAGCTGGTGAGTGTCTCCTGCAGGTGCGGATTTCTGCTGACTGACTGCGTCTGAAGAGGCTGGACTGATGGCTCAATATGACCAGTGAGTGTTTGACAGATTAAACAGTCTTTCAGGAGCATTATATAAGATTACAGCTATCCTAATGCTCAATGTGTTCCAGACTGGAGGATAAAGACTCGCTGGACATCCACGATAACCCTCCAGCGCCAGAGAATGTGGTGAAAGAGGACGACAACACTGTACGTATGATCACCTTCTCTTATTAGCTCTCATTCAACACACATTTGTAAATACAGGAGTGAATTATTTGTGTAGCACAAAGCTTCCTGAAAACCCTATTCACAAACACTTGTCAGAACTGAGATATATTTAAATATGAACTGTTGTTTAACTTATTAAACTAAATTAATTAATAAATAAAGGGTGTGTGCTCCCTCATTCATAATCTGCATAAACCCACCTATGCCGGAAATCAAAATGCTCTGCCATCACTTTTGATTTGATTAAATATTAGTCATTTTTAAGCCTTGTTAAATTGAACTTTAGCTACTGTTTTTGCATTCACTAACATTAACTAATGGACTATTATTGAGTAGTGTTTTCAACGTTAGTTCTGCTGGGGCTTCATAAATGAGACCTGCAGTGTGTACGGTGAGCACACAGCCGACTCGGTCATCCTCTCAGGTGTATTTTCTCATCCTCAGGTGTATTTTGTGTATGATGAAGAGGTGGAGGAAGAAGAAGCTCCTCCGCCACCCACCCCGGAGCCCATAGTCCAGGTCAACGACAAACCACACAAATTCAAGGACCACTACTGCAAGAAACCCAAGTTCTGTGACGTCTGCGCACGGATGATTGTTCGTAAGTTCACATTGATAGCAAGTTACAATAACAGCACACATATTGTCTCAACCCTTTGCCTCATATGTTTGCATTGTTAAGGTAAACTGTTCTTGCCAAAATGAATGATCAGATACACACATAAGTTGCAGAAGAAACTCTACGATATGAAACGTATGCGCTGTGTGGTGTCTCTACTTTCAGTCAATAATAAGTTTGCGCTGCGCTGTAAAAACTGCAAGACCAACATCCACCACTCCTGCCAGTCATACGTGCAGTTCCAGAGATGCTTCGGCAAAATAGTGAGATGAAAAAAATATTTAATATACATGATTAACCCAGACGCTCAGCTTGAGTTTGATTAATCTCCCTCTCTCCATCAGCCTCCTGGGTTCAGACGGGCGTACAGCTCTCCTCTCTATGACCAGGAGATCAATAACCCGGGTGAGTCACATGTGTTAATAATCAGAGGTCATTTCTGATTTACATTACCATTTAGTCATTTAGCAGAAGCTTTTATCCAAAGCGACTTACAAATGAGGACAAGGAAGCAATTTACACAACTATAAGAGCAACAATGAAGAAATGCTGTAGGCGAGTTTCAGGAGTGTAAAGTGTAAGAAGCAAAGCATTAGTAATTTATTTCTTTTGTGTAATCCAGTTAGTGGTGGAGCCAGAGAGGCAATTGCAGATTAGGAAGTGAAGTGGAAAATAAACAGTTGAGTTTTTAGTCGTTTCTTGAAGACAGCGAGTGACTCTGCCGTTCTGATGCAGTTAGGGAGTTCATTCCACCAACTGGGCAGATTGAGCGCGAGAGTTCGGGAAAGTGATTTCTTCCCTCTTTGGGATGGAACCACGAGGCGACGTTCATTCACAGAACGCAAGTTTCTGGAGGACACATACATCTGCAGAAGTGAGAGCAGATAAGGAGCAAAGCCAGGAGTCGCTTTGTAGGCAAACATCAGAGCTTTGAATTTGATGCGAGCAGCAACTGGCAGCCAGTGCAAACGGATGAGCAGCGGAGTGACATGTGCTCTTTTAGCTTCATTAAAGACCACTCGTGCTGCTGCGTTCTGAAGCAGCTGAAGAGGCTTAATTTACATTAAAACAACTCTTGATGATGATGATAAGGGATGAAGCTGTGTTTAAAACACATTCAATATGCTGATAATTGTTGAAATGTGTACTAAACAACGAGAGATGAAGCTCTCTGCTCATGTAGTCTGTTATTTTAAAGCTTTAGCTTTCGGACTATAGATAGATGCAAAAGTTATAGATGCTCCCTCAAATAGTCCACTATTTAGGAGAGTATAGGGGTTAATTTTGAACACAGCTGTTGATTAGCTTGTTCTAGTGTGTTTGATGCAATAGTATCTGAATGCAGCCTTTATGATGCAAGCTGTGATTATATCACTCAGCGATGCAATGTCAGACACAGTGCACTCAATGGAGTGAGTGACATCACTGTGACGGGTAGGGTAAGGGGTGGGGTTTGGTGAGAGCATTAAAAAGCATTGGATGCAGCCCAGATTGCATCTGCGACAGCTCTGCATCCAGACATCCTCGATTGATGAGGGTTGGACTAAACTCTGCAGGATTAAGGCCCTTCAGGAACAAAGTTCTCCATCTCTGAACTGAACACTAACCTACAGAAGCATGTCTGTGCACAGGTCAGCAGAACCGCACAGATCCGGTGTTCGACACGCTGAGAGTCGGAGTGATCATGGCCAATAAAGAGAGGAAGAAAGGCTCAGAGGACAAGAAGAACGTAAGTGACCACAGGATATCAGGATGTTACTTATGTACCTGGCAGGTCTACTGGAGGATTGGGCAAGCAGGAGCCGATGGTAGTGCATCAGGAGAAGTATGAAGATGAACTGAGTGAAGATGCTGAGAGAGAGCAGCTCCTTCACAATTCATCTTCATAAACACCACGGTATACTTCCAATAAAGTGCTTGTTTTCTTTGTTTGTAGGCAAAAAGAAGCTTAATAAGACTGAGTGAAGTAAACTGTTTCTGTAAAAGAAGTGAGACTTTAGGACCAGACAAGACCTGCAGCACAGAGACTGTTGTAGATGTGTCTGAGCTCTCGCTGTTACCTATTATGAATGAATGAATGTATGTGTGTGTGTGTGTGTCTCCTGAAGATGATGATGATGATGATGGAGGAGGAGGAAGCTCAACAGCCCAAAGAGGATGAAGAGGGCGCTGAGGGTAAGCATATCTGCACCGTGTGGTTTTGGGTTGATTTCGACCTTTATTCTGACATGTGCGTCTTCCTTCAGTCTCTCTGAGGTTTTGTGGTGCTGTGTTCATGTGGTGTACAGAGGGGTATGGAGGAGGCAATTAGCCTCTCCTGATGAGGAGAGGCTACCTGATGAGCCTCTTCTAGTGTGTGAGCATTTAAGGTGCACAAGTAACGCGCTCTGCGCTGGACTTTAGACCTGCTTTTAGATGATCTATTGCACAGTCCATTTTAGTTTCTTAGAATAGCAGTGCTCCAACAATGCGCCTTAACACACCTCCTTTTCAGACCAGAAAAACCCATGCGTCCACAAAGTGGTGCAAATGGATTTATTATTTAAACAACATGGCACAAATTATGAAAATTACTGTTGCATTGGTCTGAAAATAGCAACACATTGCGGCATACCCGTCTTCTGCCTTATTGCACCAGGTGTATGATAAGGCCATAAAACTTGGTCATGTTTTGAGACTGCTTGGATAAAACACAGTCCATTATAAAATGATCTTTGTTTGCAGTGTGGTTATCACAAATGATGTAAAGCATGTTAATGAGCATGTTTTCTTTGAATTCTAGTGATGTCTTGAACTTTAACTACCTTCAAACATGAGCTTGGCCTGCTAATTTAGTTGTTTTATTAACGAGAAAAACATTTTGAAGGGAGGTTGCATCCACACTGGCTTTATGTATGAATTACCTACAGAATTAAGTGCTGAATGGGCATACTGTATACTTCATTGATAGGGAAGCAAGATGGAGACAAGAAAGACAAAACCGCAACAGATGACAAGGTAAAAGACTGCTGTGCTGTGCTGTGTGTGTCAGAAAAGAAAAATAATCCTCTTTTTAAGATTGGACTGGCATGTCAACATTAGGAAGCCTTTTCCTAGCTTCATGAGCCTTGACTCCAGAATCTTACTGGTATTGCCTAAAAGCTTCAAGTGTGCCTGCACTGACATGAAATTCTGTTCTTACTTAAGAGTCTGTGTCCTGTTTTTAGTCCATTATCTAAAAACTCTTAAATCAAGAAGCATTTATAGACAAGCAAAACAATAGTGTTGTTTTCAGAAATAATGAGTCAAAATGAAGAGAGTTTTTCATTCAAACAAGCAGAATAATCTTATTTTAAGCAGAATGAGATTGTTTTGGTTCCCCATTGACACATTCTTTAGCTTGTTTTAAGGAAAAACTTGCCTAATTTTGACATATTATTTCCAAAAAAAAGACATTTGAGAAAATGCTTCTTGATTTAGGAATTTCTTTATATTTGCACAAGAAAAAAGACACAAAGGGGTTTTGCAGTGTACTAATGCCAATTCAGTTTCTACTAATATTTAATTTTACTTTCACTATTAATATTTTTAAGAGGTTTTTCACCTTTATTATGACAGGACAGTAGGGAAGTCAGACAGGAAAGCACCGGGAGCAGAGAATGGCAAAGAATCTGCAAATGACCTTGAGCCGGGAATCGAACTCGGGTCACTGTGAGCACGTTGGTGTTATATGTCAGTGCACAATACCACTAGGCTACTGGCGCAGACCACTTCCACTATTAAAAAGCTAATTAAAAGTATAATGTTGTGTGTCGACGCCAGTAGCCTAGTGGTTAGTATGTTGACACAAAGCACCAATGTGCTCACGGTGATCTGAGTTCGATTCCCGACTCAAGATCCTTCCCCATGTCTGCTCCCCACACTTTCCTGTCTGTAAAATCTCAACTGTACTATCCCAATAATGATGAAAACCCCTAAATATCGTTATATAAAAAAGGTTTAATGCTGTGTAAAAGGTGTTGAATACTATTTTTTTGTTATTTACTGTTTGTTGTATTTTTGTGGGTCAAACATTCACTCATTAAATGCTGCTTGTTCAAACTACTGATTTAAAATGAGTTGAAACAGCACAATATTCAGCAGTTTTTGAGACACGTAATTGATTTATGATTTATGATTTATATTTTATCTACTTGAAGTTGTAAAAACTGAGCTGGGACCACTTGAAGAAATTGTGTGGAACCCAGTCTTTTATCCAGTGTTTGATGGTTGTGAGTGCACTTGTTTTGCATTTAATGACGGTGGGCATTGCTTTAACAGGCAGAGATGCTTCAGCGTACTCATGATGGAGTCTGAATCTGCCTCTGCTCCTGATCCTCCTTTAAACTCTCTAACAGACTGTATTTGATGATTGCAGAACAAGAAGCAGCAGCAGACCTTCAGTCAGTCGCATTATTATATGGCTCTGTATCGCTTTAAAGCCATCGAGAAAGATGATCTGGACTTCCAGTGAGTCTCATACAGCACATTCACATATTTAATATCAGTCAGAGTCATGAGCCGTGTTGACATGCACATATTCTCATGTAAACGGTGGAAGATGGAATTTAAAATGCTTAATGAAACACCAAGATGCAAATGAATTGTGGAAATGCTCAAAAACTGATGCGCTTTTATCTCATATGAAAATAGCAAACTTTTTCTGTCTGATTTTTGCTCCTGTTCATCAGCCTGTGGTGATTCTGCTCTCTTTGACTCATTGATGGAAACACTGCTTTACTCATAAATGTTATATGAAATATTCCTGATTTACACAAGTCTAATGCACATCTTTTGTGTGTGTGTGTGTGTGTGTGTGTGTGTGTGTGCACGTGTGCGTTTCAGTCCAGGAGATCGTATAACTGTTTTGGATGACTCTAATGAGGAGTGGTGGAGGGTGAGGTTTTTAATCTATTTATTTGTTTTATTATTATATTAATCTTGACGGCTGTACTTTCCTGTTCTTTTTGGGAATTTCTCCAACATTTTTGTGATCTATTCATGTTAAATACTGCCTTGTTATATTTATCTAGGTTCATTTATTACCTCCCCAAAAAAGTTACAGGCTGCATTTTTAAGTAGTAATATGTAGGAAATATAACGCTGTAATGTTAGATATTAGCATTTTGAAATGATGAGAGGAGAACTGGTGTTGGAGAACATAAGTTAATATAAGTTAATTAGGGTAACTAGGCAGGTTAGGGTAATTATGCAAGTTATTGTATAATGAAGTTTTTTTCTGTAGACTATCGAGAAAATTATCGCTGAAGGAGCTAATAATACTGACTTTAAATGGTGTTTAAAATATTAAAAACTGCTTTTATTCTAGCCGAAATAAAACAAATAAGACTTTCTCCAGAAGAACAAATATTATCAGACATACTGTGAACATTTCCTCAATCTGTTCAACATCATTTGGGAAATATTTAAAAAAAGGGGGGCGAATAATTTGGACTTCAACTATATATATATATATATATTCACATAAATTCACATATATCATATCAAATTCACATATATCACATATATGATATTGCATATCCATATATATCATATTTTTTATATAGTACATTCTATATTTAAATATATTTTCTGTAGCCTTCTGTAAGACACTGTATATGGAAAAAATGATTTTATCAGTTTTCTGTTGTGTTAAAGGGCAAGATTGGTGAGAAGACGGGTTATTTACCCATGACCTACATCATCCGGGTTCGAGCTGGCGAGCGGGTTTATAAAGTGACCCGATCATTTGTGGGAAACCGAGAGATGGGCCAGATCACCCTGAAGAAAGACCAGGTCAGTCTGAGCTGATGGAGATCTATAGCTGTGCCTCCATCCAGATATTTCTATGTGCAGTTTGGATTATCACATAAAAAATGCATGACGTAGACGCCAAGATGCGCATACAGATGGAAAAAGTGCATGAAAACTGATGTTCACATCATGACTGGTATAAACGTCTCATTCAATAAGAAAAGAAGTGTGCATAAACTACAATGGACACTATTTCACCAGATAATCCCAGCCATCAATATTTATGTGTACACTTGTATAGCACTAGCTAACTCCATTAGTGTCTGTGGGAAATCCTGAGAGAAGTTTTACTTAAAGGCAAACAGAGAGTTTCGACAGACACCATGAAATAATAAATGTTTCCCCACTGCTATTGTTAAACCTTTTGATTTTAAAGTTAATATACTTTTACTCTGTGTAAATATTATTGGACAGCAAACTTAAGCAAACTAATCAATTTAAATTAAATTAAGTTAATATTTCTACACCTGTTTATAAGGGCTAATTCACCCAGACATGAAAATCATGTTATCATTTACTCTCCTTCAACATGTCTCTCTGTCTTTCTTTCTTTCTTTCTTTCTTTCTTTCTTTCTTTCTTTCTTTCTTTCTTTCTTTCTTTCTTTCTTTTTTTCTTTTTTCTGATGAACACAAAAGTAGATTGAAAAAAGCTGGAAACCACTGACTTCTATAGTATGTGTTTTACTGATTGGTATGTGAGCAGTCGTCAGTGTGTTTGACTGTGTGCTGGTTCTGCAGATCGTGGTGAAGAAAGGAGAGGAGGTGAACGGATATTTGAAGGTCAGCACTGGCCGTAAACTGGGCTTCTTCCCTGCGGATCTGCTGCATGAGCTCTGATGATCAGCAGAGAAGGATGAAGAGAGATGGAGCATGCACACAGCGGCTGCGTTACACTCCACTTTTACACACACACTCACAAACATCCCTTCACTTGTTCCCTCAGCGAAATCCCTGCCGCTATTATGAAGTACATACCTGTTCATCAAGTGAACGAGTGAAGATTTAGATGTTGACCCTAGCTTTTGTCAGATTTTTCAAGTCTGGTTCATATGTCCAATATATGTCCTAGAATGCGATGTGATTGTGACGTCTCAACAGTGTAGTGCTCAAGTGCTCAAGGGCTTAGGGCACTCCATTTAAACCCATTCAGATGCTCCGCCAGTAGTGGACACATATGTAACCTCATTAATGCTGTACATCCAAGGGAACGAGATGAAGGGAAGTTAGTGAGTCAAGAACATAAAATATTGTACTGGAACGCAGCCCCGGTGTCATTTCAACACACAATACACTCTTCCAAATAAATGTGCCATGAAGAGCCAAATCAGGGCTTCACAGTCATCATTAAACAGACATAACTAGAGTAAGCTTTGATTTGACATGCCGTCCCATCTGACACTGTGAAAAGTCTATTTTAGTTTTTATTTCTGTTGAGGCTGAACAACAGCATAAACTACTATCACAATGATGACCACAGGTGCTGATTATGTGCTGTATTCAGTGTTAAATGCTCCTAATGTCAGTTTAAACACCAGTTTACATGACATTTATTGCTGTACTACTGAAAGCAGCAGCAGATCGTTCAGATCTTCAATACAATAACCAGCAGACACTGTGAGAATGAACATCAGGACTGAGACTCAAAACAACATCATCAGTCTCTCAGTAGACTATTACTGATGTTCAAGAGCTTTAATATGCATCGACTAGACTAAAAGCCGTGATCATTATCGGGGGTGCGGTGGCGGGTGTTTAAATAGATTGCTGGTTGCTGCGTTTGGTACAGAGAGGGTGAAGGATGGGGGAATGTCTTTAATAGAGATTGTCATTTCTAATTTAACATAACTGTTTGATTGATTGTTTTATTTTTGAGCTACAAAAAAGCTAACTGAAATGAAATGTTAAGTGTTGTTGATTAATCAGATTTTTGTCACTCACTGGACAGAGGAAACTGCAGAAGACATCAGTGAGTTAATCAAGGCTGGTGCAGCTGCACTAGTGTATCCAGCATTGAACTCTGTTGGGTTATAAATGAAGTTGTTCATGTTTTTATTGTAATAAGTTCATTATAAAATATTCTAATATATTATGCATTCATTCATCTGATAAAATTTATTTGTAAATATTATTAAGTTAGGAAATTTAATTGAACTTTAATGTAACACAGCTTTGTTTATTTATCTTCAGCCCACAGCCCTTAATCAACTTTGGTTTTTGACTCTTCATGAGTGAACGTTTGGAGTACCCCTGTCATAGAGGAAGCTTTTAAGATTCCCCAAAGCCTGTTAAAGTGAACAAGTTCTTTAAAAAAGCTCTTAGATAGTGTAAAGAACATTTTTCCCAATCTAAAGTTTTTGTCCCACTTTTTTGTAGAATGAAACACTTTCATGAATGTCTTCTGGACCTATTGATGTCAATAAATAAGCTTTATATTTAAGACTCAAGGCACAATAATAACAATAACATCTTTCAGTGGACACTGCTGTTTTATTAGGATCTGTATCACCGGCCTTTATTCACACTGAATGTTAGGTATTTCAGTGCTAGTTGTTTCAGAATGTCTGTGGTGACTTGTGCCGACATTATTCTCCTGAATCCTCCAAAGTGATGGTCTGATGGTGTTTGTTGTGTCATCGGCCGCTCTGAGGCGCAGATCATTTATCAAAAAAATAAAAATAAAAAAAGAGCAGTGCATGAAACTTCAGAGCTCATTTGGAGCAGTTCTCATGCTGACATTACTCTCTTATCACACATGATGGTTCAGAAACATGCACGTCTCGAGAGCTCTTAATGTGTGAATCAGGCATGTTTGATTAGGCCAGTGGTTCTCAATTTTGGTCCTTCTCAGAACTTACTGGAGGCTTTCACTGGTTTCTACCCCCCTACAAACCCTGATTGAATCTAATTTTGATATTAAAAGTGGCAAAACATTAAAAGAGCTTAAATAATTTCACTCTGAAAGAACAGACTTGCTCAATTCAACATTTTAGTGGATAAAACTCATGGTTTCAAAACTCAGGAGAAAACAACGCTGCATCTCTTTTGAGTGTCATCCTTATGTATGCTTTTGTAGCCAACTAAAACTTCACCAATTATAATAAATAACTTTCTCCTCAAACGACTGAAGTGCAGATTTGAGCATATGTAGAGCAGTTCTGGACACTGCTGCCTGCGTTCTGCCTGCTCTGATCAGTGTCAGCTGCTCCTCATTAATCAGTCAGCAGAGGAGAAGGCGTCAAGCTGAAGACACAAACCCCAAACAGAACACTGATCTGTCAAATTGTTCATCTGTTAGCTTTTTAAAAACAGTAATTAACAATTACCAAATCGTGTTCATATAAAGTGTGTTTGGTGTGAGTCTGTGTTTCTGTAAACATCATTTGACATTGTGTGCGTCTCAATCAGCACTCCTGTTCTATACTCTGCCCTTAATGAACTCCCATCTGACTTTTTTTTTTTTTTTTTTTTTTGGTAACTGATGGTTTAACTGCTTTATAACAGAGCTCATTTTCTCTTTGTCTACCTGAAATGTATTTATTTACTTTTGGTATTGTGTGACAATACAGATTGAGTGATTATAACAGTAAGCAATAAAGTATTGTATATTATTAATCTCTTCCACAATCCCCTCATGCATATCTACTAAATAAATATACACTAGTACTTCTATAGTATTTAATTTCGAATTTTGATATGAAGTTAGTTTTGAAAGTGAAAGATGTTCAGTTTCCCCATGCATCCACTAGAGGTCAGTGAACATCAACACAACAGCACTTGTGCTTTAGTCATCAGAACTCAGCTGTTCTTACTGTATAACAACAAACTGTACAAACAATTCCAATAAAAGACTGAACATCCTAATTTGCTATATAACTGTGTAAGCTGATGTGTGGCAGAAACACATCACTTACAACAAATAGAAGTTTCGAAAAGAAAGTAAAGCATGCATTTTCTGTACATTTGTATAATATAAGTAGTTAAGTATGTGTAATGCACAATCATATTAGACTGGCAATGAAAGCTAATGAATTTCTGGGAATTATTTAGTTGATTTTGCGTAACAGAAACTCTGTGTTTCAGTAAGACTTTATTTTAAGCTCTCCATTTCATTTAATGTACTTACGTAATTAAAATTAACTATGCATAATTTACATGAAACTATCCCTCAACCTTACCCTAAGCACACAGTAAGTCCATGTAATCAATTAACTTATACTATTCAGTAATAATTAGTAATAATTTAATTACTTCCACAGTTACAAAAGCATCTTAAAGGACACATTCTGCTTTCAGGGAAACGCTTTTAATCATTTCATTAAGCTTGGATAAGGCTGTATCAGCACTGGTGGGAGGCGTGTGTTGGTGTCTCACCAGTGACAATATGCTGCGAGTCTGATATTGCATTCAACGGCATAACCATGTTTATAAAAGAAAAAAAACTTAAGAGGAACTACTTTCTTCCGCCATTCATTCACATCTGCAGCTGACATTACTGTAGAGCTATTGAATGATTCTCTAGCGTAATGTCTAACGTGAAGGCTAAACAGCTTTTGCTCACACTTTAAGATTATAAGGCTGAACAACATGAAATGCCATCAGTCTATCCCAGTATTTCTCTGTTGTAATTAGGATTTTGCAATATTTAACCCCAAAAACACTAGCAGATTGTGTGGTATAAATACAGCACTACAACATACAAAACAGAGAGATCGACTCAGAGTGTCACTTACCAGATTTATAATGACTTCTTCAGATCTAGTTTGAAACTTATGTTGAGAAAATGCTGCTTTTCTCCCCTGATTATGCGGTCTCTGTCACCATCTTGTGGTGAAACGGCAACCCTCACTGTCCTTGGTCTGCTCAGACAGGCTGATGGCAGCCGATGCACTGAATCTAATGCTCCGAAATTATACATATTTAAAATTGGCACTGTCCTAAATAAACTGCATAGCTGCAATTTAAACAACTACATTCTCACCTAAAGAGCCTCAAAAGTCCATTATGTTGTCAAACAGCGGCAGTATTAGTCAAACTGTAGAGTGTCCTCTGCTTGTTGCTGTATGTGGGCGGAGTAATGCACAAAGGGTGAAGATGAGTGCTGTTATTTGCAGGATATTGCACGGCTATCAGCCAATCAGATTCAAGAACCAGACAGAACAGTTGTGTGTGTGAGTGTGTGTGTGTGTGTATATATATATATATATTACACATAAAAGGCAGTGATTAAATTCCTGCAAGCTCCTCTAGATTATTATTATTAATGTTTTCATTCACAGAATCATAATGCTCTGGCGTGACTGCTCAACACAACAGTTTTATTGATTTGTTTCTGTTGGAATGGATGTTCGTGTTTATTTTAGGTGATGTAAATTCAGCGTTTCCATGAGGGAATGTGACTCTTGGCTTCCGGAGGAGACCCTGAAACACACACAGATCTTCATTTGTGTTGATGAAAGCTCTGGGGGTTTGCAGAGTAAACAGTGTGAGTCTGACGTCTGCCGGCTTCCGCTGTTTGTTTGTATGGATTGCCAGCTCAGCGTGGAGAACGTGCACAGAAGAGCATGAACAGACGCTGGGAAACAGCGGGACTGATGAAGGACGAGAATTAAGATGCAGATATAAAGATAGTGGATGAGGAGATTCACCCCAAACCTCTGTGAAACACTATGAGTACCCAGAAAAACACTAATGTAAGCAATTATTAACCCTTGTGTGCTGTTCAGATTGACTCCACTTTGGTGATGTTGGGGCTGTTTTTGCTCAATTGACTTCCATTATGATATTATTTATTGACTGCAAAGCCCTGACAGCTGTTGGGAAGAGAGGCAGTTGGTCATTTTTACTGTTGACCATCAGTCGCAGTGCAAATAAAGCTGATTAAATAAGAGATTGGAGATTAAATTAGAGATTTTGAGGCCAAATTAAGACTCAAAACGAGCCCATGTGGATAAAAAACCGACCCAACAGCACACAAGGGTTAAAAATTGTTATTATCATATAAAGATAGTGAGGCTTGTTCATGAAAAAGTAACAAAAACAGTGCTTAATTACTATGCACTTACATTTGTGTACAGATGTTTTACATTGTACTTATGTTTTTTTAATTATCATGTAAATACATTTATAAATACACTCTTGTCCATTCCTTACACCTTAACTCACCCCTAAACCTGCAAAGTCGCTTTATAAATGTACATATGCTTTTTAAAATCTAAATATTACAAACTTTAAAGTATCTGATATGCTGATGGCCGTCACACGCATGATAATCGTCTTGTGCACAGGCTGCAATAGTGCCGAGACCAACTCATATCTGAATTTAAAAAGCCCACTCTTTCAAAACTTCATTCAGATCAGCTTCATGAAGGACTCACACAGACGCTCACAGTGCTGACGTTTAATCAATGAGTTGTTGTTGTCCTGAACAGATGATGATTTTACACTGAATCCCGGAGTTAGGGTCAGGCCTCGGTCTCCTTCCCATGATCCTCTGCTCCTCAGGTTTGTTTACACTCAGACAAACATCTGCGTCTTCTGTTGGCCTTTTCTCATGCTCGGCAGAGGAAGGTCAGGTCATCGCAGCTTTCTGGGATTGAAGCTGTTCGTACTGTATGTACTACTGTAAAGCTCTAATATCAATACAACTAACTCTAGTGACAGATGCTATATTCAGCTCGCTATCTCTTATCTTCATTATTATCAGTGCATTTTATTAAGATGTATACAGTTGAAGTCTGAATTATTCACCCTCCTTACCAAGTTTCTGTTTAATGAGGATTTTTTTCAGCTCATTTCTAATCCTACTTAGTTTTCTTTCCTCTTCTCCAGGATGACAGCACATAATATTAGACTAGATATTCTTCAAGACACTAGTGTTCAGCTTACAGTGACATGTAAAGGCTTCACTAGGGTAATTAGGGTAAAGTTAGGGTAATTAGGCAAGTCATTGTATAACAGTGGTTTGTTCTGGAGACAATCCAACACTAATATTGCTGAAGGGGCCAATAATATTGAGCTTAAAATGCCTTTAAAACTATTAAAAGCTGCTTTTATTCTAGCCCAAATAAAACAAATAAGAAATATTAGAGGAGATGCTGTTGAGAAAAGAATGAGTATTGCACAGGGGGGTGAATAATTTTGTCCTCGACTGCATTTTTGTAAATATCACCTCACTCTAAAGTCAGTCTATTTTTGACCACATCTTTATGACAAACGCTGACTCAGTGATCATGACGTCTTCAGAAATCTGGTCCTTCCTTCTTCAGGTTTTTGTAGTCAGTGTTAATGGCCAGAAACTGAAGAAGAAAACAGGCAGAAATGATTCTACAGCAACTGGAAACATTAGAGAAATGCTTTAGCCACATTGTCAGACTAGTGGTAACAGACCTCTTGAGTTATTTTTACAGTGTTACATATATTGCTGTGTTTATTCAATTAAAATACTCCCACGTCTTTAACCCAGATATCTGTGAATGAAGAGCAGGCATGTGTTGGTCTTGTGAACTTGGTTTGAAGACTATAAAATCAAACCATTAAGGAAATGACATCAACAGGAAATGCCAAATTACACATTTCTACACTGAGAAACACCCTGAGATCAGATCTCTTCTTCATCAGCAGTCAGTCACTGGTTTGTCTGTGTTGTTTCAGTGTCTGCTGAATTAACTGTGACTGCTAATAACTCTGTTGTGTCTTAATAAACATTTAATAGGTACAATGTAAAAGCACCCAGGTTACCTTCATTTCTTTAAGCTGAATCAAATTAACCTTTTGAGTCCATATAACTTATTTTATGTTAAACTGACTTAAAACTGCTTGCATCAATTATAAAATTAAGTTAGCACATGATTAACTTAGTTTAATAAGTTATAGATAAGCACTTTAGATAAGTACACTGCAAACAATGCTTCTCTCACTTAGAGATTATGTATTGCAAATATCTCAGATGAAATCAATCGAGAAGCATTTCTAGACAAATACATCAAGCTCAATAATCTGCCAGTGGGGTGAGCCAAATCATGTTATTTCAAAGCAAAAGCCAGTTTATTTTACCTACCCCTAAGAGTATTGTGCTTGTTTTAATGAAAGACTCGCTTCATTTTGACTCATTATTGCTGAGAACAACACTATATGTTTGGCTTGTCTAGAAAATGCTTCCTGATTTAAGAATTGTTTGATATTTGGACTAGAAACGAGACAAAATCTGTAAGTGAGAGAAGGATTTTTGCAGTGTATTTATCTTAAGTGTTATCCAAGTTTTTACCACATTTATATAATGACTATGGTAAATACACAGTGTGCACACATGAGGGGAAATCATGCTGATGTGAGGGTTTACCTTGTACTGGTAGCTGGGACTGAGCTGGTTCCAGGGTTCAGGGTTTGTGCTCTTATTCCAGCTGTGAAGAGCAAATAATTTAATTAATTCAAACATCTATTATCAAACAACAAAAAGCCTTTTCCAGTAAATTTGTTTTGTCTTTGGCGTCCCAGAATCATGTCACACACTATTGTAATGTATTCACAATCCACTTTAAATCCTGTCAAGGCCAAAGCCAGTCTTTCCTCCAGCAGCTGTGAGCCTGTGTAAGTGTGTAAAGTGTGTGTTCTGCACATGTGTGATAGTGTGCAGTGCTGTATTGTGTGTGTTGGTGTTGTATATTAAGCTACAGTAAGCTTGTAATAAACTGCAGCACATTCTCTGTTATTTTACACACTCATTCCTCTACAGATTATTTATTATATTATTTCAAACCACTAAAATGCCAATGAAAGTCACTTTGTTACTGTAGAGTTGAATTATCAGCATCAGAAGTGGACAGAGCAGAGATCAACATCCCATAATGCAGTTCACCACCACAGATAAACACAACACACACTAAATACAGAAGAAACTGCTCATTAACTGATGTTTTACATTAACATAGGAACATTTTGTGCTCCAGGGTGAGATTGGGTTAAATATTAAGTACAATAGGCATGTTTTTGGTGAACAGAACTTACACAATGATCTCAATCTACCAAAGAAAGCTGTAATAATTTCCTTACACGACATGAGGTCCTCTGGCCAGACGGAATAAATACGTGAACGCTCCACCCATGCCCAGACAGATGAAGAAGAACTGCGGGATCAGCTGACAAACAAACACCACAGACACTTTACATCAACCAGCAACATCAACATGCTACGATATTAGTCCATTCTTTAGATTATATATCACTGTTACATTTACACTACCACTCAAAAGTCTGTTTTTAAAGAACATTATTCTGTTCATCAAGGCAGCATTTATTAAATGTATAAAATGTTAAACATATATATTCAAATTTTAAATAACTGCTTTCTCAAAATTATTACTCCAGTCATTATTGATTTTATTACTATAACCATTAATAATAATAATAATAATAATAATAATAATAATAATAATAACAATAATAATAATAATAATAACAATAATACTATTAATAATAATAATAATAATAATAATGATAATAATAAAAAATAATAATTCTATTAATAATAATAATAATAATAATAATAATAATAATAATAAAATACTACTACTACTACTACTACTACTACTACTACTACTAATAATAATAATAATAATAATAATAATGATAATAATAAAAAACAATAATTCTATTAATAATAATAATAATAATAATAAAATACTATTACTACTACTACTACTACTACTACTACTACTACTAATAATAATAATAATAATAATAATAACAATAATACTATTAATAATAATAATAATAATAATAATAATAATAATAACAGAGTGATTTCTGAAGGATCATGTGACTCTGAAGACTGGAGTAATGAAGCTGATTATTCATCTTTAAAATGAGTGGAATAAATGATTAGGTCACACTTTATTATGATGGTCTGTTTGTTGAAGTAAAGTTACATTGCATCTACATGCAAACTACCTCTCATTAGATTATCAGCAGACTGTTAGATTGGGGTTAGTGTAAGTTGACATGTACTTGCAAAGTTTCTTAAAGTCAGCTAAATGTCTGTTGAAGGAGAAGTATCAGCAGATATTAAGCAGACGGTTTACTAATACTCAAATGGACCATCAAAATAAAGTGTTACCAATGTTTAAATTAAATGATAAACTACTTCTGAACAGTTATTTTATAGTGAAACAACATTTCATCCTACTGACCCTAAATGTTTGACTGGTAGAGTATTTAATCAGATTTTATGTTTACACACAAATATTTTTCATGTCTTGTTTTAATCCAAAAATCTTCTATAAATGCACAATTTCTAGACAACATGTTGCTTTATTTTGAGAAGTAACAACTAATAATGAAAGTAATCTCTCTTTATTTTCACTCATTATTTCTGAAAACAAGACTATCTTTTGTGCTTGTCTAGAAAATGCTGACTGATGGAAGAACTTGTGGATTTTTAGACTGAAACAAGACAAGACCTCTCAGTAGGAAAAGCCTTATTTTCAGTGTGTGTGGAGAATTATAAGAGATGAGATAAATAATAGTGCGCTGAAGCATTATAACTAGAAACGTAATGTTTAAAGAACAATGTTGAATCCCACATGACATCTACACTGTTTTACTCCAGACGCTTCACGAGGAGCTGCTGCATCAGTTCACACGTCTAATCATGTGTTACTTCTTCAGTGGTCAGAATAAAACATTAGAGCACATACAGAAGTAGAAAAGAGATGAAAATACTCACTCCTGGGTGTTTCTTGACCTGATCTCGAACTTTCCGCAGCAGCAGCATCTTTACAGGAGCAGAAGTCTCAGCACAACTGAGACGCGAGAGAGTGTGTGTGAGTGTGTACGTGTGTGTTACAGCTGCTGTGAAAGGGATGGAGGAAGGGGAGGATTCTCGAAGACTGATAATTAGAGAGAAACAACTGGAGGAAAGACGGCATACCACATACACCAGCGTCACCATCATCATCATCATCCCACAAAGAACACTCCGCATAGCTGACTGAGATGAAGATATATTTGCCGTGGAGTTCTTGAGTTTGTAATAGAGCTGCGGATCTCACATGATCATTTATATGCTCCATCAGATGTTTCTATGGGGTCTTCATGCTTGAGTCCTCTTTCCTGCAGAGTTTATCTCTAATGCTGATCACACACATGGTTCATTAACAAATTGGATCGCCATGACAACAGCTAATTACAACACAAAAGGTGGCTTTTTGACACCTGGTGAAAGACAAACAGCAGACGGACACAACCCTACTCGCACAGCGCAACAGTCTATTAGTGAGGTGCCACAAGCTGTGCACAGGAATCAGAGAGGGAAATACAGTGCTTTTTAAAGGGTCATCAAACACCAAAAACACATCTGTTGAGATGTTGACAGTCATATATGTGTCCCACATTGCTTAAAGCGCTATCAGGACACATATATTTAGCTAAAAAGTGAAAACTGGTTGTTGATTTGTTCTTCTGGTTTAAAAGTAAATGTGGAAGCTGCGTCACAGCGATAAGATCATTGTGTAAATTCCAGCGTGGAGCGGCTGGAACAAAGTTTACTTTATTCATGACGATCTGCATCTGTATAATGTGATTATTATGAACAGTATTATTGATTATCTGCAGATTTACAATAAACACAAGTATAGATGTGTTTAGCTGTGGGGTTTTGGAGGCGTCTGCATCAGCATATGTGGATGAGAACAGGACGTGTGTTTGGATATCACTCAGTTTTCTGACCACACTTCATTATTATTGTTCATTTATTCCTCTGCTGGAGATTAGAACTGAATTTGGAAACAGTTTTGAAGCAAATCTTTGTGCTTAACAAAGGAGATTAAATATGTGGGCTGATGGATGTGTTCAGTGGAGTGAGTTTCCACCGTTTCCTCACTCCACCAAAGTAAAGGAGTAAAGTAAAGAGGCTGAATGGAGGAGGCTCGTTCTTTATCCTCGTGCTGCAGATGCTCTGTTTAACTGTGTTCTCGCTCGTGAAGCATTCAGTTCTTACACTTACAGAGTCGCCATGTAAATAGCGACAGCAGGCGGAGAAAACCCACTCAAACATGGGGAGAACATGCAAACTCTTAACAGAATCACCAACTGACCCAGTCGAGGCTCAAACCAGCGACCTTCTTGCTGTGAGGCGACATCGCTACCCACTGCGCCACCGCATTGCTCCTTCTTTTTTTTGCTTCCTCTGAACTTTTCGGCACCGCCTTTCCTTTTTTTGTTTTTACAGTCCATCTCTGACAATTAGCTTGTGTTGCACGTACTGTTTGTTTGACATTCTTGCCAGATTTTGATTACGTCCACGTAACCTCTGATTATGTCGGATTGGGTCGGCCCATCTCGAAACCTACCAGCTATTGCTGATTGGGTCAAACATTTATTATTATTTCTACTATTATCATCATCATATTCAGATCTTGGAAGTAATAAAAGCTGCCTGCATGTTAAAACGGTACAAAAAAATTTATTAAAAGAAATTTAAAACCTGACCGGCCCATATTTAAAAAATGGTCCGGCCCTTCTGGCATTTGCCAGATTTGTCAGATGGCCAATCCGCCCCTGGTACAGAACAATGAAGTTCAACCTGGGAAATGTAAAAGTGAGAGGTGTTTAGCGAAGACCGAATGTTCATTTTTGGGTGAACTATCCCTATAAATCACCACATGACCTTGGCGTTTGTGATAAATACAGCAGGTGATTAAATGAAAAACACACGCAGGATTGAGATGGCAATCAAATCATGCTTTACGTCCCCTGAGAATCAATTACAGTCAGGACAGGGCTTATGAGGCAGTGCTGTTGTACAGTATCACCAATGTTTGTACAGTAATTGTTTCTCAGGGGGGCGTGCAGGATATTCATAATTTACACAAGGCAGTTGATGATTTATAGTCGACTGAATCAAGAATGTTAAATTCATAATTAAACAATTGTGAGAAGATCAACACATACTCAGAGATGTTGTTGGTTTATTCTTGGTTAGCATGCTGCTGTCTGCAGTGTCCTCTGTGTCAGCACTGAACATTGCATGTTCTCCCCGTGTTGGTGTGGGTTTCCTCCGGGTGCTCCGGTTTCCCCCACAGTCCAAACACATGCGCTATAGGGGAACTGATCAACTACACTGGCCGTAGTGTGTGAGTGTGTATGGGTGTTTCCCAGTGATGGGTTGCAGCTGGAAGTGTATCAACTGCGTAAAACATATGCTGGAATAGTTGGCGGTTCATTCCCCTGTGGTGATCCCTGATTAAGAAAGGAATTAAGCTGAAAAGAAAATGAATGATATAGCTATGATTTAACATTGGCAGATTCTGCACTCTGAACAGTGGTGGAGATACAGGTGTACGTCAAAATCTGAGATCTGGTGAAAGAGAAGCCAAAGATCTGATCTCTGCATCTGCTCCTGCAATAATCAACCATAATGATCCTGCGTTCAGGAGACCAAACAGCAGATATTATTGTGCCGGAGTGTTGAGCTGAAGCAGACACACACACACACACACACACACACACTGAAGGACAGATGAAAGGCTGCTGATTACGCCGTGCAGACGCTGAAAGCAGTGTGTGTCACTTCTCATGCACAATAACTGCTGTGACAGATCCTTGAGCACACAAACAACACACACATGCACGCACACACACACACCTGTTACCTTTGATGGGTTAAATCAACATCATTAGTGTTCATGTTCATATGCACACTATGACATACATAAAGGAGGTCAAAGGAGAAAAGGCTTTATCCAGCATCAAAAGACAGTAAAGCACTTCAAATACTAATATCTTTAATTATTTCAATTTTTCATGTTTGATGTTCGAGAAAAAAAGACTCGTGCAAATGCTGTAAATGTTGGAAAAATCTTTATATATTTAGCTCAAGAGTCATCCAATGGCGTATTCAGTTTTAATGAATTCTCAATTGAGGCGACGCGGTGGCGCAGTAGGTAGTGCTGTCGCCTCACAGCAAGAAGGTTGCTGGGTTCCTGGTTCGAATCTCGGCCCAGTTGCATTTCTGTGTGGACTTTGCATGCTCTCCATGCGTTGGCGTGGGTTTCCTCTGGGTGCTCCGGTTTCCCCCACAGTCCAAACACATGCGGTTCAGGGGAATTGGGTAGGCTAAATTGTCCGGAGTGTGTGTGTGAATGTTAGGTTGTGGCTGGAAGGACATTTGCTGCGTAAAATGTGCTGGATAAGTTGGCGGTTCATTCTGCTGTGGCGAACCTGGGTTTATAAAGGGACTGAAAATAAATTAATGAATGAATAAATGAATAAATGAATGAATGAATGAATGAATGAATGTTGTTGTGTCAATATCCCTATATTGGTTCGTATTCGTGCCGGCAGGTGGCAGTGCTGAGATTAAACCAAAAATAAAACACAAACAGTGCTCAGTGTGCAGAAGAAGTCGCAGCTCATCACTTGTGTGCTGTCCAACATGAGTAGTAACCGCACGGTTTACTCGTTCGAGGATTACCGGTGCTCACCGGATCCGGTGTTCGAGCTGGACAGTCGGTGTGTGTCTCCGGGACCGGTGCCGGTGGTGGTGGATAACGGCTCGTTTCAGTGCCGCGCGGGCTGGAGCAGCGGAGCCCCGGAGCTCGACAACCCGCGGCTGGTGTTTCGCCCGGCGGCCGCTCGCAGCAGAGGAGCCGCCCGCGGTGGAGCGCAGGTGGGGAACGACATCCCCAACCCGGAGCCGCTGCGCTGGACACTCAAGAGCGCCTTCGACCGAGACACGGTGGTCAACTTCGACATCCAGGAGCTCGTCTTCGACTACATCTTCATGCACCTCGGGATAAATACACAGGTGAGGAGGAGGGGGAGATGTGCAGGCTGTCCACCTCGCAGTACTTTATTTAAAGGACCCGTTAAACTGAAATAAAGTTTTTAGATGTTACTTTCAGTCTGTTTGCTGTAAAGGATATCTGTAAGCCAGCGTGTTACAAAATGTGCGTTTAGAAGATATAAACCTGATATAAACATCCGAAACTTGCTGTTGGTCACTTCCACAGAAATGCATCAACAGTTTTGTGACGTCACCTCATACTTCAGCTTCTCATCAAATGCTCCGCCCCGCCCCCTTCAGCTCATTTGCTGTTCTTGGACCCTTTTCATAAGACTCCTACTGTGTTTACCGGATGGTCATCAGCATCTTAAATCCTTTAAAGATTTTAATATTTACATATGTTTTAAAAATACTTTTGTACATTTATTTATATTTATGTCTGTATTATATCATATTTGCGTCAAATTACAAAAAGCCGAATGAGTGTGTGTGTGTGTGATGCAGTGTGTATGGGGGTCAGGACAGTAAATCTGCCATGATTCTCTCCTCCGGCTGCCGTTATCAGTCTCACACTAGTGGTTTCCTCTTTCTGAAAGTTTTGATAACACCATCCTGGAGCTTTTCTGTCATTATTTCAGCAAATAAGATTGTAATGCGCTCTGAGTTTACCAACTGTGACCCCTTCACTACTGAGAAACACAGAAATGTGAAAGAGGTGCATTTTGACAGCACTAGTGTGAATCCCCGGTGTAAATCCCTCTGTGTCCTCAGGGTCGTGTGGAGCACCCTCTGGTGGTGACGGAGCCGGCCTGTAACCCGCTGCAGTGCAGACAGATGATGTCGGAGCTGCTGTTTGAGTGTTACGGGGTCCCGCGGGTGGCCTACGGTGTGGACAGCCTGTTCAGCCTCCATCAGAACAGCACAGCAGATGCAGGAGCGCCCTCTACAGCCCTGGTGCTGTCCTCTGGCCATCACTGCTCACATGTGCTGCCCGTCATTAACGGCAGGTACCACTAACACTCTTTCACACGCGCACAATAAGAGCTCTTCCGATTTACACAGCACTTTCAGAAGAAGCCTATTCTTTTTAATACAGTTTGTACAGGTGTATGGCACATAGGGTTTCCACATTAGATACAGAAAACAAACCAATCACAGGAATCCAGAAGCTGTAGAACATTTCATGCATAAATACAGTGAGGATTCGAATAAAAGACGTCATAGGAAAAAACAAACAAAAAAAAGCTGTTGTATATTGTGGAATTCTCAATCAATTCCATGCATGTTCAAGAAAAAAGGGCAGGAGAGGTTTTTCTTCAATGTCAGAAATCTTAACAATTTATTGGATATAAATGAATAATTGGATTCTCAGAATTCTGTTTTCCTCAATGCAATGTAAAAGTTAGTTTAAGGACTTTCTTTTCCTGACTTCAACTTATATAGGCCGCTGATATGAGCAGGTGGAGTTTAATGAAATTCGTCATTTGTCAGTCATTGTTCAGTCCTCCATTGGCCGCACCCCAGACATACTTCCTCTTTTCCTATGAATTCTCTGCACAACATTAAAAGCATAACACATTTTGTGCTCTGTGTTCAGTTTTAACACCTTTCTTTAGTCAGGAAGTTTCTGCAGAGCTGAATCTAATTTTGGACCAGCGTTTATTTACTTCTGCAAAAATGCTAATTAGTATGCACAGCACTCACACACAACAGTAGACGTTCAGTTAATAAACGACCCTTACAGGACCAATGCAAACAATTGTTTGATTAAAAAAAAAAAAGAGACAAAAATAATAAAAAATGATTTCTATTTTCTAACAATGCAATCAAAACAAAAGCAGATAATGCAAATTTGTTGACTGTGTATATAGTTTTTTAACCCATATTGTGGCACCCAGTATAGCACCTACAGTGTTTGAATATTTCATGTAGCTAGTTCTTGCATACTGTGTGCTTATGTGTTTTCTCTTATAATACATTAAATAAAATGCACATCTTTCTATTGTACATTGTATATTGAGTCTGGCTTTAATGGATGAATATATTCTACATGTTTTCTCCAAGTCTCATTAAACGCCTCAGACTGTAAATGAACATTCATTGTTACAAGTCTCCTTTTCGATTGTCCATTTGATCTCAAGCTCAAATAGGTAATGTGACTGCAGTGGGCTGTGACTGATTGAACAGCTTCCTGAAATGTCTTTCATTAAAAGTGTTCATTACATCCATCATTTACATCTTTATATTCCATCCCATGTTTATACAATGACTTTGAGTAGAACCATGAATATATCAGTAAAGGTTTGCATGAAAGGAAAATGTATTGAATGTAAGTGTTTGTATACAGCATTTTATTTGAGTGTTTCGCAGGGTAAGGTTGCAGCACAATGCAAAAAAACTTATTTTAACTTTGATTTTTTTTTGTCTTGCTTCTAGTCCAAAAAAAAAAAAATCTTAAATCAAAAAGCATTTTCTAGACCAGTTAAAAAAATAGTGTTGTTTTCAGAAATAATGAGTTTTTCATAAAAACAAGCCAAATAAACGTATTAGGGGAAACTAGATCATATAGCTGGTGTAAATGTGAAGGACACGTATTTCTCATAAGTTGTGTATATTTGTGTTTTTATTATAAACTCAAATTAATTTGTTATAGTTTGTATGTTAATTTATATTATAAACTCATATGCAATATTATGCAAAGTAGAGCATATGCACCCTTAAAATTGTTGGTAACTACCTAGTTTACATGAATGATGTTGTGTGTAGGGGGTGGCGCAGTGGGTAGCACGTTCGCCTCACAGCAAGAAGGTCGCTTTTCAGGCGTTTCTGTGTGGAGTTTGCATGTTCTCCCTGCATTCGCATGGGTTTCTTCCACAGTCCAAACACATGTGGTACAGGTGAATTGGGTAGGCTAAATTGTATGGAGTGTATAAGTGTGTGTGTGAATGTGTGTGTGGATGTTTCCCAGAGATAAGTTGCGGCTGGAAGGGCATCTGCTGTGTAAAAACTTGCTGGATAAGTTGGCGGTTCATTCCGCTGTGCAACCCTGGATTAACAAAGGGACTAAGCCGACAAGAAAATGAATCAATGGATGTTGTAGGCGAGGCAGTGGCGCAGTAGGTAGTGCTGTCGCCTTACAGCAAGAAGGTCGCTGGTTCGAACCCCAACTCAGTTGACGTTTCTGTGTGGAGTTTGCATGTTCTTCCTGCCTTCGCGTGGGTTTCCTCCCGGTGCTCAGGTCTCTCCCACAAGTCCAAAGACATGCGCTGCAGCTGAATTGACTAGGCTAAAATTGTCCATAGTGCATGACTGTGTGTGTGTGTGAATGTGTGTGTGGATGTTTCCCAGAGATAAGTTGCGGCTGGAAGGGCATCCGCTGTGTAAAAACTTGCTGGATAAATTGGCGGTTCATTCCGCTGTGACGACCCCAGATAAAGGGACTAAGCTGACAAGAAAATGAATGAATGTTTGTGTAAAGACTGATGTTACTGGATTCATAGTTGTGGCACATGTTCATATGCATATCAGTGGATATTTAAGTGAGAGACTGTGAAAAAGACACTGAGAAATTCATATTTTTAATATTATATGTTCTATTTCTTGTAGTTTTCACGGTGTCTACTGCAAAGAGAGAAAGAGAGAAACAAATAAACAGCAAAGACATCAGAATGAAGCGTGCCTATCATTTTATTCAGATCAGTGCCGCTGGGTTACAGCTGGGTTTAGGGAAAAACTCTCTTCATTTTGAAAACAAGGCAGATATTCTCTGCTCATCTAGAAAATGCTTCTTGATTTAAGAGTTTTTAGATGTTTGAATTAGAAGCAACAGAAAAACTCTAAGTAAGAAAAGCATTTTTGCTTAAGCTTGAACATAGTCACACACTTGAGGCTTAGTTTGTAAGTAGTTTTGTTCTTTCTCCAATTGCACTGAACATGATAATAAAACATTTCCATCACATGAATTCAAGAAGGAAGATCATCAATATCTGGCATGTGTTTGATACTGGTGACTTTTCTCATGCCTTGCTCTAACACAATAATCTCTCAGCTATTTAATACAGGCTGTTGTTCTTGAGTGCAGGCTGGATGCTGTGAATTGTAAGCGGGTGAATCTGGGTGGAGGTCAGGCAGCGGCGTATTACCAGAGACTTCTGCAGCTCAAATATCCTGCAAACCAGGCCTCCATCACCCTGAGCCGCATGGAGGAGCTCCTGCACCAGCACAGCTACATCGCTGTCGACTATCACAACGGTACACACACACACACACACACACACACACACCTGCATTTATATACTATAATAAGCTGAATCTCGAGATTGGAAATACACAAATTTCTTCAGAATTTTAAGCCCTTACAACCTTAATCTTACAACCTATTTATTTACATATGTAAATGTGTATATGTATGCATCTATTTTGATTTTATATTTGTCTCAGTAATAATATGCAAATGTGTTTATTTACACGAACAATTTTAAGCAAAGTAAGTTGTAGACTTTTCAGTGAGACCCTAAAGAGTCGGATCAGCCTGTGTGAAATGAGCATGCAATGTCACCTTTGCACATTTACAGATGTCAGTTCAGCTCAAGGTTATTTGTGTAGTGCTTTTTGCATTAATTAATGTTTCAAATCAGCTTTCAGTGTGAAAATGAAGAGCTGTAAATGATAGGAGGTGCTGTCGAGACAAACATGTGAAGCATAGAAGTGTTTCAAACACAGTGCCTGGTGTATTAAGTCAGGGGGAGTGTGTCCTACAGGTGGCTGTCAAGGCCACTCGCCTGCATGGAGCACACTCGTGCATCACACTGTTACGTGCTGCATTGTGTGTGTGATGAATGTAAACTGAGAGAGTGTGTCTGAGCCTCAGACGTATTCCCGAGTTGAACGCTTTGCTGTTTGTGGGACAGAGCTGGAGAAGTGGCGCAGTCCGGAGTTCTACGAGAGCGAAGTGCACCGCGTCCAGCTGCCGTTCTCGGGCCGCTCGGCTGGAGTGAGTGTGAGCGCAGAGGAGCGCAGCGAGAGACGAGCGCAGCAGCTCAGACGCATACAGGAGATCAACAGCCGGCGCAGAGAAGAGAGGATCCTGGAGGACCAGAAGCGCCTGGACACACTGCTGGCCGTGCAGGTACACCAGACACTGACCAACACGCTCTTATTACCACTGTTTCTCCTTATTTATCTGAAAGATGAACAGAAATCTCCAGGTGTCAAAGCAGTTTCAGTGGCTTAAATGTCATCATGAGCGTCTACTGCTGCATATTTTACTGAACACAAGTCATGGTTTTATCGAGGGAGGTTCTGCTGTGATTGTCGGTATGGTTGTATCTGGATCAAGTTTTTTTAATGGTCTCATGAAATTAAAATAACATTTTTAGATGTCATTATCAGTATTATTAGTTTTTAGGATGTTACAAAATTCTTTTTTATGAGATATAACGCTGATATATATATATATATATATAAACATGTAAAGTTTGTCTCGTCCATTTAAGTGGATCGACAGTTTTATTCACGTCTCCTCATACTTCAGTTTCTCATCAACTTTCTAACCAATCAAATGCTTGCTAGTGTCTAACATGCCCTGCCCTCTTCGCCTCATTGGCTGAATATTTGACGCACTTAAGCTGAACCACTTTGAGAAAAACAACACTATTGGCTGTTTTTAAAAAGGGGAGGAGCTACTCTATGCCCCGCCCTTTCTTCATGTTCAGCTGAGATTACATCAAATACATATTCACAGGCTTTAATGCTGCTGTTTTGTCCTGTCAGGAGCTGCTGGAGGACGGGGCTCTGGAGCTCTTCCACAGGAGTCTGGTGGAGCTGAACATGGACTCGGCGGAGGAGCTGCAGTCATACATACACAAGCTCAGCCTGAGCCTCCAGCAGCACCGCTTACTGAGAGCTGAGGTTTGGCAAATCTCCCAAACACACTTTACTCAACTCTTCTGCTCTAATAACTGTGTGTGTGTGTGTGTGTGTGTGTGTGTGTGTGTGTGTGTGTGTGTGTTTGTGTGTGTGTGTGTTAACAGTGTTAATAATTGTTAAATCGTGATGTTCAAGGAACATGTAGATTGAATGATAAAGCTGACGGTGGTCTTGTTGAATCAGACTGCAGAAGTGGAGCCGTCGGCAGATGAAGGAAACGAGCTGGAAGCAGAACTAAATGAGAACGAAGAGCCTGGAAAACCCAGCAGCACAGCGCAGGTAACATTTAAAGACGTCTTCATTGCTGTGGATGTTTATGCTAATGAGGTTGAAATAGGCACTAGTGGGCGGGGCTTTCCTTCACTGATGACACGTACAAAGGCAGAATGTCAATCACAGTGTTTCTGCATCAAGTCTGATTAAAACAAACACAATTCATTCATGTTAGGCATTAAAGGCTGCTGGAGATACTCACACACTGCTCACACACACTACTATAGGTGCACTTTAATTGACTGTCAAAGATTCACTCATTATTCCTGCGGATTAGTCCCTTATTTATCCAGGGTCGCCGCAACAGAATGAACCGCTAACTGTTCCAGCATTTGTTTTATGTAGCGGATGCCCTTCCAGCCACAAGCCAACACTGGGAAACATGCATACACACACACACGCACACACTCATACACTACAGCCAATGTAGATCATCAATTCCCCTATAGCGCATGTGTTTGGACTGTGGGGGAAACCGGAGCACCCGGAGGAAACCCACACCAACACGGGGAGAACATGCAAACTCCACACAGAAACACCAACTGACCCAGCCGAGACTCAAACCAGCGACCTTCTTGCTGTCAGGTGAACGTGCTACCCACTGCGCCATTGGGGAGCTCATTATCCTTAATATTGTTATTATTATTATTATTATTATTATTATTGTTATTATTATTATTATTATTATCATTTATTTTTTATTGTTATTGTTATAAATATGTTTTATTCAATTTATTATTGTTGTTGTTATTATTATTGTTATTATTTATTATTATTATTATTTATTTTTATTATTATTATTGTTGTTATTATTATTATTATTGTTATTATTTATTGTTATTGTTATAATTATTTATTATTATTATTATTCAATTAATTAATATTATTATTATTATTTAATTAATTATTATTTTTATTATTGTTATTATTATTTTTTTATTATTAATATTATTATTTGTTATTTTTATAATTATTTTTTATTATTATTATTCAATCTATTATTATTATTTAATTTATTATTATTATTATTGTTTTTATTATTATTATTGTTATTATTATTTATTTATTTATTTATTATTTTTATTTTTTTTGGCCATGATACAGAAGCTGATTTGGCAATAAACTCAAAACTCTCTCTCTCTGTCAGCCGATGTTTAACGTGGCCGAGTATCATCAGCTGTTTGTGGGCACGGAGCGTCTGCGGGTGCCGGAGATTATTTTCCAGCCGTCTCTGATTGGAGAGGAGCAGATGGGCCTGATGGAGACGCTGCAGTTTGTTCTGGAGCAGTGAGTGATCAATGGATCAACATTAGTGCTGCTGTCAAACCATTAATCAATATACAAATGAGAAGTCCTTATTTACAAAACTGCGTGTGTGTAGATATTCCCCTGAGCAGCAGGAGGCGCTGGTGAGGAATGTGTTTCTGACTGGGGGAAACCTGCAGTATCCTGGAGTGAAGGAAAGAGTGGAGCGAGAGCTGCTGGCCATCAGACCCTTCCAGTCACACTTTAAGGTCAGAATCACTGCAGAGATGACCACAGTGGAGGAAAGACTTGAAGCTGTTTTTTTTATCGTATTTTAATAAAGAGAATGAGAAGTCATATATAATGTCATTATACCCTCACTGAAAAAGCAACACATGTAGCTGGGGGCTAAGACTTTTGCACAGTTCTGTGTATATGTTGTCTCTGATCTGAAACCTGCCAGATGTAAGGAAGTGTTATGCAATGAGGTAAGCTCAAATACATGTTTCTAATGTTTGTAAATGGTGTGTGTGTGTGTGTGCGCGTGTGTGTGTGTGTGTGTGTGTGTGCGTGTGTGTTTAGGTGTCTGTGGCGGGCCGGCCGGCTCTAGACTCGTGGTTCGGGGCCTGTGATTGGGCCCTCCGGAGCCCCGCTGACGCTCCAGGCTGGATCAGCCGTCAGGATTATGAGGAGAAGGGAGGAGAATATCTGAGTGAACACTGCGCCTCCAACATCTACATACCCATGAAGATCAGCAAACCCAAACACACACTTACAGGAAAACACAGCACAGACTCCAGCCAACCGGACGCCAGCAGTGTCCAAAACCAGAGCGACGTTTCTGTCAGTCTGAGCTGAACTGCTTTTATACTGCTGACGTGTTTTACTCACCAAATGTTGAGCGGCCAAATGACTTTATTTCTATTTTTACAGCTTTAGATGGTGTATTTAATGTGTTTTAGTTGATGTACAATGAAGAGAACATGTGAAACACTGAGGGCTCGTTCATTGTGCTTTTGGACAAAGTGAAACACTCATGAAGGAAGTCTCTACACTGCAACACATGCTTGCTTTCTAAGAGTATTGTGTCTTGTTTCTAGTCAAAATATCTACAAATTCTTAAATCAAGAAGCATTTTCTAGATAAGCAAAAAATATTGTGTAGTTTTAAGAAAAAACTATTTTAACTAATTTTGAAAACATGTTCAATAATCTGCCAATTACAGCACTAATGTCTTGATTTTCCTGTTGACATGAGGTTATTTCTCTTAGCCCATTGGCAGATTATTTAGCTTGTTTTGAAGGAAATCTCACTTCATTTTTACATATTTCAAGAGTTCACACTTAGCTGATAATCAATAAAGCGTATTTGGCATGCTGTCCCGGGGGAGAGCTCTGAGCTCGCAATATCCTCGAGCCCAGGGCTCCCTCCCGTTAGAAGGGCGAGAGGGGAATTTGAGCTCAGGTAGGTCTCGAGAACTCCCCTGCTTGTCACCGTGAGAAGTGTAAACTCAGGTTGTATTGGGTGATAATTTGTTTTAGTCGATTGGCTATGGTTTATGTTTTTGGATGGTGGGAGGAAACCGGGGAACCCGGGGAAAACCCACGCGAACACGGGGAGGACATGTAAACCCCACACAGAAACACCAACCGGCCCGATGGGTTGGACCGGCGGTGTTCTTGCTGTGAGGCAACAGTGCTAGCCACTGGGCCACCGTGTCGCCCGATCAGAAAAAGTGGGAGGATGTAGGGGTGGAAAGGGGGAGAGCTTCAAGACGAAGATGACAGGAGTGAAAAACTCAGGTTATTTATAATGCTTCCGTAATCATCTAATAGGGCTGATTACGGAGCTAACAAAGAGCCAGCCGTGTTGATTATAAGCACGTGATCCTCGAAATGAGTTTATGAATAAACCACACTTATTAAAACAAGACTATATTTCCTGCTTGTCTGGAAAAGCTTCTTGATATTTGATCTAGAAACAAGACAAAAACAAACAATCTGCTTATTTTGCAGTGTGCTCACCATGGCTGCGTTTATTCAATTAAAACAAAAACTGTATTATTGGGGAGATTATTACCATTTAATTGATCCATATAATAAGCTTTTTCTGTTGGAGATTAGTCAACCCTTTAACTGGCATCGCTTGGTAGACCCTTTTGTCCAGGGGTGATCATTAAAACAAAACGCCCGAAAGGAAAGACAATTTCACCTAAAGAAACACTGAGCAAAACTATGTTCATCTTAACAAAGTCATCAGTAAAAGGCACTCGAAAGGTAAGTGGAAAAAGTTCTTCATTCAGCTTTTGCTTTTCGAGTGTCTTAGACTCTGTTGTTTATCTTTATGAGTCCCTCATCCTTGAATTAAGAGGTCGGTTAAACATGCTGTTATTATTACTCTGCCTCATGTTGGTCCAATCTTCAGACACAAAAATAAAGATATTTTAGCTGGATTCTGAGAGCTGCTCGTCCTCCAGACGTCCAGAAAAGACCAAAAACATCCTCAAAATGTGTCTTCAGAAGCTCCAGCGACAACTTTCTGAACCAAACAAACGGTAAAAACAACTTTGTTTGCCAGTGTCTCTCATCAGAGTGTGTTTACTATAACATTTTGGTGACTGTCGCTTTAAATGTAAATGAGGTTGTGTTCTTTTTAGAAGAGGGCGGAGCTACAGACGGACAGCTGAGAAACAGCAGTGTGTGTGCTGTGAGTGCTGGTCAGGTGTGTGTGTGTGTGTGCTTCAGTGTGAGTGTGTGTTGATTCTTCTGTCAGTCTATGTTGCTTCTTCATCTAGAACTCCACATCTATAATCCTCTTAGTCTATGCTGACATCATCTTCAGCAGCTCAAACACTCTAATGGTTAATGGACAGACGGCTGCTTCTCACTCAGGCCTGCTGTTTATGCTAATGAGATGGAGAGATGTGCACTAGTGGGCGGGGCTTTCCCCCTCTGATGACACGTATAAAGGGAGAATGTCAATCAAAGTGTTTCTGCATCAAGTCTGATTATAATAAACACAGTTCATTAAGTGATTTAGCACAATAGGTCTTATTAATTATTATCTGACTAATATTTAGATGAGGAAGTGAATACTCCCTCAGCTGCTGTTCATTTGAAGCATCATTTGAGGAAACACTGGAACAGAAACTCTTCTGTAAATCAGCAGTCTGTGCTGGAGGTCTGCAGGTATGCTTCTACTGCTTCAGATATTCACACTTTAACAGTATACACACTCAATCTAGACCTGCGTTCATATATATCGGCACTGAGAAAGTCATATTCCCAGTGGATAGATTAAATGAGCCGTCTCGCCACACAGACGTGCAGTATATTCACATCTATGTGAAACATTATTGAATATATCGAAATATCCTTTACAATACTTCTGTTCTGAATGCATCCACTGCAATAAAGAGTTTCTTATAGTTTTTGCTTGGTTTGTTGTCAAGACTAGGAGTTTCTCTGACATGCAAAGCTTTTACACACTGAGAAATCTAAATGTGCAGAGATGTGAATGTTCTCTGTTCCCCACACATTTACTTCCCAGCATTGTTAAAAAAGCAAAAACACACTCTTTAGAAGATAAGCAAGACAAAGATAAACATGAGACAGCTAAATATACACACACATGCATCTGAGCAGGCCCTCAGATAAGCAGATGTGTGCTGCTGTGGGTATCACTTCTCTATAATTTAAGGAAGTGAGCTGAATGGAGGCATTGTGCACCGATATTATAAGCTCTACATGCAGCGTGAGCATCAGTCAGACGCTCAGACAGAAGCAGATGAAGTTCATTAGTTCATTACTGCTGTAATTTGCAGGATGCAGAGGCTGATGTTCCTCCTGATGTTGACGCAGTCATGTGCGGATAATCCAGCATTCAAAGCTCTTCTGTCAGAGAAGGCTCTCACAGACTGTAAGTTTGCTTTATTTATTCAGTTAGAGGACACGTTTAGCTTTAATCCTGTCTGTTTTATGCAGACTACATTAGATTCAAGATGCCAAAGAGATTTACCATTAGAAAAAATGTTAGAGTATTTGGTGTTGGGTCATTTTCATCCACTCTGGGCTGATTTTGAGTCTTAATTTGGCCTCAACTTTCTCTGTTTCAGATAGCAGAATGATTTTTGGTGACAAATCTTATTTTGACATACAGTTGAAGTCAGAATTATTAGCGCCCCTGTTTATTTCCCCCCCCTGATTTCTGTTTAATGTAGGGAAGATTGTTTCAGCACATTTCTAAGCATAATAGTTTTACAAACTCATCTCTAATAACTGATTTATTTTATCTTTGCCATGATGACAGTACATAATATTTTACTTGATATTCTTCAAGTCACTTCTATACAGCTTAAAGTGACATTTAAAGGCTTAACTAGGTTTATAAGGTGAACTAGGCAGGTTTGTGTAATTAAGCAAGTTATTGTAATAATGATGGTGTGTTCTGTAGACACAGGAAAAAATTTACCTCAAAGGGGTTAATAATTTTGTCCCAAAAATGGTTTTTAAATAATTAATAACTGCTTTTATTCTAGCCGAAATAAAACAAATCAGACTTTCTCCAGAAGAAAAAATATTATCAGACATACTGTGAACATTTCCTCGCTCTGTTAAAAATCATTTGGGAAATATTTTAAAAAGGAAAAAAAATCAAAAGAAGGTTAATAATTCTGACTTCAACTTTATATTTTGGGAAAATGCTTTGTTTTTAAAAACTCAGCGGTACACTTTGGCCAAATTTACAGCTCTTTTTATGTTTATTTTTAAGTATTTGTTATCAGGATTCCCATTAGCCACTACCAAGTTAGTGATATATTCTTCCTGGGGTCCATCAAACACAAGACAAAATTACACTAATCCATAACAACAAAGACCAAAAAAAAAAAAAACTCCAAAATTCATGCATAACATCCAGATCAACAATCCAATTAATATTGTGCCATTAAATATTTCTCCAATGATTTTTTAAATCTCATTTTACTTGTTGCAGTGTTACGCTTCTTCCCCTTTTTGTCTAGGGTTGGGGAAGGAAAATAAAGTGAACTAAAATTTAGAATTTAAGAAAAACAAAGAACAAATGAATGAATTATGTAAACGTTAAATAAACACTTCAGTCCTCTGCCTCAGAAACGTGAAACAACCACAAGAGTGATCTTACATCTTTTATTCTCATTAAATCAACAACATAGGAAGCAGAAGTGTTCAGGTGAAGGATGAACCTCTCAAACTTAAGTGCTGTTTTGGGGTTTCCACCTGGATTTTGCAAACCTAAATTTAAAAGCTTCCCAAATCCACATGCAGAGGTGTAAATGCTAAAAAATTGGTATCATTTTAAAGAAAACCTTTTGAATTTACATAAAACGCTGTTGAAAGTGTTTAAAACAACTGTATCTGTTGTCTGTGTTATAGTAAACTTGAACTTCACTCATCAGTAGTTCTTAATAAAGTAGTGTTTAGTTGACATAGCTTCAGGTATCTACATCATTATGTGCTGTTATTGTAAAGTGTTTCCATTTCTGTGTGTGTGTTCAGTGTCTCAGATGATGCCTGTCTGGATACAAAGCAAAATGAAGAGCACCGCAATCCCAGACATCCATGATCAAGTGGACATTGGCATCGGCTGGGTGAACTACGTCCTCTCACAGTCAGTAAAACACAAACAACACGAAACATTCGCTCAGTTAGCATGCATTCTTATTCCAAACACACAATGCTCTGTGTATTCAGCCAGTATGGCTAATGGACAGACGGCTGCTTCTCACTCAGGGCTGCTGTTTATGCTAATGAGATGGAGAGGAGGGCACTAGTGGGCGGGGCTTCCCCCCTCTGATAACACGTACAAAGGGAGAATGTCAATCAGTGCTTCATTTAACTAATTATACACAATACAATTCATTCTTCATTACTATTAGACGCTGCTTGAGACACACACACACACACACACACACACAAACAGATGTCTAAATTATTATTTGGATGCTGTTTTGTTTTTTGTTTCAGTCATTGCAGATAAAGTGTGTGTGTGTGTGTGTGTGTGTGTGTGTGTCTCCAGCATGCGTGTCGTGCAGTGCGAAACAGCTGAGCCGTCGCTGGTGTTTGTGGAGGGAACAGGACTGTATCTGGAGGTCCGTGAGCTCTCATTGGCTGTTTCTGGCAGATGGAGAACAAAGTTCGGCATCATGTAAGTGCACCAGTGCATCATGGGAGATCACAGTCATGTCTGTTTTACCACACCTTTTCTTATAGAGTAAACAATACTGTAGTACAATATAAATACAATAGTGCTTGGTTTATGATTGGAATTAACCTGTTTCTATAGTTATATCTGCAACTATAGAATATGTGACTCTACAGTTGCTATGGTAACACAACGACTATAGTGAATAATCTGTTGTGGTGATTCTACAGTTGCTATGGTAACACAACGACTATAGTGAATAATCTGTTGTGGTGATTCTACAGTTGCTATGGTAACACAACAACTATAGTAATTAATCTGTTGTGGTGATTCTACAGTTGCTATGGTAACACAACGACTATAGTGAATAATCTGTTGTGGTGATTCTACAGTTGCTATGGTAACACAACAACTATAGTAATTGATCTGTTGTGGTGATTCTACAGTTGCTATGGTAACACAACGACTATAGTGAATAATCTGTTGTGGTGATTCTACAGTTGCTATGGTAACACAACAACTATAGTGAATAATCTGTTGTGGTGATTCTACAGTTGCTATGGTAACACAACGACTATAGTGAATAATCTGTTGTGGTGATTCTACAGTTGCTATGGTAACACAACGACTATAGTAATTGATCTGTTGTGGTGATTCTACAGTTGCTATGGTAACACAACGACTATAGTGAATAATCTGTTGTGGTGATTCTACAGTTGCTATGGTAACACAACAACTATAGTGAATAATCTGTTGTGGTGATTCTACAGTTGCTATGGTAACACAACAACTATAGTGAATAATCTGTTGTGGTGATTCTACAGTTCTCCACTGTTCCATGTCTCTGTGTAGATAATGGCTGTGACTGTGGGTCGCTGCAGTCCCGGAGCTTTAGCAATGACTTTACCACCTTTTCCAGGCTGATGGATCTCAATTATTTTCTTTTTCTCATTTGTTTTTGAATTTCTTTGTATCTTGGCATGATGTCTAGTTTTTGAGGCTCTTTTGGTCTACTTCACTTTGTCAGGCTGGTCTTTTTTAATAGATTAATCCTGATTTCTTGATTGCGAACAGGTGTGGCTAGAGAAACTGAACTCAGGTGTGATAAACCACAGGTGTGTTTTAACAAGCACTTTCCCCCACAGCGCTCTGCAGATTTGTGTTTTGTTTTCCCTTAATAATAATAAAAAAAAAACTGTATGCTGTGTTTTGTGCAACACAGGCTCATTCTGAAAATGTAGTCCCGTGAACATTTCTGGAGACCGCGAATTACGTAGCTGGATGTTTGTATGGTTGCATCTCATTTTTTGAACGAACACTAGGGGGCGGTATGACGCTGTTCTGTGTCTCGCGCTCTCCAGCTGACCGCTTACCTCCGTGTGGAGGGCTTTACCACCGCAACCAGTTTGTCCAGTTAGCTCATTGTGTACGTCGGTGGACTTGAGATGCAGAGAAGTGTTGACCACAATGATGACGACCGGGTTTGATTCCGGGGAAGATCGGTTCTAGAAATCAGGTAAGGCAAAAACAGAATCCACAAAATAAAATGAACGAGTGAATAACAGGGTGAGAATGTGGTGAAATCCGAAAACGTGGTAAACATCAGACGAGGGCTTTTTCTTTTTCTGGACGGCTTTTGTAAATTGTTGATTGGCTTTAGGGAAGTAAGTGGGTTGGCAGGTCAATCAATAAAATGGGTTGGGTTTATGCAGGGCATAATTTGTGCCGGAACACGCCGGATTCAGATACGGCACTTCTGAAATCTGATCTGACACCTCATTTTACTTGTCCCCCTCCTCAACCGCCCTCCTCCCCTGTCCGCTGATCACTTTCACTTTCTTCGCAATTCCCCAACCTTCAATCTGCGGGTAACATGCCAGATCCATTACCCCGGTCTGTTTCGGGAACTCACAATTCACTAATTAAGTACTGGGTTTATGGAAGGAGGAGGGGGGGTCAGTCGATTGGATGGTCAGCCAGTCAGTCAGTCAGACAGACAGTCGACAGCAGCCTCTGGTGGGTTTACACGAGAACAGCGCGGGCACGAACGGCACTTGGGAGAGAAATTAGAGATATGAAAAAGCACACACAGCGCCCTCTCGTGGATTCGCGAAAACAAAAACTGCCAAAATACGTACCTCCTGGGATGTAATTCGCGGCCTCCAGAAACATCCACGGGACTACGCTTTCAGAATGAGCCTGGGGTTGGTTTTGTGTCATGTGAACATCATTCAGTGACCAGCATTCTGGGTATCTAGAAACAGCCTTTGCCATCTTTAGCTCCCCGTTACCAGCCAATCTGTGCCGACCACACACTGTGATTGGTGGAGAGCAGACAGTGGTGAAGCCATACACACAATACTTTATGAGCACAGAGAGTCCTCACTTTAATATCTGAATGAACGTATAAAGCTAAAATGAATGTGTTTATGAGTAATGCTCATGCCTGTTCTCTGACTGCAGCACAGACAGCGGCTCGTTTGATGTGGAGGTCTACAATATATACATCCGTGTGGTCCTGGGGGTCGGGGATAAAGACGGTCACCTCTCCATCAGCAGCGAATCCTGCAGTAATGATGTAGGAAATGTCTACATTCAGTTTCACGGAGGAACAAGGTAAAGAACAGAGCGTAAGGTGAGAGACGCCAGTGACTGATGCCATCATAATCACTGTGCTCTTCTGCAGCTTCTTCTATCAGCTGTTTGAAGATTATTTCAGTGGAAAAGCCTCAGACATGATACGCCAGAAGGTTGGTGTAGTCTTCAACAGTCCATCACTGTCACTGTATATCTGCTGCTTCTCAAACACCTCATATTGTCTTTCTTATAGATCTGTCCAGCAATCCAACAAGCAGTCACTAACATGGAGACAATTCTGCAGGAACGAACCGGTGATGAACACAGACACGGCATTGTGTATTTAGCACAATGAAGACTGTTTGTTTTAAAATGTTTTATAAAGCATTGTATAGAGTAGTGTTTGGCATAATCATGCCTTAATGTGTGTGTGTGTGTGTGTGTGTGTGTGTGTGTGTGTGTGTGTGTGTGTGTGTGTGTGTGTGTGTGTGTGTGTGTGTGTGTGTGTGTGTGTGTGTGTGTGTTTAGTGAACATACCCGTGGATAAGTATGTTTATCTGAGTGCTCCCCTAACCTCCGCCCCGGCCGTGACCGATCAGAGCTGCCGATTAGAGGTTAAGGTGAGGACGTCTTTAATAGTCATTATCTTTTATTCTCGTGTATCAAATGAATCCAGCTATTATTAGGTTAGATTTTTTCTCTGCATATTTAGTATACAGGTAGATTCATTGATTTGTATAGGGGGGGTTTGGGCAACACAGTGGCACAGTGGGCAGCACAATTGCCTCACAGCATAAAGGTCTCTGGTTTGAGTCTCGGCTGGGTCAGTTGGTGTTTCTGTGTGGAGTTTGCATGTTCTCCCCGTGTTGGCGTGGGTTTCCTCCAGGTGCTCTGGTTTCCCCGACAGTCCAAACACATGCGCTATAGGGGAACTGATCAACTAAACAGACTGTATTGTATGAGTGTGTGTGTAAATGAGTGTGTATGGGTGTTTGCCAGTGCTGAGTTGGAGCTGGAAGGGCGTCCACTGTGTAACACATATGGAATAATTGGTGGTTCATTCTGCTGTGGCGATCACTGATGAATAAAGGGACTAAGCTGAAGGAAAATTAATGAATGAAGAGAGAATTCAAAGAATATGACTGATGTTGCTTGCTCTTCTGTCGACAGGCTGAGTTTTACAGCAGGCGTTCTCCATCTGAACCTCCATTCTCCGCCCGTGCGTTTGACCTTCAGTATTCAGACAAGCACATGCTTACACTGGCTGCATCCCAGTTCACGGTCAACTCAGCAGCGTTTGCGTATCTCAGATCTGGGGCTCTTCAAACCAACATCACAGACGACATGGTGAGGACAACAAGCTGCTCCCTTTAAAAACATTAGGACACACAACAGCAGTAATCTTTACTAATGTGTGTATATGCAGGAGTGCACATAACTGGTACACAGATGCACACGTGGGATTAAAATAAACAGTGCGCTCTAAACGAAACTTATCACCCTCCATTTTTAAGTGCCCAAATTGAAGAGTTCAACACTAAATTCTGAAGGGTACAACTGATGGACACTGCAGGCTCCCATGATCCTTTGTGCAGGGAAGTTGTTTGGTGTTGCACTTTCTTGGTGTCTGTTTTGAAGGTATGGGATTGCAGCTGCGAGCAGGAGTCCTGAGTTTAAAATACAAGTTCATGTTTAAATTTCAAAGATAAATATAGAAATATATCTCATTCATTCATATATGTATAGTCAAGTGTTTACCAAAGTGCTGTACAAGCACACACTATTTAAACTAAAAGACAAATCAAACAATCATATTATGGTAATAAAAGCCAAAGAGTAGTGGGTTTTAAGACTAGATTTAAAAACAGACAGGGTTTTAGCCTGCCTAACATGGAGAAGAACGTTAATCCAAAGTTTTGGGGCAACCATTGCAAAAGCACAAGGTTTTAAATTTGTTTGAGGAACAGCCAAAAGAGCTGATCAGCACATCTAAGTGCCCTTAATACAGTGCACAACTATATTAACTCTTAAAGATATCTTGATGATGGCACATAATATTAGACTAGATATTCTTCAAGACACTAGTGTTCAGCTTACAGTGACATGTAAAGGCTTCACTAGGGTAATCAGGGTAAAGTTAGGGTAATTAGGCAAGTCATTGTATAACAGTGGTTTGTTCTGGAGACTATCAGAAAAATATATAGCTTAAAGGGGCGAATAATATTGACCTTAAAATGGTTCTCAAAAAAATTAAAAACTGCTTTTATTCTAGCCGAAATGAAACAAATAAGACTTTCTCCAGAAGAACAAATATTATCAGACATACTGTGAACATTTCCTCAATCTGTTCAACATCATTTGGGAAATATTTAAAAGAGAAAAAGAAATTCAAAGGGGGCGAATACTTCTGACTTCAAATGTATGTATTTTTAAATAATGCAAAAATGAGTGTTCATATATGAATATGAGAGCATGCAGGATAGCTGAGGACTGAGCAACATCTCCAGATATGAAAACCAGACCAAACAAGCATTGTGCACCCCTGTCTATGAGGAACTGTGTGAAACTGAACACTGCAGACGTGCATTAATCACTCATTCATCTCATTTTATATGTCAAAGATACCAAAGGGTTCCCCGCTGCATCTGAACACCAGTCAGTTTGGGGTCTTCATCCCACAGGTCAGTGTGTGTGTGCATGTTGGGGATGTATGTAGAGAATAACAGATAGAGTGCTGTGTGTAAAGGATTATACATGCATTATGTGAAGGTAAAGAGCCACTTGAAGGAAAGCTGCTGATTATGCTGCTTATTTCATGCTCATTCACTAAATTATAGACAAGTAAAACTCTTCTGCATTTAGTCTCTGTGTTTTGGATTTATTAGTGTAGGTGAACTGCATTATGGGATGTTGATCTCTGCTCTGTCCACTTCTGATGTTGTAAATTCAACTCTACAGTTTAATGAAGTGACTTTAATTGACATTTTAGTAATAATATAATGTTTAAGAAGTAATATGTAGAGAAATAAGTGTGTGAAATACAGGAAATGTGTAAAGGTTTCTGTAGCGTAATATACAACACACACACACAGTATAGCACTGCAGACTATTACACATGTGCAGAACACACACTTCAAGGTTAAAAGTTGTTGGAGGACAGATAAAGATCCCGTAATGTATAAATATGAAGTGCATAGAATATATTCCCAGATGTTTGCAAATACTGATGTAATTGTGAAGTGTTCATGCTGATGAGTGCTGTGCTTTTTCCCTGGTCAGCTGCGCACATTATACCCCGACATGAAGATGCAGGTGCTGTTATACGCCAGCGACATGCCGCTGTTCTCCTTCACTTCAGGCCTCATGAACATTCATGTGAAGATGGCAGCAAAGTTCTCCGCTGTTAAAGCTGACGACGCTCTGGTGCCTCTTTTCACACTGAATGTGGTGAGAAAACAAAGGAACTTTCAGAGAGAAAACACCCGTTAACAAGCTACAAAGATAGACAGTTCCTGGAGGGCCGCAGCTCTGAACAGTTTAGTTCCAGCCCTAATCAAACACAGCCGATCAAACTAATGGAGTCCTTCAGGCTTGTTTGAAGTTTGCTGAACTTAAAGTTGGGTTGGAACTAAACAGTGCAGAGCTGCGTTTGACACCCCTGCTTTAAATAAATCTGTCTTCTGTTATCAGTTTTCATCATTGTGGTATCCTTTATCTATGTTGTCTTGATTTGTATGTAAAACGCTTTGAGACTTTAAAGGCACTATATGAAATACTTGTATTATTATTGTTGTTATTATTATTAATAAACAATAGATAGCTGCTGACCAGCGGTGTTGCTCTCTCACTCCCCCTGCAGGACAGCAGATTCAGCGGAATCGCTCAGATTAGCAATCAAAAACTGACCGGAGCTTTCAAAGTGAACAAGTGAGTATTGTTTATTTAAAGTTCACACCTAAAAAAATAATTTTAAGGACTGATAAAACAGCGCTGCTTCTTTTCCATGTGATCACGAGCTGAAGAACCAGAAGTGCTGGACTGTGGCAAAATAAAGCTTTACTGCTTTAGTGCTGCATCACGGTTGTCTTCAGCGTTTCTCTTGTTTCTCTTCTTTCAGTCTAAAGGTTATTGCACACTGAATACAAATTTTTCATCTGTAATTTTTAAAATAATAAATTTCACCTCACATTGCGTCAATTGTATTGAGATACTGCCTCCGAAACCTTTGTCCATCATAAAAAAAAAAAAATTATAATAATAAAAGTTATTGGATTCGATTCATCTTCATTACTCCAAGACTCCATTTTATATTGTTTTGCCAATTATTTTGCATTGGATTCATTAATCTGCAATTTGGGATTTAAAAACGAATATTTCAGACTTCATTGTGCTACGCGCTTTACTCTGCATCAGACTACCATGATAATAAGTGTTGAATACTTCACTCATCATCAACATGATTTCCGCAGGAGTCCTGTATAGGACAAACTTCCATGATTCTCACAGTCATCAAAATACACCTTTGTTTGTTGTGAATATACACCCTCTAGTGGAGAATATTACTCACTGCGTCTTTAAGCTGAAACACACACTTGTACAGCTGTCCTTGTTAAGGCTTGCCATAGACTTCAGCTGTAATGTATTTCCCATGTGAGTAAACAGCAGGCCAAAGCACAGACAGAGAATGGTTATCTGACAGACAGAGCCTTTTCACTGTAGTAACCCCAAGAAAAAAAGGTGGTAGATTAATGAAACTCTTCCTCTGCGTTTCTCATAAATGCTGCTCCAAGTATAACACTGACTGTGGGATCATCTGAGATTGGAGATTTCAAGGTGAGATTTAATAAGCTGTTATTATTCATATCAAGCGTTCATCATCACTAATGATTTCTCAATTCTTCAATATGTGCAGACTGACACAATTAGGCAAGTGTTAGTGATCGCCGTCAACACCATTATCCTGCCAAAGCTAAACGGTGAGCACTTCTAATTTTTTATAAACCCTTTCCATTATTTCAATTATTCATCATTTTGTAAATTCCTTTGCAACTGAGTAAAGCAAATTTCGAAAACTATAGTTATGTATTTATTTATGAATTATTTTAGGGGAAATCTGGAGGTTATCTGAAGGTTAACTCTTTGTGATTATCTTGTCTCAGCTCGTCTGAGGTCCGGCTTTCTCTTGCCCACGCTGCAGGGATTTAGCTTGAGTAACTCTCAACTGCTCATCAAAAACGTGAGTATTTTAAATGAATGTTCATGTATTTAATGATGTTTTTGTTAATGTTAGAAACTTGTTGGAAAGCAGCACAATATCAGTGTTAATTCGATCCCTTTATTTCAGGGCTTTGTGGTCATTTTTACCGACATCAGACTCCCTGATGGGCTGAATGCTCCATAACGGCTCACATGTCAACACAAACCACAGGCGCTCGACAGAACTCTGCTGTTCATTATACAGCCAACTGCTTTTGTGTTGTCATGTTTTGTGTGAACAAACTGCTTATACGTTTCCCAGTGCTGGGTTGCTGCAGGAAGGGCATCCACTGCCTAAAAAATACGCTGGAATAGTTGGCGGATGGTTCCGCTGATGAACCAAGGGAAAATGAATGAACTGCTGTCATTGGCTGTATGTGGTTGTCTCTTGTTTTGAGCACACGGCTTTGTTTTGTTTCACTTTCTGCCTTGCACTTTCATCAGTCTCCCCCATCTCATCTCTTACTGTTACCTGACACATCTCCAAATTACCTAGGGACGACTGGCTGTAATTCTCCATTCCAGTGAGTAAAGCTGGGTACCATATGAATGTTATCAATTCTTTAATTATCAATTAATTAAATGAGTAAACAGTGGGCGTGGCTTGTTTTTTTGTAGTGTGAGCTGATTGGCTGTAGTAAAGTACAGTTGAAGTCAGAATTATTCGCCCCCTTTTTAAATTTTCTTTTCTTTTTCTAAATATTTCCCAAATGATGTTGAACAGATTCAGGAAATGTTCACAGTATGTCCGATAATATTTTTTCTTCTGGAGAAAGTCTTATTTGTTTTATTTTGGCTAGAATAAAAGCAGCTTTTAATTTTTTAAACACCATTTTAAGGTCAATATTATAAGCCCCTTTGAGCTATATATTTTTTTCAATAGTCTACAGAACAAACCATCATTATTACAATGACTTGCCTAATTACCCTTACTTTACCCTAATTACCCTAGTAAAGTCTTTAAGTGTGACTTTAAGCTGAACACTAGTGTCTTGAAGAATATCTAGTCTAATATTAATTAGTCATCATGATGAAGAGAAAATAAATCAGCTATTAGAGATGAGTTATTGACACTACTATGTGCAGAAATGTGTTGAAGAAATCTGCTCTCCTTTAAACAGAAATTGGGAAAAAAAATAAACAGGGGCGCTCATAATTCTGACTTCAACTGTAGGCATTTCATGAAGAAAGATGGAGAAAAGGGTTTGAGGAGAGTTATTACAGCCTAACAGACTCCTCCTGCACCCCATTTCTGTCTGTCGTCAAAGTCCTAAGATAAACGCAAGGTTCTAAGATAAACGCAATCTGAGAACTAAACTGAAGCAAACAGGAAGTGCATTTTCAGATTTCATTTAAAGATTAGAAGGGCTAATCATTTATATTTGTCTTAATGGCACGCACATATGGAGAGTTCACCACAACACTAGCAATGTGAGCTAACAACATCAACAGTGTGAGTTTTGATTTCATGGGGACTTTAAATCAAATGAAAAAATGCTCATCATCACACAGTGATCCGGACAATAACACACAGTAAATGACTGATTCATCAATGCTTTAGAAAGGTATGTGTTTATTTAAATCTGCTTTATGCAAATGAAGAGAGACTTTAGTGAACGTCAGCCAATGTGAGCACCAGAAGAGCTCATGTGATCCTCTCAGCTGCAGCCGCACGCATCTACACCTGATGAAGACCGTGTCGGTGTCCGACTAAATCAGTGTTTTGAGAGTTAAAGTGGCAGTGTGCTGATGATTTGGACTTTTCATCTGTACATATGTCTTGAAATGGTGGAGCAGAAAATGTGTATTTAAAACTATGGTGAAAGCTTGGGTTAGCGTCTCACGCCTCGTCTGATCTCTGCGCTGTGCCTGGGCGGCTCCAGCGCTTTCTGGCACAGGTTGGACAGTAGCGCCTGTATGCCGGAGCAGGAGTTCCACTGGCCGATGTGTCTCTGAGCGCATTCCCAGTACACCCGCAGCAGGCAGCCGGAAATCACGGTTCTGGTGTCAGTGATGAGAGCGCCGCACTGCTGGCATCTCCTGAACAGATCCATCACGCTCGACTCGCTCACAATCCACTGCCTTTCCTTCAGCACAAGCTTCTCTGATGATCCCGCTGCTGCTGCGGTGTGTGTGTGTGCAGCAGGACGGGAAGTGTATGGGAAACCAACTCCATCCTTTGCTGACGGTGAACATGATGGGAGTTTGATGATGTTCAGGTCAGGTCTTCCCTCGGGATGCTCTTCTCGCTTTGATGGTTCATCCTGAAGAAGACAATACTAATGTAAAACACTGCAATGAAATGAGTTTCATACTGACTATTACTACTACTAATAATAACAAAACATTTTCCTGCATACATGCAGGTGACTCAAAGCCCTTCACAACCATGAACAAATATTAGGAAACAACATGTGTGTTTTCATACCGCATGCATGGACTGTGCCGCTGGAAGTGTGTAGCTGTGATGTAACTGTGGTCTGGACTCTGAAACACCTTCGGCTTCTGAAACTAGTAACTCAGTCTCCTCTTCCTTACAGTCTTGCATTGCTTGAGCAGATTCAGCACGACTGCCCTACAGTTAAACACAGAGTCTCATCAGATGCAGAAACACAGCAACACATGATGACATATACCCCCTTTCACACGTTTTACAGTTCACAGAGGAAATCTGGCACACTTTATTGTGCATTATTGCATAAACGTATTCAGAGTAATCATATAGAGTAATTTAGCTAAATAATCAGAGCAGGGTTTCACAGGAGGGGACTCAGATGTCAATACAACACCAGCCACAGCTGTATCCCTTCTAGCATCAGCACATACCGGAGCCGGTGTGGAGTAAACCCTGGGCACCGCTGAAGCTTTGAGCAGGACTTTATTCCCGTTAACGGCTCTGAAGTCCTCCGGGGAGAAGTGTTCACTGCAGATCCTCCAGACCCGCAGGCTCCTCATGGGTGTGTCCGGGTCCATCCCGAGCGCCGCCCGCCACAGCAGCAGCCGCCCGGGCTCCAGCGTCGGGAAGCGGTGGAAGGTCAGCTTTCCGCCGTGCGATGAGGAGTTCGAGCGCAGCCTCTCTTTCTTGAACAGATTCAGGCATCCGGGATAAGCACAGTTCAGAACCATGGCGAATATAACTCAGTTATATGTGGAAATTTGCTGAAATGAAAACACTGGTTCTGCTTCCTCTATCGTCATTCTTCTTCTTTGGTAACAATCCTTTACCTCCATCTGCTGGACAACAGTGTTCGCCAGAGGATTCACCTTTATTATTGTCTTTTATTATGATTTATTCATGTATATTTACTGAACCCTGCTGAAAAACAGCCTAAACCAGCCTAGGCTGGTTGGCTGGTTTTAGCTGGTCGACCAGCCTGGTTTTAGAGGGGTTTTGGCCATCTCCAGCCTGGTCAGGCTGGGAGATGACAGCTTAAACCAGCTTGACCAGCCTAACCAGGCTGAGAGCCCAGCCAAAACCAGCTGTGTTCAGCTTAATCCAGGCTGGTCAAGCTGGTTTTAGTTGGTTTTAGCTGGTCATTTTCCAGCCTGACTAGCTAAGATCAGGCTGAAAATGACTGGAAACCAGCCTGGAAATGGCCAAAACCCCTCTAAAACCAGCCTGGTCATCCAACTAAGCTGGATTTTTCAGCAGGGAATACATTAATGTAACCGGAGATTAAAAATCAATGATTCTACTAAAACACTAGTTAATGTTGTTGCACAGTTTACTTGTCTAATAGCCGACTGTAGTGTTTTTGACCCATAGTAAAGTGTATTATACTGTATATGTTATAGTGTTTACAACTCTGTTAACGAATGCTGCAGCATATTGACCATAGTGAACTGATAAACTATAATATATAGTATATTTTAGTTTACGCTACAGGAAAATGTTGTGTAGTGTAGTATTATTTATAGAGTATTGGCTCATTTGTTTATAAAAAAAACCCTACAGTATACAGAAAATTACAACGGTGTTTTTATTTTATTGAATTTAAATTTTCACATGCTTAAATTTAGATTTTTTTCTGATCTAAAATTTGCATTTAGAAGATAAAACATTTAAAGCTTTCGGTTCAGGGTCGGCACAGATCAAAACCATTGAGAGTAATTCAGCAGACGGTGTTTCGCTGAAATGAAAACTCTCCTCTTTCGTCTTCTTAGTTTTTTGAACAGTATTGATCATTTGCTGAAGGACTTAATGAATGATGGAATTAATTTAATCCTGTGATTATCCACCTCAAAATAGTTACTGTTGTTGAGTTGAACTAAACCTGTTGACTTTTTTTGGATGCTTCTGGGGTTATCAGCCAGACGTCTCTTTCAGACAGCTTCCTCTGGCCTCCACAGCTCCTCCTGCTGTATGTGCTTCTTCTTCTTCTTCTTCTTGGTGGTTTGCTGACATTACTCTGGACACGGCGGCTCTTGATCATCACACACACCTGCTGTCTTGGTCACAGATGGCCCAGCAAGACACACTCTAGCTCTCCTCTTCTGAACTCATGTAGTGTTGTGTGCAGTATGTTCAGCAGAACTCTGCTGTTCCTCCGCTGATGAAGCTTCACACTCTGCTCTACTGCTGGCCTGAAGATCAGTGAAGATGAACAGCAGACAGACAGAGCACCTCCAACACTACACTGAACACAGCTTCCGTCTCACTCTCCAACCCCTGTGCATATATCAGCGATCAAATCCAGCAGTATGAGAGCCGCGTGAATCTGAATGTGAAACACATTTATTTATTTTCTGTAAACATGAACACAATACACATTCAGTTCAATTCATCTTTATTGATGTGTCAAAGCACAAAGAGCCATAATGTTTCCATCAAATCCATCATATTATATATTATACAGAGGTCCACTACGCCATCAGGACCGGTCATATTAAGCACTCTGTGTGACGTATAAATACAGAATAAGAATGTCAGCAGTGGAGTTTAGTGAAATTTCTCTATTTCCAAGCTGCCTGAAACACAAACTCATGCAAGTGTAGAAACAGTGTGCGATATGTGGGAGTTTTTCCAAAGTGGACGTGTTTCCAATGAGCATATTTTCAGTTTGTGTAGATTCTAATGACACAGTTTAAAAGTTAATGGAGCAGACCCAGTCTGAACCAGTATAAGAGGAAGGAATAAGCAGTAATAATGCAGATTACTTCCACATGCCACATAAGCAAGCTTAAATCGTCTCGATTTTACTCCAAATTTTACTCGAAGCCTTTACCCCATCATATAAAATAATCACCTTGAAAAAGAGCTCATGTGAATATTAAACACAAGTCCTCGTGCACTGTGTGAATGTAAATGAGATATCTCAGAAGTGTATATTCCCCCAGCCTCTATCATCAAGTTTGCCAGCAGCTCGCTCTCTTCAACTCTCACATGGTCGCCCACTGATGCTAAGCAGGGCTGCGCCCGGTCTGTACCTGGATGGGAGACCACATGTGAACACTAGGTTGCTGTTGGAAGTGGTGTTAGTGAGGCCAGCAGGGGGCGCTCAACCTGTGGTCTGTGTGAGTCCTAATGCCCCAGTATAGTGACGGGGACTCTACACTGCTCAGTCAGCGCCGTCTTTCCAACCCAGGCTCATTCTGAAAACATAGTCCCATGGATGTTTCTGGAGACTGCTAAATAAGTCCCGGGAGGTATGTATTTTTGCAGTTTTTGCGAATCTGCGAGAGCTGTGTGCGCTTTCTCGCATCTCAAATGTCTCTTGCGAGTGGCCACTAGAGGCCGCTGTCAAATGACCGTCTGTCTGACTGAATGATTGATTGGGCGATCGGCCAATCGGCTGACCCACCCTCCTCCTTCCCTGAACCCAATCAGCTTTACCCATTAACTCACCCACCTGCTCACTTCCCGAAAGCCAACCAACGATTTACAAAAGCCGTCCAGAAAAAGAAAAGCCCTCGTCTGTTTACCACGTTTTCAGATTTGAGCACATTCTCACCCTGCTGTTCACTCGTCCATTTTATTTTTGGGATTCTGGTTTTGTCTTACTTGATTTCTGGAACTGCTTTTCCCCGGAATCAAACCCAGTCGTCGTCAGCTCCTCTCTGCATCTCAAGTCTGCCGATGTACACAACAGGCTAATTGGACAAACTGGTTGCAGTGGGAAAGCCTTTCACACGGAGGTAAGCGGTCAGTCGGTAAGCGCAAAAAGGAACAGCGTCATACCGCCCCATAAGTGTTCGCTTAATAAAATGAAATGCAGCCATACGTACATCCGGCTGCATAATTTGCGGTCTCCAGAAACGTCCACGGGACTATGCTTTCAGAATGAGCCTGGGTTGCATCATTCAGATGAGATGTTAAACTGAGATCCTGACTCTCTGTTAAAATTCCCAGGATGTCCTTTGACACTGGCCTCTGTCCATCAAGGCCTCCAAACCCTCTCCATATGATAATTGGCTTCATCACTCCGTTTCCACACCAATCAGCTGGTGTGTGGTGTGTGGTCTGGCGCAGAATGTCTGCCGTCACATCATCCAGGTATTGTGGATGAGGAGATCCCCCAATGTGTGTAAAGCTCTTTGAGTGCCCAGAAAAGCGCTATATAAATGTAAGGAATTATTATTATTAATGCAGTTCTTGCAGTGTTTGGCTTCAGAAACTGTTATAAAAGACTTTCTGGTTGTTGCCTTAAAGCAGACATGTAATCCTGAGATGTGGGGTCTCACTTCTAAAACTTTGCATAGAAACCTTCCTAAAAGGTAACGCATTACAATTGTCATTTATTCATGAGTGGCTCATATGATTATTTAAAGAGATTCAATTAGGTCAACATTTAACCCTCCTGTCGTCCTAGAATTCTGTGTACGCTATTACATCCTTCAGCCTTTCCTAAGAGTTGTACCCTGAATGTGCTCAGCCTTCATGAAGAATAGAAAATGATTGGTGCCCAGATCGTTTTCGACCCATAGTTCAACAGGAGGGCTAGTCGCTCTTGTTGTGGGTCATCTTGATCATGGTTTCGGGAGAGCGGTAGAGGAAGATGAGCTTCTCGAACATCTGCTCCTCCATCTCCATCTCTCCCGCCTCGCGCACTATGAAGATGTCGTTGCAGAGTTTGAGCACGCGGTCCACACACGGCAGCTCCTCGTACATGATGGACCGAGAGATCCCTGTGAAGAACTCCCGCACGAACTTCCCGATGACCAGCACCACGGACATGTACAGACCCACGATACTGCAGAGGAAAAAGCAGGCAGAGGTTCAGTCACATACTCAGGCCACATTCAGACTGTAACATGCTCACTTGCATGTGTTGAAGAGGGTGCCAGTAGTGTTTGTGGTGTAAAATGATATCCAAAGGAAATCCGTTGTACCCTAAATGTCTTCAGCCTTCATGAAAATAGGAATTATTTGATGTGTAGTTGTGGTCATCGGCATGTCTGAGACTCACCCGTATCCGGCCAGGAAGCCCACGCTGGGCGGGCTGGCTTTATCATTGAACACCACCATCTCTATACTGCGGCAGCTGCTGGGTGGAGGTCCGGGCCAGCACTCCTGCACCACCCACCACTGCGGGGCGCTGTCTGGGGAGCTGCGGTTCCCCTGCTGGAGACTCACTGACAGAGGACGCAAGAACTGCAGATCCGCATTCTCCGGCTCTCTGGAGAACTCTGGAGGACTCACAGATACAGCATCTCAATCAGCACACAGATTCATTAGTCAGTGTAGTAATCAGAGGTGTGTTTCCCAAACAACAACGTGACTCGCGGCTGAACTATCGTTTGATGCATGGTTTGGGAAAAGAGCCATGTAGTGACGAGTGTTTCCCAAAACCTGTAGTTTCTCTGTGGCAGATCCATCATTTAAACCACGTTAGTTATAACGTAAAACACCCAGAATGATGCTCTGAACGGGGAGGAGGAATTACTTCTGTAGAGCAGAACCCCATCATTTATTTGTGCAGATTGTATTATTTTACACACACACACACACACACACACACACACACACACACACACACACACACACACACACACACACACACACACACACACACACACACACACACACACACACACACACATTAAGAACAATTCAATATTAGTTTTGGTAATAATAATAATAATAATTATTATTATTAATATTATTATTTGTATTAATATTATCATTATAATTATCATTAATATTATTATTATTATTATTATTATTATTGTTATAATTATTATAATTAC